CAGTCCCTTCCCATCACTGCTCCTAAATCAGGACAAGGACAGAGCCAGTCCTGGCACTCCCGCCACCCTTGGCCAAGGTTCTGCTGATCTGTAAAATCTGACTGATGTTTTGTGCCGCATCCACCCCTCTGTGCTGTTCAGGATGGATCCCAAAGTTCTTGAAAGGGTCAAGACGAGTCAAAAGTGAAGTTTTCTGTGCTGCCAACCTCCTTCGTTTGTGGAATCGTGACACAAAGTAGTCCCACTCGGTGCTAGGAGGGCGGAAGGCGAAAACGCGGAGGCGCCCCCGGTATCGCGCTGCGGCGGGGGGGGGGGGGGGATCTCTCGGTGCCCCCGGTATCGCGCTGCGGCGGCGGGGGGAGGGGATCTCTCGGTGCCCCCGGTATCGCGCTGCGGAGGGGGACGGGGGGGGATCTCTCGGTGCCCCCGGTATCGCGCTGCGGCGGCGGGGGGGGGGATCTCTCGGTGCCCCAGGTATCGCGCTGCGGCGGGGGGGGGATCTCTCGGTGCCCCGGGCATCGCGCTGCAGGGGGGGGGGGATCTCTCGGCGCCCCAGGTATCGCGCTGCGGCGGGGGGGGATCTCTCGGTGCCCCAGGTACCGCGCTGCGGAGGGGGGGGGGGATCTCTCGGTGCCCCAGGTATCGCGCTGCGGCGGGGGGGGGATCTCTCGGCGCTCCCGCTATCGCGCTGCGGAGGGGGGGCGGATCTCTCGGTGCCCCAGGTATCGCGCTGCGGCGCGGGGGGGATCTCTCGGTGCCCCGGGTATCGCGCTGCGGCGGGGGGAGGGGGGATCTCTCGGTGCCCCGGGTATCGCGCTGCGGAGGGGGGAGGGGGGATCTCTCGGTGCCCCGGGTATCGCGCTGCGGAGGGGGGGGGGGGATCTCTCGGTGCCCGGCTCCTCAAGCTCCGGCAGAGGCAGAGACGCGGAAGGATACATGCAAGGCGCTGCTGTATCCGCCTGCTGTGGTGCCGTGTATACACCCGGTGGCAGCGGAAGCGGCGTGACAGGGCACGGGGATGCCGGCCGTGGCCGGACAGCGGCACGCGGCGGCTCGGAACCGGGACCGGGCTGTACCAAAACTGCGGCGAAAGCAGTGGGGGGGGGGCGGCGGCGGCGGCGGCGGCGGCGGCGGCGCCGTGGAGAACTGCGCATGCGTGCGGCTGATCCCGGAAAGGGCGCTGTGGTTGGATGAGGCGGCGCGGAGTGATATCGCTGGTGCGGCGGTTATGGCAACTGCGCATGCGCGGGGCAGGCGGCGGGCAGCGGCGGGCAGCGGCGGGCAGCGGCGGGCAGCGGCGGGCAGCGGCGGGCAGCGGCGGGCAGCGGCGGGCAGCGGCGGGCAGCGGCGGGCAGCGGCGGGCAGCGGCGGGCAGCGGCGGGCAGCGGCGGGCAGCGGCGGGCGGGTGCGGGAGGCGGCGGAGCTGCGGAGCCGCAGAAACGGGACATGGGGCTGCGGCTGCGGAAGGGAACGACGGGACGGCCGTGGTTGCAGGAGGCGGCGGAGCCGCGCCATCCGGCAGCTCTGAAGCGGCAGCGGCAGGAGCGAGAGGGCGACCACGGGCGGCGGCGGGGCGGCCGCGTCAGCGGGAGATGATCCCGGGGCGGCGGGAGGAGCGGCGTGGAGGCGGCGGGAGGCTGCCGCGGGGGGGGCCATGGCGGGCGGTGGGGGAGTCGGCGGCTGGAGCGCGGCGCGCAGCCGCTGGGGGCTGGGCTGGCTGCTGGCCCGGCGGGCAGGGGCGGTGCCTGGCGCGGGAGAGGCAACGTGCACGAGGGGCCGCGCCAGGCGCGCTCGGCACCGCAGATCCGGGAGCCACAGGAGACTGCCAAAATGCAGCAGCGACGGGACTTGGGCCGCCACCGGCGCTGTGTCGGCAAAGGGGGCGAGGGGGACTTGGGGGCGGGAGGAGCGGCCGCACCCGCGGGTAGCGGGGGGAAAGCGGCAGGCGCGGGGGAGAGGGGGCGGGGCCGCGGTGACGCTGAGGGGCGGGGCCCGCGGTAGCCGGGACAGCAGGGACCAACGGGATGGCAAAGGCGGGGATGGCGGGAGCGGTGGGAGGGGCCGGGGGGACGGATATCGGGACCGCGGGGGCGGGGCGGCACGGGCGAGCGGCGCCGCGGGTGCCGGAGCTGTGCGGTCCGACGGGGAGGTGGGGGGCGTGTCCCGCTGGAGACTCGCGGCGGCGAGGGGCGGAGTCGCAGGAGGGGCGGGGCGGTTGCTGCGGGCTTCCCCCCTGCGGCAAACACAGCTCAAGCAGCGCCCGGCAAGCTGGGGCCGGCTCCGCGGCAGCCACCTCCCGGTGGGAGATACTAATAAAGTGCTTGATACAAACTGTGTCCCAAAGTCTCTGGTGAAGATGACTGAATGGTCAGCATTTGGTTTTTATAACTCCTGTTGCGGTAATTTAACCATGACAATCGTGCTTTACGGCACTCTTCACAACAGTGCTGCTTTATGGCACCCTTAACGACAGTCACGTTTTACGACAGTTGCTCTTTATAACACCTTTGCTTTACGGCACCTTTTGCGACAGTTTTGCTTTACGGCACCTTTTACGACAGTCGCGCTTTACGACACCTTTCACGACAGTCGCGCTTTACGGCACCTTTTACGACATCCGCGCTTTACGGCACCTTTTGCGACAGTTTTACTTTACGGCACCTTTTACGACATCCGCGCTTTACGGCACCTTTTGCGACAGTTTCGCTTTACGGCACCTTTTACGACAGTCGCGCTTTACGGCACCTTTTGCGACAGTGTTGCTTTACGGCACCTTTTACGACATCCGCGCTTTACGGCACCTTTTGCGACAGTCGCGCTTTACGGCACCTTTTGCGACAGTCGCGCTTTACGGCACCTTTTGCGACAGTGTTGCTTTACGGCACCTTTTACGACAGTCGCGCTTTACGGCACCTTTTGCGACAGTGTTGCTTTACGGCACCTTTTACGACATCCGCGCTTTACGGCACCTTTTGCGACAGTCGCGCTTTACGGCACCTTTTGCGACAGTGTTGCTTTACGGCACCTTTTGCGACAGTCGCGCTTTACGGCACCTTTTGCGACAGTCGCGCTTTACGGCACCTTTTGCGACAGTGTTGCTTTACGGCACCTTTTGCGACAGTCTTGCTTTACGGCACCTTTTACGACAGCCGCGCTTTACGGCACCTTTTGCGACATCCGCGCTTTACGGCACCTTTTACGGCAGTCGTGCTTTACGGCACCATTTACGACAGTTTTGCATTACTGCAGTTTTACGACAGTAGCGCTTTACGGCAGTTTTACGGCAGTCGCGCTTTACAGCACTTTGTGGTTTTTAATTTGTTTTTCATTTATTTTTAATTAATTTTATTTTTAAAGTTTTTTTTTTAATTTAAATTTTATTTTTAATTTTTTTATTTTTAAAGGTTTTTTTAAATTTTATTTTGTGCTGCCCGCTGCTTTACGGCAGTTTTATGGCAGTCGCACTTTAGGGTTTTTATTTTGTTTTTCAATTATTTCTAATTAATTTTATTTTTTAAAGTTTTATTTTTAATTTAAACTTTATTTTTAATTTTTTTATTTTTAAAGGTTTTTTTAAATTTTATGGCACTTTGTGATTTTTATTTTGTTTTTCATTTATTTTTAATTAATTTTAATTTTTAAAGTTTTATTTTTAATTTAAATTTTATTTTTAATTTTTTTATTTTTAAAGGTTTTTTTAAATTTTATTTTGTGCTGCCCGCTGCTTTACGGCAGTTTTACGGCAGTCGCACTTTAGGGTTTTTATTTTGTTTTTCAATTATTTTTAATTAATTTTATTTTTTAAAGTTTTATTTTTAATTTAAAATTTATTTTTAACTTTTTTATTTTTAAAGGTTTTTTTTTTTTAATTTTATGGCACTTTGTGATTTTTATTTTGTTTTTCATTTATTTTTAATTAATTTTAATTTTTAAAGTTTTTTTTTTAATTTAAATTTTATTTTTAATTTTTTTATTTTTAAGGTTTTTTTAAATTTTATTTTGTGCTTCCCGGTGCTTTACGGCAGTTTTACAGCAGTCGCACTTTAGGGGTTTTATTTTGTTTTTCAATTATTTTTAATTAATTTTATTTTTTAAAGCTTTATTTTTAATTTAAACTTTATTTTTAACTTTTTTATTTTTAAAGGGTTTTTTTAAATTTTATTTTGTGCTGCCCGCTGCTTTACGGCAGTTTTACGGCAGTCGCACTTTACGGTTTTTATTTTGTTTTTCAATTATTTTTAATTAATTTTATTTTTTAAAGTTTTATTTTTAATTTAAACTTTATTTTTAACTTTTTTATTTTTAAAGGGTTTTTTTTTAATTTTATGGCACTTTGTGATTTTTATTTTGTTTTTCATTTATTTTTAATTAATTTTAATTTTTAAAGTTTTATTTTTAATTTAAATTTTATTTTTAATTTTTTTATTTTTAAAGGTTTTTTTAAATTTTATTTTGTGCTGCCTGCTGCTTTACGGCAGTTTTACGGCAGTCGCACTTTAGGGTTTTTATTTTGTTTTTCAATTATTTTTAATTAATTTTATTTTTTAAAGTTTTATTTTTAATTTAAACTTTATTTTTAATTTTTTTATTTTTAAAGGTTTTTTTAAATTTTATGGCACTTTGTGATTTTTATTTTGTTTTTCATTTATTTTTAATTAATTTTAATTTTTAAAGTTTTATTTTTAATTTAAATTTTAACTTTTTTATTTTTAAAGGTTTTTTAAAATTTTATTTTGTGCTGCCCGGTGCTTTACGGCAGTTTTACGACAGTCGCACTTTACAGCACTTTAGGGTTTTTATTTTGTTTTTTATTTATTTTTAATTAATTTTATTTTTTAAATTTCAGTTCTTAATTTAAATTTTATTTTTAATTTTTTTTATTTTTAAAGCTTTTTTTAAATTTTATTTTGTGCTGCCTGGACCAGCTCAAGCCAGTGATTGTGGTGGTGTTTGAAGGTCCCCAGGACGAGGGAAGAGATGAGAATCTTGACTTCTCCTAATAGAAGCCTGATTTATTATTTTATTATCGCTATTATATTAAAAGAAAATGGGATATTAGAACTATACTAAAAGATCAAGGAGACATCAGAAAGCTGGAAAGGAATGAATAATAAAAACCTGGGACTGCTCACAGCCCCGACACAGCTGGACCATGATTGGTCATCGAGTAGAAACAATGCACAGGAGACCAGTCCAAGATGCCCCTGTTGCTAAACCACCTCCAGCCCACACTCCACAGCCAGCAGATCCTTATTGGTTCCATTTCTGTTCTGAGGCTTCTCAGGAGAAAAATCCCAGCAAAAGGGTTTTCATCAAACACGTCAGTGCCAGGTGATGATGGCACAGGCAGCATGGGCTGGCCGAGGTCACTGTGTCATCCCTGCCAGCCCAGGTGTCACAGCAAGGAGGAGAGTTCACCCTGCAGTACAGAGCTTTTGGGTTGTTTGTCACTAGGCAAAGGCAAAACCAGGGCCAAGAAGGCTCTTGCCACAAGGCAGTGGTCACCTCCATGTGACCAACAGCCACAGCCAGGCAGAGCACTGGGGACAATGACACTGAGGTCACTTGGTAGAAGCTCTGCAGGGAAACTGCAAAGATCAGAGCCTGCTGCCGAATAAAGCCAGAAGAGCAGGCTTAGACCTTTGATGATCATGGCACAATTTCTATTTATGTCATGTTTTGGGCAGCCCTACAATAGCTCCACTTTACTCAGCCACTAACTCAGTGGAATGCAAACACATCAACAATCTGGCTCCCTGGAGGTTTCCATCCTCCAGCTAATGTGGATTTTGAAGCCTCATCAGTCCACTGCCACCTAAAATAGCTTAAGAGATTCTTATGTGAAGAAACCTGGCTCTCAGCCTTAAGAGTGTCACCTAATGCTTCAGACTTTCCTTCCTCTGGCTGGGATCTGAACATTACTGAGCAAACCTGGAGCAGTCACACATGCATATTCTAATTCTCCTTCTCCCTTTGTAGACGTTTATGGATTTTTAAATAGTTCCTGAAATATGCAATGCTTCAAAACCTCCATTGAAACCCCAGCTCTACCTGCCTGAGTTCTCTGTCCCAACCTTTTCTTCCCAGTTCTCAGACCAGAAGGTGCCTGGATGAGGTTTCCAGTGGGTACTTTCAAAAATACAGGACAGAACTTTGAGCAGAGTCACGCCACACAAGCACTATTAGGGCCACAAGCAGTGTCATCAACACCAGAAATGTGTCACACACAGCAGGGCCCCTCACGGGCCAGGCAAACAGGAAAGAAAGGTGGCTTTAAAGCAGAACACTCAAATTTCCCAGCTAAATTCAGCTGGAATTCAGTTAAATGCTGCTCTCCTGCACTCAGAGATCTGTAAATCCCAGCAGATCAGATACACAAAGCAGCAGCCCAGCCTGCACCACTGCCTGGCTGTTGGGGAGGAACGTGCACAGAGCTCGTGCACACCAGGAAGCTGCCCCCTCACGATTCCTTTGGGTGATCACCTGAGGAAAGACAAAAATCAGGATGAGGAAAGTCACTGCCATACCCAGCTCTGCACAGCTCTGGCATGGCAGGGGTGGCACCTTCTGCTTCCAGACCCTGGGGCAGCCCAGGGTGCAGAGGCTGCCATGACAGGGACCTGTCCCCACTCACCTGGCCCCTTCCAGCACAGCCTGCAGGGATTTCTTCAGCACCGCAGTGCTCCGGTCCAGGACAGCAGCCAGGCTGCTCCTGTGAGCTGGGCTGACCTGGGGCGGAGGCAGCACCAGCTCAGGGCCCTGCCCTGCCAGGAGCTCACCTGAGAGCTCTTGGCTGGGCCCCAGCAGCTGCAGGAGCAGCCCTGGCTGGGCTCACCTGGCTCTGGTACACCGTGAGCACGGCTGTCACCAGCCTGGCAAAGTTCAGGGACGTGGCAAAGGCTGGAGCCTGCTGGCACAGAGTCAGGACCAGCAGATCCAGGAGCTCAGGGGGCAGCACCTCCTGGAAAAGGCCCAGGGGCAGGTAAGAGAATGGGTCCTTGCTCCAGCACTGCTGGAGTCACCAAGGACACCCGTGGGACAAGGGGGGCTCCTCACCTGCCGCCCCAGCACGGCCTGCAGCACTGGCAGGAGCTTCTCTGACAAAGGCACCTCCAGGACTTGGCTGCAAGGACAGTGAAGAGGAAAGGTGCTGCTCTGTGGCCTGGCTGGTGCCCCCAGGCAGGCTGGACAGTGAGGCCAAAGCAGAGCTGACCAGCCCTGTGACCCCTCACTCACCTCAGCACCAGCTGCACAGAGTGGGGCTCCAGGCACTCCTCCACCAGCTCACACAGCAGCTTGGTCTGCTCAGCACCTGCAAAGCAGCAAGGGAGAGCCTCCAGAGGCTGCCAAATCCATGGGGAGGTGCCTGGCCCTTCCTGGCACCTCTTCACAGGTGTATGTGCCAGTCAGGACAGACAGAAACCACCCAGTGCCTCCTCCTGCTGCTGAGGATAATCCTGCTTCCTTTGCCCAGCTGCAGCAAGGGTTTAAACAGCTCCAGTCTCTGGGAAAAGGGGACACTGTGGCAGGGGTTCCCCCTCTCCTCACAGCAGCACAAGGGGAGCTCTGCCCTGAGCATTAGGAGCTGCCAGGAACCCCCAATCATGGAGGGATGGGAACTGTCCTTTGGGAAAAAATAAGCCAGAAGCCAGCCTAGCCAGCCCTCCCACTTCATCTGTAAACCCATCTCCCATCCCAACCCCCAAGTGTCCACCTGCCCAGAAAAAACCAACCCCAGGCGTCCATGGTTCCTAACATGTGACAAATGCCACCCACAAACAGCCACGGCTCCCAGCAGCCCTGCACACCTTCCCCTGGCCCCTGCAGCACTGCAGCCACCAGCACACGGCACAGGGGATGGGAATACTTGGAGCAAAACGAAGTCAGGGCAGCCATGAGGTGTCGGGAAGGCGGCTGGGTGAGGGCCAGGACCTGGGGACACAAAAGGCAGGAGCTGGGGACAGTGGAGAGGGGAATGGGGAGCAGGAACCTCCGCTGCCATGACACGTACCCGCCTGAGGAAGAGCTGCTGTGCCAGGATGGCTGCGCTGGTGTGGCTGAGGGCAGGGCTCAGAGGCAGCAGCCAGCTGCAGAAACGCACCAGGGAGGGCTCTGGGCACGTGGAGAGCTGCAGGAAGGAGCACAGCCCCTCGAGCTGGGGTGGCACAGGGCATGGGGCATTAGGGACAGCAGCAGGACCCTGCAGCAGCTGCAGCAGGGGTGCTGGGGCTCACCTGGCTGGGGGTGCAGGTGTTCAGGATGCTCAGCTTGGAAGGGGTGTGCAGCTCGGAGTGCTGGAGAGAAACACTGTCCTGAGTAAAGCACCAAAGAAACCAGAATACAAAATACAGCTCCAGGGCTTCTCCCTTCCCCTGTGTCTGTCAGGGCTGAGCCCACAGGCAGCCCCTCACACCTGCAAGGTGCAGGCAGGTGTTGGTATCCCAAGCCCTGAGGAGGTGCCAACAGGGCTTTTTATCCCCATCTGTGAAATCCAGCTCCTTTTCCACCCCTCCCGAGGCCCTGGCACCAGCCTGTATAGAGCATCAGCTCCAGGAGAGGGACAGAAGCCACCACTTACACTGGACTCCTGCAGCAGCAGCATTTTCAGCCCCTGTCCATGCACCTGAGGGAAATGAGATGAAGGAATGGGAATCAGGCAGTAAAGGCTCCCTGGCTGGGAGGGGACAGCAAACCCTACCCAGTACCTGGACAAAGGACTGGACCTCTGCTGCCAGCTCTGTCTGGGAAATCCTCCTGGGCTCCCCAGCTGCATCCTGCTGGGAGCTGTCCTGAGCAGCCTTATCTGTGCTCTGAGCAGATGTGTCCCCTGAAGGCTCCTCAGGCACCTCCTCTTCCACCTCTGCCACATCTCCACATTCCTGGGGCTCAAATGCCACCTCCTCCAGCAACAACCTCTTCCCCTCTCTCTCATTGTCCAACTCCAGGCTCTCCTCAGACACTTCTTTACATTTCTCACCTTCAGGCACAGAGTCAGGGGCACCAGCCTGCTTGCTGAAGCACCAGCTCAATTTTCTTTGTCCCTCTGGTTTCTTCTGGGCAATTTTCTGGCACAGGCCCCTAAGCTGCTGCTGGCACGCAGCAGAAAGGGCAGTGGGATGTGGGGAGCTCTCCTGTGCCCTTGGTCCCTGCTGGAGCAGATCCCCCAGTGCCTGCACCCAGGGATCCACGCGGGAATGCTGCTCCAAGGCCTGGAGCAGCTGGTGAAGGCAGTCCCGTGGCACCGCATCCTGCACCACCAGGAGCAGGGAGAAGAGGTTCCTCTGGCACAAAACGGGCAGCAGCAGCAGCCGTGGCTTGCTGGAAAAGGAGAGGTGAATGGTCAGAGCAAATCTCCTGTCCTGAGCCCAACCCACCCCGTGGAGCAGAGTCCCACAGCACCAGGGAGCAAGAGGAGGCACCTGATGCTTTTGCAGACACGAGCTGGGACACCAGTGGGTCACTGCTATGATATCAGCTTCATGTATGGACCAGGAAAGTGGATTTTTACAAGGATCGAGGGCCATTGGTTGTTTCTGTGGATTTTTACAAAGATTGAGGGCCATTGGTTGTTTCTGCATGCAGATATGAGGATGATGAGAATGGATAGGGCGAATGATCCTAAGCAGGCTTTGATTAGGCCGGAATGGGGGGCAGTGGCAGTTTGGGTTGCTATTAGTTGTAGGTTGTGCACCTGACACCCAAAACTCCCGCAAAACACCGAGTTTTAGAAACGTATCCAACTCACACAGCCAGGGCGTCCTCTGGCCCCTCCAGCGAGGGCTCCTCGGCGCACAGGGCTGCGGTGAGAGCCGGCCAGGGGAACGCCAGCCCCGCTCCGTCCCGGGGCCGGCTCCGCTGCAGCGCCCGCAGCGCGGCCATGGCCCCCGCGGGGCCGGAGCACAGGGAGCGCAGCAGGAGGCGGCACGGCCGGGGACACCGCGGCAGCCAGGGCGGGCACCGCGGCTCCATCGCTGCGGCCGGGGCTGCACAGCCGCCTGCGGGACACGGGGACACCGGAGACGGTCACACACACGGGGACACCGGAGACGGTCACACACACGGGGACAGCCGGACACGGGGGACAGCCGGACACGGGGGACAGCCGGACACGGATGACAAACAAAAGGAACAGCCACACACGGGTCACACCTCCTACCAGAAGGCACCCCCACCCCGTTAATCCCTGCCCATCAAAACAACCCTACTAATTCACCCATTAGCACTGGGTGTGCCCCTAACAGCCAACCTCACAGCAGGCCACCTCCTCATCCAGCTCATCTCTACAGCTACCATAGCCTTGTCCTCCACAATATCAGCGGTCTCACTCCTAACCTTACTAGTGCTCTTCTTAATAACTATTCTAGAAGTTGCGGTAGCGATAATCCACGCCTATGTTTTCGTACTCCTACTGAGCCTATACGTACAAGAAAGTATCTTAACTCCCAATGGCACACCAAGCACATCCTTATCACATAGTTGACCCTAGCTTGACCGGACACGGGTCCCACTCGGGAGGCACGGGACGATCAGGACCTGCCTGTCCATGCTCGGCGCCCACCCCGGCATCAACCCGGGCAGCTGCCTTTACCTCTCCCCAGCCGAGGATGCGGGAGAGCACCGGGAGTCCCTCCGTGCCCTCCATCACCCCTTGGCTGGCAGCCCCACACGTACCCCCAGCCCAAGGCCGATCCCTCCCCTCCCGGGGGCGCTGCCGGTGCGGCTCCCCCGGGCCCCGAGCACCGCCCCGGTCACGGCCGGGCACACTCGGGGCAGGCCCCGCACACCCACCCGCGGCTGTCCCGGGCACACTCACTCAGAGCTGGTCCCGCACCCTCACCCGCCGCTGTTTCCCCGTCCCCGCCGCGCTCCGCCCGCTGCTCGCGGGCCCCGCCCCGGCATCGCAACCGGACCGCCCGCAAACGAGCTCATTATGCAAATATCCCTTAAATTCCAACCCAAACACCGCCTCCCCCCCCTCTCCCCCGAGGGTGGATCCCGCAGCGCACAGGTCACAGGCACCCGGAAGCGTAGCGTTACACAACCCGTTTTATTTCGTTATTCCCGGATTTGGCTAAAAAGAGTTTAAAAGTGCCCCCCTTGCTGCCCGGTCCCCGCCGTGGATGTCAGACCCCCCCGCTGCCTGCAAGCACCCAGCCCACCCCACCCGTGGGTCTGCCACGGGCGCAGAGTGGGCACCAGGGCAAGAGCAGGGGGGCTGTGCCCTGAGTCTCCCCCGGTGCACCCATCAATGCCAGACAGACTCTTCCCCACCCCATCCCTGCAGCACCCCCGCGGCTGGAGCCACCCCGAAACAATGGCAGGAGTCAGAGCAGCACCCAGGCCCAGCGTGGTCCCCCCACGACTCAGTCGGAATCGCTGAAGTCGATGAGAAGCATCTCGCGGCCATAAATCGAGTGGGGAAATTCTGTCTCCAGCATGGCCAGGGTGAGAGCCCACTCGAGCGTGCAGAGCTCCTCATCCTCCTCGTCAGAGCTCTCCGAGGAAGAAGGGATGAACACCTGCAGCAGAGGGGGGAGGATGAGGCACGCTCCCAGTGCCCAGCCCAGCCCCAGGATGTGCCACCCCACCTACCGTGGGCATCCTCAGCTGGCGCTGCCTGTGCCGCCGCAGCCAGCTGGCAGGCAGCTCGTGCAGGTAGATGCACTCTGATCTGAAAGGGCAGTAGCCACGCAGGAAGAATTTGCACCTGATTTTCCTGTGGGATGCCAAGCATAGTTGTGAGTGTAGCTCTCAGAGCAGCACTGAGCCCACAGCCCTGCCACCCGCAGCAGTGCCATGCACTCACCCTGTCCGTGCCTTGAAGGCTCTGATGAGCTTCTCCTTCTCAGCCACATCTGAGATCCAGTATTTGTGGGGGATGTAGTAGCTGGAGGGGATCCGGCACTCTGGGCAGGCCCTGGATGAGGGTGATGGGTGCAGTTGGGTGTCCCAAGAAGGGAGCAGGGAGCATGGGCTCAGCACCCACCCTGGCCTCACCCAGCACCCCCATACCCATCACCACCCCGAAGCGCCTGTTCTCAAAGCAAAACCACTCCAGTCCCAAAGCCACATCGCCGGACCCAAGGAAGAATTTCAGGGCACAGAAGGGGGAATGGTGACCACCGTGCCATGTCCCCATGGCCACTCACTTTATGACAGCGCTCTGGAAGGCCCGGCTGCGCCGCCACCTGCGGATGCAGCCCAGGCAGTAGGCGTGGCTGCAGTTCGGGAGGATCCCGAAGAGCCGCTCCTCGGGCAGCGCCTTCTCGTACACCCTGTCCATGCAGATGCCGCACACCACAGCCTCGCTCCGGGCTCTCAGCACTGCAGGGGTGACCAGGGCTGCCTCAGCACCTGGCTCTGCAGGGACCTGCAAGCAGACCAGCACAGCGTGGAACCCCCTGGCTCTGTCACTGCCCTGGCCTCGGGGAGCAGCCCAGGGTGACAGGGAGTACCTGGTCACAGGAGACCCCAAACCCACCTTTGCAGGGTCAGCCTGTGCCGCCGTCTCCAAAACTGCCTCTCTGGGGTCAGAGGAGTCTGGCTCCAGTGCTGGCCCTTGTGGCTGGAAGCCTGCAGGAGGAGAATCTTAGAGGGGAAAAGCTCAGAGACCTGGGTGGGCTGCTCAGAGTGTGCAGCTTCAGCAGTGACAGTCCTGGCACTGCAGAGCTCTCCAGAGCCCAGCCTGGCCCAGGCTTTGGTCATAAGCAGAAACATGCACAGGCTACTTCACCATGGCCACCCCAGTGTCATGGTCCCCTGGGCAGCCCAGCACCTACCTGAGGCACCCCGAGCTTTTGTGGGGACAAATTCTCCACTGATGGCCCCACGGGGGATGTAACCAACTGCTGGGATGTTCTTCTTGTCTTTCTCTTCCACTTCTACCTCCACTTTGGGGAACTTGAAGGCCACACATGTCATGCTGCAGGCCGTGGTGCACTGGGCTCCCCTCTGGTCCTGGTCCACGGCTGTGGGCTCAGTGCCAGGCTCCTGGCCACAGTGGCAGTGAGGCCTCAGACCAAATTGGGTTCCTACTGGCGCTGGCTCCTCCTGCATGTGCTGGTAGCTGGAGGAGCCCAGGGACAGATGCAGAGGGTCCCATCAGTTCAGCAGAGCTCCTCCAGGCTCCCAGCCCACCCTCATGGCATCACAGCCCTTCCTTACCTGCACTGCTCTCCATAACGGCAGAACCCACGCTGGAAGTACCTGCAGACCTGGGCTGACTCTCTGTCGTGTGAGAAGCGGCAGCTCTGGCCCCACCGGCAGGATCCACGGGCAAAATTCCTGTTAGCCAGGGGAGCAGTGTGGATGGGCTCAGACGCTGCTCCAGCCCTGCCCTAGAGCCCCCCCCGGTACCAGCTTTGCCCCCAAAAATATGTTGGGGACAGATTTTGGAAGCCCCCCTGGCTGGTGTCTGGGAGGCCTCGCCAAGGGCAGAGCCAGGGGGTCCTCCCAGCCCCATCCAGCCTAATCTCCTGCTAATTGCCGAGCAAAGGAGGCCCAGGACAGGGACTGGGGGCTCTCCTGGGGGCTGGGGGAGCAGCGGTACCGAGGGCTGGGGCACAGAGAAGGGTGGGAGCCCTTGGCTGGGGGCTGGCAGGAACGGGGGCATGGCTGGAATGCTGCCGCCCACCCCCAGCTCCGGAGGGGATGGGGAAATGGGGAGGGGGATCGAGGCCATCCCTACCCCCACAGCGAGGGGCCCCATCTCGAGCCTGTCTCCCCCAAAAGCTGCTCCCAGCCACCCCCTCCTCAAGCCTTTACCTGCACGGGGGTCTCAGAGAGCTCGCCTCGGTCCTTAACAGCCCAGATGCCATCATCGAGCCCACCTCCATCTCTTGCCCAGCAGTGAACGGGGCTAGGCCGCCTCCCAGCGCTATTTATGGGTCCGGCTGGGATCGTTCTCCCCCAATAGCCGGGGACACGTGTTTGGGGCGGAGGACAAGCCCGGGCTAGTTGATAGCAGCCGCCGCCGAGCACTGTTTACACTCAGTCAAGGACTTTGCAGCGCGGAGCCTGCACGGGGCCACCACTCCAGCCTGCAGCCCTAAATTCTGTGTATTCTAATTCTTTTACCGTTACTATTCCCCCTTCCTTTTCAGCCCTGTCTTTAACTCAGCCTGTGGATTTCACTTCTCAGTTCTCTCCCCCATCACACTGGGAACGGCTGGATAAGGTAATGCTGCCTGTTGGGGTAACCACACAGGGAGGGTCTCCAGCCAGGTCTCCTGGGACCCCTGCCCAGCAGCACCACGGCTCCCAGTGTCCCCAGCTGCATGGGAGAGGCAGGAGCAGTGCAACAGCTTCCCCCAGAGCACTCAAGCCGAGCACAGGGGAGCCTGGGGGGTCTCCAGCTCCTCCTGAGCAGATTCTCAGGTGTTTTACCACAGCCAAGGACAGCCAGATTGCCAGCACTTGACTGTCCTGGAGCTCATTATTCCCCCCGTCGCGGTGTTTTCAGCTCATTTCCAGCTCCACCCCCAGCATTTGGGGCGCAAATCCTCCAGCTGAGGCTGGGCTCCTGCTTAGGACTGGCTCTTTCTGCTGCTTTAGGTTTGCAGGCAAGAAAATCACAGCAGGTACGAGATCTGAGAATTACAGAGCCTCGGGAATCACAGCAAATCCCTGGAAATCACAGCAAATCCCATCACAAATTTCTGCTGGAAAGTCTCCCACGGACAGCTGCACCCAGGTGCTGAGAGAGAGCCCACAAAGACAGGCTGGATGCTAAAAGGTTCTTAAATATTTAGTTCAGATTTATTTAAAGTCAAGTCAGTTTGTAGACACTATTTATATTATTAAAAACACTTGGAGGTTTGTACTTCTAGCAAAAATATACATTTCAGTTTGAGGGTTGTTATACTGTCGAGGAAGGAAGAGCAAAAAGTTTCCCAGGTGATGGGCACGAGTCCTGCATTGCCACCGGGGTGGGGACAGCACCGGGATTTTGGGAAGGACAAATCCCAGGCTCCAACCAGCACATGCATGTCTCCAGTGCCTTCCCCCAGAGGGCTTCAAAGTGCTTCAGAAACGGTGATTCCCAACACCCCTGCGAGGTAGGGACGGGAGGGCTGGGCAGGGAAACTGAGGCACGGCAAACTGAGGAGTGTGGCAGCAGGGGGAGGTTTGGGACCGGCCAGCCCTGTGATGGGGAGGGAAAGCCCAGTGCTCTTCCCCTTTGGGTTTTAAAGGAATTATTGCACCAGGGAAATCTGCTACCCTGAAGAGGAGGAAAGTAAAATAAAACCGAATAATTTGCTCCCACAACCCCTCCTAGGGAATATCAGTATTTTAATAAGGCTGCTCAGGACACAGGGAAGGAGCTGCAGACAGGGAAGGGTCACTTTCATTATCCTGAAAGGGAAACTGAGCCCTTCCCAGGTCCATCCTCCCCCTGCCCAAAGCCCAAGGGACACAGCCCCTACCCCAGGGGCCTGGCCTGGCCCAGGCAGCACCGTGGTGTTTCACTACAGCTGTGGGAAGTTGTGAGGTAAAATCCCAGAGTGGTGCTGGGATCAGGCAGACCTCCAGGCCTGGAGCTGTTCCCACTCTTGGGAACAGTGGCAGAGGTGGACTGGCAGCTTCCCTGCCACAGCCACGCTCACTGGGAAGCTCCAGCTCATTGTGAGCATCCCAACCACCCCCCTCCCTGGTTATAAATCCTTGGCATTTACAGCTGCAAAGCTCTCTGCAACCAATGCACTAACAGATCCTTGTGCTCCTGCTCGGAGCAGGCAGCATGTGACAATCCAGGTCCCTTTCACAGAGGGGAAACTGAGGCAGGACACCAAACCCTGACCAGCTCAAGGCCCCTGACCCTCCACACACCTTTTTTGTAACCAGGTCTGTGCAGAGCAGCCTGTGGAAGCCACGGATTCTGTGCCTCTGCTCTGAAGGTGAATTTTAAGGAGTCAAATCCTTTCCCTGCTACTTCCCCATCCCAGCCTCTCTCCTACTGAGGTGCCCAGGGACAGGTTCCCTATGGAACAAGGGTGCCAGGAGCAAAGGCTCCCACGCAGCACCCAGGAAGGCAGAGTTCCCACAGTCCCACTGGGAGACAGGAACACACTGCAGAGAGAGCTGAGAGTCTCCCCTGGGACAGCCCTACATGTGTTCAAATACTCCAGAGCTTTTCTTTGGGAAAGAGAGGAACATCCTTTCATCACACTGTCCCAGACTTCATGGCTCAGGACCACGTCCTTGGAGTGCAAATGAACAAGAGAATACAGACACACCCTAAGTGCTGCTGTCAGCCCTGCTGGCCCCTGCACCCCCTTGGCCCTCCTAAGGACCAGGGCTCCCCACCCACAGTGACCTAGCTGCCTGAGCCATGTAAACTGGGCAGCCAGAGCTGGGCCACAGAAGGGGAACAGCAGCTTTGCAGATTTGTTAGTGTGTGTTAACGGAAGCCCTGGCCGAGCAGGAGGCACCTGCAAATCCTGATGGCATCTTGCCCTATGTACCGTACGTCAGGGTCACGTAGAAAAGAGTTTCCAGTAGGAGAAATGGAAGACACTGGGAAGTTTTCTTTGTTTCTGTACAAAGAGTCTTGATGGGAATCCATGGCTTCATTCTCATAAATAACAGTCCTTAGTACATGTCCTTGTAGATCTCCTGCAGAAGTGGGTGCAGAGATGTCTCTGTCTCTGTCTTCTTGATCTTCTGCACCAGCTGGGCGTGCTCTGTCACCAGCTGTCGCAGGTCAGCCATCTTCTGCAGCAGCTTGGGGAAGAGGTACTGGGCATCCGGGTGGTTGGACTGCAGGTGGAACTCCAGCGCTCTCAGGATGTTGTCTTGGATCTCCTCCACCTGCTTCACGTTCATCAGGCCAGGGCGGTCTGTGGAGAGGAAGCAGGGGAGCTGCAGGGTCATGGTGCAGCCCTCCACAGTGCACTCTGCTCCTGGGGAGAGGGAGCCAGGGACTGTAACCCACCCACCATGACTCCAACCTCATCAGCTAGAAAGGGGAGAAGTGTGCCCTTGGACAATGTATCCACAGCAGCACATGAGAAGGAGATGTCACTTCTACATTCCTTGCTGTTGGTCCAAGCTTGCCAGGTATCACCTCCACAGAGAAGCTTTGGTTTTGGAAGTGTTCAGTTCTTCTCTCATGCCCCTGAGACATCCCAGGCTGACCTCAAACCCAGCTGCAGCTCACTCCCCTAGCCCCCTCTGAACCACCTCTAAGCAGGGAGAACTCTCTTCCTGACCCTGGCACGGCCGAGGGCGCCCGCTCACCTCCACACAGGATGATGGCAGCCACAAACAGGGACAGGTCACTGTCATCCAGCTCCAGCGCATTGAACTTCACAGCAAACTCAAATTTGGGCTCCATGATCTCACTGAAGGGCTTGCGCAGGCTGCGCAGGAACTCGCGGGTCACAAAGCCGTTCCCGTTGGCCACCAGCAGCCCGTCCTTGTTCATGATGGAGGCCAGCATGGCAAAGATGGCCTCGTGCACCCCGTACTTGAGCAGAGTCACTTGGTCGTTCAGGTAGAGGCCGACGAAGCTGGGGATGCTCTTGGCGAACTCGGTGAGCTCCCGCACGGTCTCCACCGTGGTGCACTGGCAGCGGTAGAAGACGTGCACCCCGATCTCCTTGTAGGGGGGGATGCCGTTCACCAGCTGCTTCCACACCAACCCCTTCTCTGCCTGCCACAAGGTGTCCATGTCATGGATCACAAAAGGCTGCTTGAACAAGAAGCAAGTTAGGAGTCTGCTGCGGGGACTCGAGGTGCCAGCTCTGCTCAGGACAGTCATGTTTGTCTGTCTGTCCCTGTGCTGTGCCCTGCCTCCGGGGCTGACAGTGCCCAGCTAATCTGCACCCACCCACCACAGCACAAGTGTGCAGAGCAGTGGGGTTTTTCCCAGCAAGGGGCAGGACATGCAGAGCCCACCTGGCTGCATGGGAACAGCTATGGCAGCATCTCCCAGAGAACAGTCCCCCGTGCTGGCCATGGCCAACCCCACCTGTCCTGGGAGGGAACTTACTGGGGTGCTGCTGGCCTTGCCGGTCAGGATACCTCTTGCCTTCTTTTTGGTCATGTTGAAATTCTTCAGGTAGGCGTTGTAGATGTGCTTGGAGAAAGCTTTCAGGTCAGCCACCTGTGGGTTCTGGCAGCCGATCTCGCTCGCTGTCAGCCCTGCCACCAGCTTCCTCTTCTCTGCCTCTGGCATGCGCCCAAAGCGGATTGCTGGGGGGCAAAACTGGGGTCAGGATAGCAGGGGGCCCCCAGGAGATGCATCCAGAGAGGCAGCAGCTTGTTCTGCCACTGCAGACAGACAGGTCTGCTGGAGAACACCTGCAGCTGCACAACACAATGCTTCTCCAGCTGCAGTTCTTCTAGCACTAACACCTTCATGAAACAGCCACTGCTGCTTCCTCACTCCAGACTCCCATCCCAATCCTCCAGCTCTTGCTCAAACCCTGCTTCCCACATAAACACCTTTGCCTGTCTGGGTCTGAGATTCTTACACCTGAAGTGTAAAAGTCCTAGCACAGAAAAACAATTTGTGTGTCCAGTTCCCTCAGGGCCAGTCCATAAGGGACAGCCACGTGCCAGCAGCTGCACTGCATGGGGGGAATGAATAGCCCCTTCTCATACAGAAAAAGGGGAAGAGGAGACAAATGCTTGAAGGACTGGGTTTGAATGATCCCCTGGCAAGAAGAGGCACAGGCTGAAGCACAGCAGGCCATGGGCACCCTTCAGAGGAGGGCAGCTGGCCCTGTGTCACCCAGCTGGCCAGGCCTGTGGGCAGCAGTGACACTCACCATTGTGTGACATGCCCAGCGAGAGGCATTTCTGGAAGCGGCAGTACTGGCACTTGTTTCTGTTCTTCTTCTGAATCTTGCAGCTCCTCTCACACTTCTCGTACTCCAGCTTCATGCGGATTGTCCGGCGGAAGAAACCCTGCAGGCAGGGAGGGAGCAGGGGGACATGGAGTCTGGGACCAGGCTGGTTTGTTATCCCCAGGAGCTGCAGGGAGGCTCAGGAGGGGGAGCCCTGGGTCTCTCTGGGGGTCTATGCCAAGGAAAGGTCATGTGGTGGCAGAAAGGAGCTGCAGAGGAAGAGGTGTGGGGGCACCCCATGCCTGGTGCTGTGACTGTGCCAGCAGCCCACAGAGGGGGATGGAGGAACCAGCCATGGCCAACCCCAGCCTGCAGGAATGTCTGGCAGGATCTGGGCTGCTAACACAACCCTGCTGGATCTGCTGCAGGGGAAAGAATTCCAGAGGAACATCCAAGCTGCAGCCAGTGATCCCAGGGAGATAAACACACAGCTCACTGCTGATCTGCAGAACACAAACTATTTTTAAAAATAAACTCAGGGTCCCTATGGGGACAGATGGATTTGCCTTACACAACAAAGCATGACAAGGCAAGGTTTGGGCCATACAGGTCTCAGCCCTCTTCCCAGGGCCGCATTTGCTGCCTGCTGATACTTGCCCCTTTCTAGACAGGCTGAGTTTTTTACAATCAATCCCGAATCCCTGTTTTGCTGCAAATTTTGTGTGAGGAGGCAGCCCAGTTGCTGGGATCTAATCCCTGCTTGGTGCTGCTGGACCCAGCTGTCCCTGGGACTCACCTTGCAGCCCTCACAGGCATGCACGCCGTAGTGGAAGCCCGAGGCTTTGTCCCCACAGACCCTGCACTCCACGTTCAGCGCTCCCAGCGCCGCCTCCTCGCAGCCCATCTGCAGCTGGTCCGACAGCGAGGGAGAGGAGCTCTGTGACAGGTCTGCAAACACACACAGGGACACGTCCTTCCATGTCACAGCCACAGGCCCAGCTCCTGGTGTGGCCAGCTCATCCAGCTGTGGGGCTGATTTCTGGCCCTGTCCTGCCTGCCCCTGTATCACATCTGGAATCTGGCACTGGCTGCAGGCAAATGCCATCAACAGAGCCAAGAATGCCCCAGCAGCTCAGACTCCACATCAATGCTCCTTTCTTCCCTCTGGCATTCATGTCCTGGCAATGAAACCCCAACCAGCAGATTTTATAATCCCTTGTTGGCCAGCTGCTGGCACAGGATATCCCAGCGGGAACATCAAGGGCTCTGGAGGAGTCTCTTCTGCATCCACAAACCTTCTCTCCCACCTCCTACAATCACTTTGCTCTGAGGATCCCAAAAAGTGTCCAAGGAAGCATTCCCAAGCACCCTGGGAGGCCCCTTGCTCTGAAGCACAATGATACCTGTCCTTTTAATTTCCACTCCAAAACCCATTGCCAATGGACATGCAGTGATCTCAGAGGAAGAAGTAAGCCTCTCCATAACTTGGAGCATTATTTCACAAATAAATGTGAAATGTTCGGCTCAGCTGAACTCCATTCAGGGACAGATCCTCTACCCTTGCAGCTGGGCATGCTGCCTGGGGGCTGTGGACACCTGGATGCTCCACAGGATGAGCTCCTGTGGCTCCACTCACCTGTGTAGCTGCTCGAAGGCAGCGAGCTGTCTGGTCCTCCAGTTGGGTCTGAGGCTCCACTTGCTACCATCACTGCCTCTTCCTCTTCCTCTTCCTTGACCTCAGGTACTTCCTCCTGTAGTTGTTCCATAATTGATCACCCCTCAGTGCCAAGACTGCAATCCCTGTCATAGCTCTGGCATCATCCGCGTCTATCCAAGATGGACCCCACCAGGCTGTTCCTGCTAGCCTGCAGGACATGGAGAGAGGCCACTGAGTGCCTGCAGGGAGCAGCTCAGCAGCAGGGCAGTGTCACCAAGCACACCACTCCTGCTCTGGGCTGGCTCCTTGGCCAGTGAGACATGCAGAGCAGGGCACATTTAAAGATCCCTCTGCACTGTGGATTAAATATTCTGTAGGATTCAAGGAAGCAAAAGCTCAAAGAATTGTTTTTAAAGCCCAGCAGACCACAAACCAGCCCAGATAACCCAGGGACCAGGGGTCCCCAGCTTACAAGTCCCATAGCAGCCATGCTGCCCCAGACAATGTCCCCCACAGCCAACAGCTCCAGAAGGATCAAAGTAGGACTGGCTTCACCCTCTGTCCCTGCCCAGCCATGGCAGAGCCTGGATTGGGAGCAGCAGCTGATCAGGGCACACTGTGCCCGTGGGTCAAAGATACCGGGGGAGCAGGGCTCAGTGCAGCAGCAGGCAGTGGCTAAAAGTCCCTGGCCCATGCAAGCCATCTGCAAGACTGATGGCTTCCTGTCAGCCCTGCACTCACACTCCTTCCCGTCAGAGTGCTGCCAGTTGCAGCCTTTGTGTTTGTTTTCACTTGGCTCCTCTGCCAAGAGCTGGGCTGAACGTGTTGCTGTTGCTCTGCGCAGCTGCCGGGCCGTGCTCAGCCACGGGGTCCAGCAGTGCAATCCCAACAGCCACACAATCCAACCAGTGTCTTAATCCCGGGTTTCCTGTGGGAGGAACGGCCCCATCCTCCCCCACACACTTCCTCTCCTTGTTTGCCTTACTCCATCCCAAAGAGCCCACAAAAACCTCCAGCCGTCCAAACGATGCAGCACCGGTACCGTGGCTATGGCAGAGCAGTTCCCACCTCCCTCCCAGCCATGCTGGATCTTGATCCCTAAACTGACTCTTCTTGAATAATTAACATCTCAAGCACATCTTATATAAAGTTCCATCCACTTCCTTAAGAGAGTTATTTTTAAGTGGAGAAATACCCATCAGGAAAGTCACTGAAATCCAGGTTCAACCGAGAGAGCCTTGATTTGCAGACCCAAATTAAACTAACACAGGATATTGCAGGGGCCTTGTATAAGGGCAGCCCCAAGCTCTGGGATGGTCTGTGCCCCGTGCCCAAGCCCACAACACAACTCAGGGCTTGCTGGGCAAGGGCAGCAGTGACCAGGACTCCCTGGATTTGTTTGCCCTCCCACAGCAGACCCTCACACCTGGCAGCTTCAAACTTGAGCTGCAGCCAGCTCCTTGGATTGCTGGAAAGACATCAAGGTCAGAGCTCCCTGAAAGAGCAAGGAAGCAGCTCAGGCAGAGAACAAAACCTGCAGGTGGGAGGCTGAACACAAACACGTCACAAAGCCAGAACACAAGTCACCCCTGGAGCTGGTGCTGTACCAGAACCTGGGTCTCCTGTGGCTGAGGGAGCTTTATTTTTTCCCTCCACACTGGGAACTCAGAGTGCAGGACAGGTGGCTTTGTTTCCAGGTGAGGTACACTAGTGGCACCAGTGAGCACACTGCCCTGTGCTCCTTGGCAGCAGCAGCAGCAGGGGCTGCTCCCTCCCTGTGCCTCCACATGAGCACTGAGGGACCATTGAAGGGCTGTGTTATCCTTGGCCTCTGCTCACACATCCCACACGGTGGGGCATGGCAGACAGGCAGGAAAACTTATTCACTGGAGATGGAGGGTAATGAACTTCACTGCTTTCAGGGTTATATATAAATGATCACACCAACATCAGGGAAACACTTTTGCCTGGAAGAGCAGTTAGTGGGGGAAGCTCGTGGCAGGAGAAGCTTGTCTACAGTGGAAAATCCATCCTGCAGCAGCTTAACAAGCAGCTCATGAGATTCCCCTTGTCCCTGGCACCCAGCACAAGCCCCTTGCTTTAAACCCACTGCAGACAGAGCTCTCTGCTTTGCCCCAGATGTCTGCACAAGCATCTCATGACTTGCTGTGCCCTTGCCTCAATGCCTGTTCCAAGGAGCTTTGGTAACCCTGGCTGAGCCAGCAGCTTCCTCTGCAGCTGGTGCAGGGAGGGTTTGTTTGCTGGCTCTGGGCTTGGGCTGATGCCTGCTGGCTGCAAACAGCTTGGGCAACAGGTTTGTCTTTCCTAGAAGATGGCATCTATGCCAAGCTAAACCATCAGTGGGAACAGGGAGAGAGACGTGGCACAACCAGGAGAGGAAAAACACAGGAATAGAAGTTAAAAGGAGATAAATCTTCAGTGTGGATTCCCTGCAAGAAGGTAGAGCTTCTCCAGAGCTGACCAAGATCCAAGCCTCTAGATCATCAACCAACAGCTTGTGCCCCTGTGGCCTGGCAGCTCCCCTGGCAGCCAATCCTGCTGATTAGCACATAAACCCTGGAGCCAAGCTCAGAGTTTCCATGCAAAGCACCAAAGAAAGGTCCAAACCTCCCAAGAGTCAAGTCACAGAGTTGATCTGCCCAAAGCAGTTTTTCAATACAACTGTACTATCAAAGAGGTCATAAAGAATGGCAGAAGGAAACCAATAAAACGTGGGAATGCTCCTCGCTTGTGTTTATTCCTCTGGACAAGAAAGTTCACCAAATTCACAGCCAAAAGAAACAGAAGGGGTGAGTTGAGAAATCAGCACTGTGATGTGCAGCACATTTTGAATCCACAGTCAAAAACTGACCTGAATCCATAAAGGAGATGTGATTGCTGCTGGTTGACCACCTTTTGGAGACTTCCTCAGGTTGTGTCACTGCTTCCAAGATCTGCTGATCAAGTACCAGTTTCTGTTCCTCCTCCTACACGTCAGCTATTACTAATAAAAGCCAAATAAGAGCTAAGCAGATGCTGCAATACAGGAAAGGTAACTGAGAGTACAAAACAGGCGAGAGGAACGCTGAAAACATGTTTATGTTTGCTCCTGGAAGATCAGCATATCCCCAAATTAGCCAATGAGATCTCAGCAGCACTTAGTAGCTGAGTGTTTCCTTCCTTACTCAAAGTCTTGGCCTCAAGGCAGGCAACACACAAAAATAAACTACTACAGCTAGCAAGGAAGAGCCCTCCCACACAGCACTCACCTGGATGGACATTCTGGGACAGATTTTTCCCCTTGAAGCATCTGCTTAGATGCTGCACCATGCCCCAGAGCCCAGTCCTGTGATTCTCTCTCCAAGGCTGCTCAGTGTGGACCCCCTGTGCTTCCCCAAGAGTGAGCTGGGCTCACTGAGCACAGGGGTGCTGCCAGAGCTGCCATGACCATTAGCTGCTGCTAATTACTCCAGGACTTGTGGCACAGGGTGCAGGAGATTCCCTCAGCTGCCTGGAGCAGCCTGGCTTGCCAAAATGAATCACACATCTATTGCATGTTTTAACTCACCCACTTCCTGGGCACTGAGGGGGGAAATAACCCCAGCCCATTAAAAAGGTTACAAAACTTGATGGATTCTTCTCTTTTTGTAGCATGATTGATGCTGTCCCCAAAACCAGGTCATGACATTTTGCTCCAAAAGGAACTTGCTGCTGGCTTTGTCCAGACTCTAAGAGGTGTTGCAGACACAGAAAAAAGAGCAGATTTTGGGCACTGAACTCTCAGCCATGCACAAAGCAGGGTCTGCCAGGCTGCTCTTCTCCAGGAGTTGCAGCCATCCCTGGCTCCAGCAGCAAGCATGCATGGGATGTGCTCCAAAATGTTGAGATGGCAGGGATGGGAAGACAGAGGAATCATCCCTGAACAGCTTCCCTCCCAGCAGAGGGACTCCCTGCCCTCATCAGGCTCTGTGGCTGATGGGCAGCAGCAGGGCAGGCAGGGAAAAGCTGCACAGCTCTTAGCTCTTAATGGAAGTGCTGCTCCATGACCTTCAGCAAATCTGGTCAGGTTCCCTACCTCCATTTCCTTGATCATAAAAAAAAAAAAGCCCCAACCAAAACCAAAACCCACCACAAAGAAACAAACCCAGGATTTTTACAATGCTTCCTTCCTGATCATTCCCTGGCTGCATTAGCTCATGGAGACAGCATGTTTTGGAAGTGCAGAGCAATAGATCAGTGCCAAGTGTCATTGTTTATTCCTGCATTACAGATTTTGACACCTGTTAGCAGTCACACTCGCAGGTCTGGCCTGCCCAGCCCCAGATCAGCTCCCTGCACTGCTCGTGACCATCTTCTCCTGTTGTACATTCCTGTACAAGGCATTCCAGGATGACTTTCAGGAAGTAAACTGGCACATCTCATTCTGCCAAGTGCTGACTGGTATTTGGGTTTAGTGGTCAACTCAGGACAGCCAAAGTATCTATGGCCAGGAGGGGCACGTGGGTCTGACCCACTGGAACAAGGACAGCAGCCAGGAAACAAGCAGGTACTGGAAAGGTGACACCACTGGGACTTCTCAGTGCTTGAAATGGCACAGAAGTGCTGCTATTTGAGAAGATCATTAAGTCTGGCAAAGAGAGAGGATCATCTCCCTACAACCCAGGGCACAGCAGAGGTGGCTGTGAAACTGTGGCAATGCTTTGGGATCACACTGCAAACCTGGCTGTGTGGGATATATTCCCCTCCTCTTTAGCATCCCCGAGGTGAGGAGGTTGGAGGCTCAGAACTCAATAAGGCACTGTAAGATGACGTGTTCCCAAACTGCTGAAGTCCTCTTGGCTGTACTCCAAGGCAGTCAGTTTGCTTAGGGACCCCTTGTCCTCCCGAACCTGAGCAGGACACGTGGAAGGATCTGGTTTCAAGAACATCAGTAATTATAGAACAGGGCTGGTGAGGGAGGAGCTCACAGAAACAGCAACACCACTTCCCAAGGCAAACAGTGGGCACAGGGTGCTGCAGACTCAGAGCAGCACTAAAATGGAGCTCCAGGAAAGCGGCGAGTGGAACAAGCTGTGGCTGTGAACGGGAGCACTGCTGGCGGTCAGCGAGGCCAAGTTTGGCAGTGCTGCACACACCAGCACCCAGCTTAGATTTCCTCAAAGTCTCAGGGTCACTGGGACACCAGCAAGTGCCATCCATGCTTTGGAAGGGGCAATCAGCTCCTCAGAAAAGCAAGGGGGGCAGAAAAGCAGCAGTGGGCCGATGAGTCACTCAGGATCACACACATGCATGCAGCCTCTGTCTGGAGCCAAACATCCAGCAGGCCCCTAGGTTTTAGTGCTATGTTACCAGTGCTCCCAGACGCACAAAAATGCCCACAAAACCAACAGCAAGCCTCCTCCTCTTTGCAGCAATAGATTTTAGACCCCATGGATTAACCAGGAAAAAAATAAATCCATCAGCCTGTAAGTTTTGTTATGTTTACACTTGGACTCGCAGAGAAGTGCTACTTGGTTTTGTAGACTTTAGCAAAATACCCTGGGCACCAGGCATGCTGCTCTGCTCCCAGGACACAGCTGACAGAGAGCAATTGTGCCCAGGCCCAAGCTGGATGATTCAGCAGGCCCAGGAACATGCGCAGCGGGACAAACGGAGCAGATTGCTGTGTCTGCTGCAGCTCCCCTTCAGCCACAGAGCAGGAAAACAGAGGGGTCCCAGTCTGACTGCACACATCCCCCCAAGAAAACCTCCAGAGAACACCAGAATCGCTTTTCCACACAAACTAGTACAACACCCTCTCAGGGAATGAGGTGGGAATGCTGTTTCCTTGCTATTTTTGGCCACATTCACATAGCAATAGCTGCCTGGACAACAGAGATTCCCCAGCCTTTTCAGCAGGGAAAGGAGCAGCCACGGTGTCAGTGTGATCCTGCCAAGACTCACAGAGTGCTCTGACCATTTGGATTTCTGCCTCGGCCCCCAGAAAACAAAATGCTTGAGCAAAGCATTCGCACCTTTCATAACATCCTCGTGCCTTTGGCACGGTCTTGGGGGTACAGGGTGAGCCACAGAGCTCACAGCCAGCATCAGCTACTGCTTCCTGACACAGCCAGCTGCTGGCAGCTCAGCAGGCTCCTCAAGTTCATGCTCACCAACAACCCTTTTCCAGAGATCGCCATGTCCCCAAGTTCCACAACACAAGTTCTACCCCATGGACAGGAGAACCCAGGGGTGTTTTCAGAGATGTGGGTTTCTGACCATCAGCCCTCGTGGGGTTAACAGCTTTCAAGAGCCAACATCTCCAGCAGAACCCATATAAACAATTTGAAGGTGAAAAGCTGATTTGGACATTTGCAGAAATATCCCAGATGGCAATATGATGAAATCAAGAGTTCCACTGAAAAACACTTGTAACAAGTCAGGCAGGACAGGGATTTGAGCTTAGGTTCCCATCAACAAGATGAGTGCACAAAGCATTGCTTATTTTGAAGCCATGTCACACAACCCCTGCCAGGAAAGGCCTGACAAAGCCTGTCCTAATGAGATAGGCATGTGTTTCGCAGTAAAGTCTGTCTTAACAGCCCATCAAAGAAATGCTTCCCTATCTGCTCATCTGCCCTTTCAAATCACCAAAACCATTCCCTGTCTCCAACCCACATATCTGTTAAGGGTTGAACATGCATGTTCTGGTTTTTGCTATTTCAAGTTCCAGCTCCCAGACCAGGGCAAGTCAGGAAATGCAGCCTGATGGCACCAGCTTGGATACCTTGGGGGTGACCAGGCTGTGCCTATGCCCCAGCCCCAGAGGTGGGTTCTGCCTTGACCCAGCACCAGAACAAACACTTGTGCTGTGCTTTCATCCCGCCACTTCCTCCTCCATGGTCAGGATTCCCCTGCAAACCACTCCCCAAAACCCCAAACTTTGAGCAGAGCCTGTCTGTGAGGTCCCCAGGAAAGCACCCCAACATACACAGGCATTTCAGAGCCCTTTCAAAGCCAAACAGACCTGACCAAAACGATCCCAGATGTTCACGAGCTCTTGGCTAAGCCTTGGAGAACACAGACATTTTCCAGACACTACGACTGAAACAGTGAATATTAAAGCATTTCAAGAAGTCATAATGAAACTAAGATACATCTCGAGTCAGTTCTGCTCTGAACCCTTCCTGCAGTCAGGCAGGGCTCCAGTGAATGTCATCCCAAAACATATTTTGGGGAAGATGCACTTCACAATCTCCTTGACCAAAAGGATTCATACTGGCATCAATCATTCCACTCTAAACCCTGCTTTGGGAAAGCAATTTCCCAGGCATTCTGCCAAGGCAAGCAGACTTCAGAATAATTAACAAAAAAATAAAACTAGTTCTACAGAAAAATCTTACTTGTCCTCACTATCCAAATAATTTCTGCTTGTCCAGATTTTCCCAGAGTATCCCAAATTACTGCAGCAGTGCATCCCTGAACAGAGAGACTTCTGGAAAAAGCAGAGATTACTCTGCAGCACCTGATGAGAAGCAGCAATGCAGCCCGACGAAATTGTGGTTATCAGATTGTTCCTGCCCTAAGCAAAAGAGTCAGTACAAACCACAAAACCCCTGACATCCAAAATGTCATTGTCAGGGCAAGCCAGGCTGGGCTCTGACAGCAAATAACCTTTCAGGCATAAGCACTGTAACATCATCTCACCCAGTTAAAACATCATTTGTATGTCAGGTTCTGTTGTTCAGAGGAGCCCAAGAGTCTCTTGTTGTGCCAATCCTTCAGTCTCCAAGAACATTTGCAGATTTCCAGTCCATAATTCAATAGCCACGGACGAAATACTCCCCAAAGGGTAACAAGATGTACTGTACAAAAATACATATTTTTCAAAAGGCTTCACGCAAGAAAGACAGAGCCCATCAACACCAGAAAGGAATTCTGTACAACAATGCTCTTCTGATCAGCAAAGCCTCACGGGGCTCATTATAAAATCCTCTCCACACGCTGTGAAGATCCTTGGAAGTCTGTGTCTTGAATACCAGAACAGAGATGGCGTAACCATTGCGCCAATCTGACACAAAACCCACAACAGCTCAACACCTCAGAGCTGTGTTGAGGCAAACACACACCCACAGCCACATGCAGACAGCCACAGCACCGCTGATTCCAGGAACCGCTCCAGAGGTCTGCAGGCAGGACAGTGCCTGCCCATGGCCTGCTGACCACCTCCTCCAAACCCCTGTCCTGCCTCTGCCACGGCCTGCTCAGCTTTGTCCCACACCGACAGCACCAGCACCGGGTCGTGTGTGGGACCGTTGGGTGATTGGTGACCCACATGCAGCTCCGGATCTCGTGTGCCCTCCCTCATCTGCAACAGCCAATTTCCATCATAAACATCAGTGAAATAATGAAATGTTATGACACTATGCCTTGACAGCAAGAGCCTGTTGAGGAGAACAGGATTAGTCCTCACAGTGTATTCCTAAAGTAATCCACAAGATCATATTCAGAAACTGAACAAAAATAAGGCACTGAGTTTAAAGTTAAAATTAAATTTAAGAAAGTTTAAGCTCACGGACAAAGGCAAACTTGCTGGAAGCAAGCTGCTCTTCCCTAGCCCAAGTTTTCAGAAACGCTGCTGAGTGCCTGGGTGGGAGGCCTGCATGCAAAGGGGAAGGGTTACCTCTGCAGAGCAGCTGTCCTTGTCCGCCTGCCGCCGACAGCCACCGCTCGGTCACCATGTCAGCACGGACACCAGGACCTGGAGCAATCTGCAGGAGGACACACAGCAAGTTGCCACGGCTGTGCTGAAGGCCAGATATTTATGCTGCTGGGAGCGCTGGGCTGGGTCCAGCAGCAGCTCTGAAATTTAAACACACACTGCCTCTTTTGCACGCTGAAACCCTGGGCCAGGGTGACTGCAGGGAGCCACTGCCACAGGCAGCATCTGCCCCAAGACCAGGAGGGAGAGCAAACCCTGGGGTGTCCCCATCCCCTCACCATGGATGTCACCTTTGCCTCAAGGCACCTGCAGCCAGAGGCTGATGACCCTGAGCTCTTATGACAATGCACAAAGTTGATGCTAGCAAAAAGGTCTATGGTGGCCACAAGGCTGCTTGTTTACCCAGCTTGCTTACTCCACCTTCAAGAGGCTGCCAGAAAGTTCCTGCAACTTTAATGAACTTCCTCTTGGGTGGCTGAAACTTAAGGATTCAACAGAGTTCATTCACTCTTCTTGGTTTTCCTGATAACTTTGCCTTGTATGAATTTCAGACTCAAAAGAGAAGGAAGAGACTAATGCTGAAAAAAAAATGGCTTATGAGGCTTTGAACTAGAGGACTTAGAGGAAATATGTCCTATTTTTAGACAGTTATGCAGACTAACTGGACTAAAACATTAAACAAAGATGCTGTGAACATGATGCTATTTGCACCCGCATACCCTCCTTGACATTACCCAGGCTTAGCTGCTCCTCCCACTCCAATGAAAAGCCCCATTTTGTATTGCTGCCCTTGGCATGGGACAACCTGTGAGGCAGCTGAGGACCAGCAACAAACCAGCAACAAACCAGCAACAAACCAGCATCACCAGCCCCTACCAGGCCAGGCAGCAACCTGCGAGTGCTGTGCTGAGAGTGAGCCCCCAGTGCAGCACATCCTTCCAGGTCTGACATGGAAACTGCAGCTGCCCAGGAGAGATGGAAAAAGAAGATGAACCCCCTGCCTCAAAGGGTGAGTGTGGCCTGAGTGTAGAGGGTGTTCCCTACAGGATCAAGAGGAGGGCACAAGTGCGAGATCAAAAATCTGTGCGGAGCCCCTGGCACTGAAGCATCAATCACATCAGAATTTCCCAATCAGTGATGTCAAAGCCACATCCTCTTGAAGGCAGTGATTGCTCTTGTTTAGAGGTGGGGGCTGAGGACAGCACAGAGCTGTGCCAAGTGTGGATCCAGCACCAGCCACAGAACTGCCCTCAGGAGCTTCACTTTCACACCAGAGGGGGGTTTTCAGCCCTTCTCCTCCAGTATGGAAGACAGTTTTTCCTAAACAATCCTGACAAAGTTTCTCTTTAATCTCTCTGACAAAAAACAACACTGAAGCCATTCCAGCCCCACTGGCACATCAGGAGGTGGCTTTCTCCTCCATCAGCAATAAAGCTCAGCCCCATTCAGTAACACAGCATTAGCCTTGACACTGTCAAGGAGGGCTGAATCACATGAAGGGAGTGCACAAATCACACCCTGAGCTCTCTCTCATTGCAGACCAGAGTGCTCTGCTGCTGCTGCTGCCAGAGATCTGAGAATTAAAACTAAATGCCTGGCTCACCTTGTCCCATTCACTGCTAAATGCCAGGGCGTGCCCATCACACTGCACACAAGGCAACACTTGCACCAGCTCAGCAGGGCATGGAGGGAACCTGCCAGCACATCCCACCTGGATGCTTCCTCTGCTGTCCCTGGCTGACACATGTCAAGTCATCGGGAAAACTCCCACCTCAGCCTGGAGCATGTTTGTACAGAAGAGGATACTCTGCTGAAGGCAATGAGGGACTTGCATGGAGAGGGCAGGAGGAGAGTAGAGCAGAAACAAGAAACAGGACATGGGCTGCCTCAACCCACAGGGCACTGTTTTAGAGACCAACACTGCAACCAGCCCTGGGACTGATTCATGGGGCAGCCACTGCTCAGACCCCTCTGCATCACCGTGATGGGCATTGCCCAGACCCTACAGCACATCTGATTCCTTCCCACACGCATGTCCTTCATCTGGGATCCCAGGGCAGGGGGGAGTGGAATGGGCAGAAATGAGGGATGAGAAAGGACTCTCAGATCCTTCTCCTGGAGCAGCCCCTCACCAGATGCTCTGCTCAAGGTCCATCCTTGCTTCTCCTCCTTCCAGCCCCAGACTCCTGCAGTGCCTGGCACCCTCCACCACCCCACCCTGGCAAAGCAGGCAGGCACAGTCCCCCTAACCCTCCTCTCGTGTGGGCCATGTACCCTCCTCAGTCCCGCCTGATTTCCAGGAACTACAGCCTAAAGTCACCGATGCCCCTCACGCCGCAGCTCTCCACACCCACGTCCCCTTTGCACCGAGCCCTGTCCCTCATACCCGCAGGCCCAACCCTGTCACCCCCCAGACCCTTACACCCCCTCAGCCCCCCTCAGTCCCTCAGCCCCCTCACACCGCGGTCCCCCGCGTCCCTCACACTCACCTCGCGCACGGCCCCGCTTGTGCAGCCGCCCCCCCCCGCCCCTTTCCCCGTCACCCCCGGCCCCGCGCGTCACCGCGCACGCCCTGACGCCACCGCACCCCGCGCGCTCCCGCGGCCAATCGCCGCCGCCGCCGGGGGGCCTCGCGCCCGCGTCACCACGGCAACGGCCCCGCCCCCTCCGCGCCGTACCGCCCCCTGCCGGGAGCCACCCGCACTGCGCCCCGCGGCGGGAGCGGGGCCTCATGGGAAATGTAGGCGCTGCCTGTGGCGTCACCTGGGGGCGGGGAATTCAGGGGGCGGAGCGTCCTCAGGGCTGCCCAATATGGCGGCGGCGCCGGGTGAGGGCAGTTGGCCCTGCGCCCAAGTACCCCAAGCATTGCAAGTGACCCCTTCGCCCCCAGCAAATCGCACCGCGGCCCGCTCGCGCCTCGATGCAAGACAATAACCCAGCCTCGAGGCAGAGCTGGGAAGGGCTCACTGTGCCCAGAAAACCCGTGCAGAGTGGTGGGATGCTCTGTCCAAGTGGCCTGGCCAGGATTGTGTGGAGCAGGCAGGACCCCACAAGGGACCCCACTCAGGGCCACCCCGATATATGATCTATTGTGTGTGCCAGCAGAGGGAAGGGGACACAGGCGATGCATTTGACCTGCAGTCCCTGTGCCCCCGCTGTGCGTCAGTGTGGCTGCGTGGGCCTGGGGAGGGCTGCCCTGCACCCCAGGCACACTGAGCGCTTTGTCCCTTCGGCCACGGTGGAAAAAAACTGAGAGAAACACTGAGAGACTGGGGGCAGTGCCTTTCGAGGCCCGGGAGGAAACAGATCATAATCTCCCCAACGAACTCAGCTCATCTGCGAGTGCAGAGATTGAGTCGGTGCAGAGCTTGCACCCAGGGCCTGTTCCAAAGGCCACCCTGGCTCTGTGCCCCAGGCTATAAACACCCCAAAGGCACAGCTGACTGGGACTGTATCTATACAGAGGTGCTTGAAAAACAAACCCAAATGACGGTGTGCTATTGGGGCTTCTTTGTTTTGTTTTGTGTCCCTCTTGGCGCTCCACACACCAGCCAAAAATCTGCTGGTGGGGCCACTTTCCACAGGTTGTGGCTGATTCCTTTCAAGGGGCTCTTTCACACAGGGGAAATCCCAACCCTACCCTGCCAAGGAAAGGGGGCTGGTACCTGCAGGGCTGCTAGTGTGTGGGGCAGGAAGTCTGTGGCCAGTGGCTCCAAAAGCTTTATTGGTCATTAGTTTCTGCTAACTAAGTGGCTCCAGTACTACCACCCACTGCCAGGGAAAACAGTGGTGGCTGTAGTTAGGGACACCTGGCGTGGTGTGGGGTGACAAGAAGGCCCTACTTGGTCAGTCCAGGCGTCCTTGGCTGGTGGCAAAGCCCCACACCCTGGAGCACAGTGAGTGATGCAGAAGGGTTGATGTAGAAACCAAGGGGGAACTGCAGCCCTGGGCCACAGGGCCCCGACCCAGCAGTGGCTCTTTTTTAGTACAGGGTGTAAAACAGAGCACAAGGAATTCACTTCTTCAATCCAGAGGAGAAGGTCCCACTGCCCTCTCCCTGGGCTGCCTGAGCCTCCTGGCACGTGGTGGCTGCAGCCCTTCACTGATGGAAAAGGGAGCACCTCTGCCTTGTGCAGTCCCCTGTAGGCTCTGTGCTGGTCTCCATGCAGAGATGGCCACACTGACCGTCCACCTGGAGGGACAAGCTGAGCCCTACCATTCCCAGCTGGGCTCTGCCATCCTGGTGGGCTAATTGGTGGGCTCTGTGGCCAAGGTGTCCGCATCTGGAGACGGCAACATGCTGCTGTTCCCACCGTTGCTCACGTTTTCCTTGCTGTTTTCCCTCGTGGGGTCACTGCCTTTATCCTCCACCCTCTGCTTGAGTTTGAGGGAGGAATCTCTCCGTGACAGAAGGGGCTGGTAGCCAGCAAAGACTCCTCCACTCACGTTTGTTCGCTTGTCTGGGGGTGGAGGGAAAAAGAGAATTGTTTAGCTGGGGCCCAAACTCACTGTTCAGCTGAGAAAAAGGTTTGTGGAGCCCATCCTTGAAGGAGGCATTGCAGTATCTTCTCTCCTACCAGATGCCCCCAAAAAGGGGAAGATGGGTGGAGGTGTGGGCATGGGGTCAGCTGGCTCAGCTGTTTCCTACCTCCAGGCCCGATGGGGTGCATCAGTCGGTTCATCTGCACGTTCCAGTGCTTGACGTTGGTGCTGGCCTGTCGCAGCTTCCGCTGGGCCGCCTGCAGGGCACGGAGCAAAGGGTGAGCTGCTGCCCATGGGCACGGAGCAAAGGGTGAGCTGCTGCCCCATGGGCACGGAGCAAAGGGTGAGCTGCTGCCCATGGGCACGGAGCAAAGGGTGAGCTGCTGCCCATGGGCACGGAGCAAAGGGTGAGCTGCTGCCCCATGGGCACGGAGCAAAGGGTGAGCTGCTGCCCCATGGGACCACGGGCACGACTTTCCCTTCCCTGAGTAAGCCTGGATTGGAGGTTCCCTCTGGGATGGAGACCCACTTCACCCTCCTCTAGACCTTCTGCTCCCCCTCCAACCCTTCCCCCTTCACACACTCCTGCTGTTGACATTACTTTGGACAGCACTGCTTTGTCCCAGGGCAGGACACGCTTGTCCTGTCTCAGCCACTGCATCACATCCTGCCTGCACATGGCACAGCTCAGAAACCCCCTACAGCAGTTCCAGCTTGGTCCTCCCCAGTGTGGAGGTGACTCTGGGAGGGCTGGAAAGTCCCCTGGGTTCACCATGTGAGGAGATGTGGCACGGATGTGATGCTCACCATGACATCTTGGTCCACCCGCTGCCTGTTCACTCTCACTTCTTCCAGCTGCTTCTGCGCCTCTTCCAGACACTTGTTCTTGTTCTCCATCTCCTGCTTGAGGACTTGCTTCTCCCTCTGAGTTCTGATGATATATTCTTCTTGCTCCTCCTTCAGCTTCATCAGCTGTTTCAGTTTCTCCTCTTCCTCAGCCAGTAGCCTGACAATGAAGAGCAAGAGGTGAGGATGTCCCCCTGCCACTTCTTCCCCCAGCTTTCCCTGTCCCAGCCTGCATACTGGGACCTCACCAGCACACCCCAGTCCCCGGGAGCACTGAGCTGCCCTGGGAGCAGGGCTGCCCAAGGAGGGGGAGGGATGCCCTGGTCCTACCTGGCCTGAGCATATCTCACAGCCTCCTCGTCCTGCCGCGCTTTCACCTCCTGCTGCAGGGCCTCCTGCAGCCTCTCCTGCATGTCCTCCAGCTCCAGGATGCGCTTGCGCTGCCGCTCTGCCTCGGCCTCCTTCAGGACCATCTCTGCCTGCATGGAGGCACGAGCCTGCGCGGGGACAGGAGCCATCAGTGGGCCAGGCCACCACCAGTGTCCCCAGAACCCGCTTGGGCCCACCAAGTGGAGTGGGCCAGAGCAGGGGCAGCCCATGGTGACAGGTCCAAAGCAAAGCTGTTTCCCTGCTCAGGAGACAGGCTGTGTCATTTGGAGCCAGTGCTGGCTGTGAGGTCAGAAATGGGCTCCCTGTCCAGCCTGGCACCAGCATTTGCCTCTCAGTGTCCCCCAGCTAAAGCCCCTTGAGGCAGGTTGTCTTCATCTCCTGCTCAAAGGGATCTCGGGCACAACAGAGCACAGAGGTGATGGGTGGCAGCAACACTGTACATCCAACCTCTGGACTACCCTGGGCAAGGGAAGGAGAAGGAAGCACCCACCCCATGAGCACCACAGCCCATGTGGGATGCACCCACCTGCTCGGCCTCCCGCAGCTGGATCTCCAGGGTCCTCTGCATCTCCTCGTGCTGCTGCCTCCGCCGCTGCTCCTCCTCCTGCAGCAGGATCTCTGCCTGCCTCTGGGCCTCCTTGAGCAGCTCCAGCTCCTGCAGCTTCCTCTCCTTTTCCTCCTGCAGCTGCTTGAGCCGTTGTGTCTCCTCCTCCTTGGCCGCCTTGCGCTGCTCCCGCTGCTCCCGCTGCTCCCGGCGCTTCTGCTTCAGGTCCTTGTGCAGGGACTTCTTTCCCTCGGCCTGCAGCCTGATGGCAGTCTGGATGGCTGCAGAGGGAGGGCACGGTCAGTGGGGACAGCAGGGGGCACAGGGAAGCTGGGGAAGGGGCGTGGGATGGGCACAGACCGAGCGTCCACTCCTGGCGCTGCCGGGTGTCCGAGGCGCTCATCTCGTAGGTGCGGGACGAGGTCTTCACACAGAACATGCACCTCTTCCCATCCCTGTCTGGCAACACCTGCAGGGAGGGGACACAACACAGCGTTACCCCACCTTATCCTCCCGTCTCAGCCACAGGAGTGGCTCTCCCATGCTCATGGATGTGACATTGTGTGTTCTTGGGTCTCCCTTCCAGGGGTGTGAACAATCTGCTGTCCCTGGGCTGTACCTCCACACAGCAGTGCTTGTCCAACGTGATGCTCCCCTTCTTCTCCTTCCGTTCCTCGCTCATGTAGTAGGACAGGGCACTGGGCTTCAGCATGAACCAACGCTCTGACCAGTTCCTCCTCAGCTGGCCCTTCTTCCAGAGGTAACCCTGCGCCCAAGAGACATGGGGATCAAAACGGGGCGGGAGCAGGACAGCACTTCTGCCCCAGAATCTGTGAGCTCCTTGCCTGTTTGAGCACATCCTCGATGACCTCCTGGTACACCTCCTCCACGGCCATGCTGATGGCCTCCTGCTCGATGCCTCTGAGGAACCTCCCCGAGTTCACCATGTCCAGGAACTGCCAGACTGTGAGGCCGCCCTGGGCCTGCGGCTCCTGGGACAGGTAATCCTCCAGCTCACACGAGTTCAGCTCCACGTTCATGGCTGTGCAGATCTTCTTCAGCAGATACTCCACCTGTGGGGAGGAGGACGCTCAGTGACAGTGTCTCTGTCTGGGGACAGGGCTGTCCCCACCCCATCAAGCCATTTTGGAGAGCCCAAGGTCACATCTCTCTCCAGCCTGGAGATGCAGGACCTTGATCCCAGAGGGATCAACCTTTGTGATGGTTGGGGCATCCCAGGCAGCAGGCTGGAATGGAGGAGACTGGAGCTGGGTTAGAATTTAACCTCTGCTGAGAGGTTTTTCCTTTTAACCCCAAGGCTGGGATATTTTTTCTGGTTTGTCTGCAGAGTAATAAAACTCTGTAGCAGTCAAGAGCCTGAAGGAGTACAGGCCAACACTGTTGAACACCATTGAGAGATGATGTCTCAAAGCCACAGTGAGCTTCCCAAAAATCACTGGGGAGGAGCAGGGAGACAGGTCCCTACAGAGAGGAGCATCATTGTAAAACTGCAAATAAAAAGAGTCAAGGTGGTTGCCGTGGTGTGGGGAAGACTCACACCAGCTCAAGCTTTGCTGCCAGCTCTCCTCTGCCCACAGTCTGGACTGAGACCAGTGGGTGACTGCAGGGAGCCACACAGGAAGGTGACACACAGCAGGGTCCCCACACGCAGCTGGATTTTTTATGTCATTTAATTGTGAAAGGGGCAAGAATTGAGTGCTGGTGCTCAGGATGATTCAGTTTTTCATGCTCTGGGGAACAGGAAACACCTCTCCCAGGGCACAGGAAGTGCGGTTGCCCTCCTACGTCTGCGCAGCACGGTGCTTCTTGCCTTTTTTCTCCTCTTTTCTTTTTTTTTTTTTTAATTTTGACTTTTCTGCTGATCTCAGGAGGTTGAGGGGTAGAAGACAACAGCAGCCATTTGCCCAGCCAAGTTCCTTCTGCTGAGGCCACTCTTGGCTTCTGCACGTGTGCACTCTCCCCAGATCTGCCCCCCTTCTCGAGGGGGTTTAATCTGACACCAGAGAAAGGGAGAACCTTCCCCCCTAAATGCTGTGGAATTTGGAGATTACTGTGAGGCTTTTCTTTGGCTGGCACCTCACCCTTAACGCTCTTCATGCTGGGCAGGGGCTGAGCACTGGGTGGCAGTGGCCACGGAGAGGGACAGCCAGGTCTGCTCGGCCACTGCCCTCAGGCAGGAGAGCACCTTGGAGGGGTCTCCCCTCTGAAGTCCCCCCTTCTCCCTGGGCAGTGGGGGTGGCTGTGGGCACAGCAGGGGTGTCCAGGGCAGACAGGCCCCTTGTCCCACCCCCAGCCTCCTCTCTCTCACCCCCTGGAACACCTCATCTTGCAGGATGCAGTGGGACACGCCAGGACGTGATGGTGTCACCCACAAATGGGGCTCTGCCAGCACACGGAGCCCTAGGAGGATGGGGCTGGGGGCAGAGGCAGGTCCTACCTCATCTGGCACCATGACAAGAGGGTATTTGTCTTCAGACAGAAAGTTGAAGAGGCACCAGAGCTTGAAAGCATCCTGGTGGGACACAACACTGTTCCCATTCCGGTCAGGTTTGTAGTTTTTCTTCGCTGTCAAGGTCCAGCAGAGCTGATCAAAATTTTCTTTGACAAAAGCACCTTCCTCCACCTGCAGGCACGAGTCAGGGGGTGAGTGGGAGCTGAAGAGCTAGAGAGGGGAGTTCTGGGGAAGGAAGTGCTGGAGAGAAGAAACCTCACTCCTAAAATCTGTCCAGTGAGAAGCATGGCAGCACCAGCAGGAAGCCTGGGCTGCAGCACAGGCAGGATGATGTGGAGCTCTCATCCCCAGTGCCTCCATGGTTTGGGGTTTCTTGTTAGCCCATTCAACCACAAGGAGGAACTGAGGAGTGAAGGGAAGCCAGCAGGAATGGTGCCTCCACTGCCTCATCCCTGCTGCTGATATTTAATTGTGTCCTGGCACTGTGAGCTGCCCCAGGCAGCAGGTTTGGTGCAGATGGGTCAGCTGAGATAGGGATCAGAGCAGCTCTGGCTGTCCCTGGGTGCTCTATCCCAGCTGTGTCAGCACAGGAGCAAACTGTGGCCTGTAGCAGCAAAGCTGGAGGAAAACCTTTGGGTGGCAAAAGCTAGAAGCTTCTCTTACTAGGAAAACCCACTTCCCTCTTTTCAGGCTGCCTCTGGGATTCTATTACCATGGTGAAACCAGACGGGGCAGGTTTAAAGATCACCTTACAAAGAACCATGTGGGCAACTGGAAGGATTTTGGCCGCTCTCTGATGGGGAGATTGGGCTGGGCTGACCTGGGGCAGCTCCTGCTCTGGGCTCAGGGAGCTGGGGAAGGCTTTGCCCTTGTTTGCTGCTGACCAGATCCCTGCAGCCAAGATCAGCATTGCTGGATCAGGCTGGGCAGCTGCTGAGCAGCTCTGGGCAAGGCAGAGATGGGCACAGGGATGGGGACTGGCACAGGGACAAGAGCAGCAGGGGAGTGAAGAGTTACTGCACCCAGCTCTGGCCCCTTTCAGTGAGCACACAGTGGAAGAAAGCTGTCAGTCATTCTTCCTCTCCTCACATGCCTGGAAGAAACAGCACCCACAGACCAACCTCTGGCTGTGCCAGACAAAGCTGTCTTTGAACCACAGGAAAAAAGGGAGAAAGCCCCTTTTGCCCACCCCAACTCTGCTCCTCCTTGCAGCTCAACCTTTTCCCTCTCCTCTTTGCCAAATGAGGTCACACCTCAAAGGTGAGGATAAAAGGGGCTGACTTCTCTCTCTGAGCCCTTCAGGTAATGTGGGCAGAGGTGCTGCTCCATCCAGAGCCGTGATGTAAAGGGATGACTTCATCCTTGCCAGGGAGATGCTGAGTATGAAACATTTTTCACTCATTTTGGCTTTCACCTGAGCAGTCCCCATCTCTCTGCGCCCTCTTTCCACCCACCAAGGAATGTGATTTCCAAGAGCTAAGGGGAGCTCCCAGGAGCCTCACAGGAGGAGCAGCAGGTCTGGGGGATGACCAAGGAGCTCACCTTGTCCAGAATGTACTTGTTGAGGTAGGGCATGTAGCCCTGGCTGGACACTGGCCCATCATCATCATCACGGAAATGCTCCTCCAGTGCCACGGGGTCGTGGGGGATGCACAGCACCGTGTACAGGTTGTGAGACAGCACCTGGCCAAGCACAAGGGGTGGTGAGAATCCCCAAGGTGCCACCCCCTCAGGCACCCCCCCCTGCATGGCATCGCCTCCCAGCAGCCACTGCATCGAGGCAAAATTTCCAAATGTAAACTTTAGAGAATCATTTAGAAACAGGCAACAATCGAGGATTTCTCCTCGCTAGTTTCTTTTCTTGGCACATGAGGAACTTCTTTCTTGAAAGGTCTGTTTCAAACCTCTCAGAGCAAACAGGACTCGCTCTGATCTAGAAAAGCTGATAAGCCACCCCCAAAAGCTATGCATTTGGCACAACCAGGGCCCAGCCTGGCACCAGCTGTCTGCTGGGGACACAGAAAGATGGAAACATGAAAATAGGAAAGACTGGTGAGAAACTAAGCAAAGGTTTTGTCTGGAATGGAGACCTGGAGACACACCATCCCCAGAAATACACAGCAAGGCTTGCCAACAGCCCACTTTGTTCAAATCCCCCCAAATAAAGCATGTTTACAAGCTCATGGATTTCCCAAATGCTGGAAAGCCTGGAGCAAGGCTGCCCATGAGCACCAGCAGCATCTCTAGCTTGTGATGCTCTCCTTGCCTTTACATCCCAGGAGCAGGAGATGGTTAAACAGACTGACACCTCCCCACTGCACCAGGATCTGCCAATGCAGCTTGCCAAGGGCTCAAAGAGGGGCTGGAGGAGATGGAACAGCATCCCTACTCTGAGCAGGGCTGGAAATTTCCTCCCAGCAGCAGAGGAGCTGCCCGAGGCCACGATGGCTGCTGCAGCTGGAGACAGTTCTTGCTCGACCAGATTTTCATTCTCTTTTCCACCCTCTGGACCAACGGGATCAGCAGGACTCCACCCTGTGCTCACACAGCAGGGCCATAGCCCCGAGCACTGCTACTACACTGTGCCTTTTGGGGTCACTGCAGCCCCAGGGTCCACACAGTGCTGGGAAGGTCTAGGAATACCATGGACATCCTCCAGCATGGCAACAAGTCCATCAGGGTGAATTCAAAGTTTGGGAATCGTATCCCATTCTGTGTTTCCACCGTGGCCCTCATCTCCATCCTTCACCCCTCCTCCCAGAGCACCCCTAAAAATCCCTGTGAGGTCTCACTTGTGACCCCGGCCATGGGGACACCCTGAGCCCCTCCATCCATCCTGGCACCCTGTGACCCCAAGCCCCTGTCACTAACAAATGGGGAGGAAAGCCCTGACCTGGGCAATGGTGGCATGACTGGAGCTGGGAGAGCTGAGAAACCCTTGCAGGCTCTGAAACGGTGAAGGAGGAGAACAGCAGGGAAAGGGATGCTAGGAAAGCAGTTTGCTGGCACCTAACCCTAACCCTAGCCCTAACCTTTCCCCTGTGGCATGCAGGGGATGGCTGGGGGTCAGAGGGCTGCCTGACTCCTCCTAGTGCCCTAGATTCCTCTGGGCAGCAGCCGTGTTTGTGCTCTCCACCCTCTCCCACCGCTGGCACACCCATTACCACGAGCAGAGGTGCCCAAGAGCACCAGGGCAGTGCTCGGTGTTTCCAGCCATGCATGGCCACCCTGAGGGACCACACCCCAGCCCTTCCAGCCCGGCCAGGGAGGGGATGCAATGTGGATGCCACGGGACAGAGAGAGAAATGGCAAGCATTTCTCACAGTGGCTTGTGAGAAGTCTTAAAGAGCTAGAAAGATGTGATAACTTGTTGACTAAAAACAATTTGCAAGTGGTGTTTTTCTACTTTATTTTTCTGTTCCTCTCAAAGACAGTGCGTGAGAAAGATGTTTCTGTTAGTTAGCCAATAGAACAGAATCTATCGTACCACTCTATAAAAACCACACAGTTCTTTTGAATAAAGCCTTCTCTGCCTTTTCTACGACCCTGCCTCTCGTCTGTTCCTGCCCCGACCCTGGCCCAAGAGTGACAATGCAATGGCACTGAGAGCACAAACCCTTCCCAGGAGCAGAGCTGGGGCTGTGCCTGTGCTGGGAGCAAAGCTCCCCGAGCTCTCGGGGCGCGCAGCACCCGAGCGACCGCAAGCTGTCCTTCCTTCCTTCCTGTGCACACACGCACATACAGACACACACACCTCCACATCTGCACACGCCTGCCTGCTCTGAGGTGCCCCAGCAAGGAGCACAACGGCTTCCCACAGCTGTGTCTTCATGCTGGAAACCCTGGCAGGTTCACAGCACTGCCCAGAGCTGGGTTTAACACAGAAAACGCAGCAGGGCCCTTCGCACTCTTGTTTTTAGCAGAATACGCCAACATCACGCTCATGAACACACTAATTACTATTCTGTTCTTTAACCCAAGCCTCTTCAACCTCCCTCAAGAACTGTTCCCTGTTGTACTAGCCACAAAAGTCCTGCTCCCATCAGCAGGATTCCTAAGAGTTAGCTCCGCTCTCCCACCCAGCTCTGTCCTCTCAGTGCAAGCCCGGTGTCTCCCACCCCTGCTCAAGACCCTTCGTGCAGCAACACGCCCGGGTGAGGGAGCACAGCCCAGCTCAGGGCTCAGCAGCCCTGGAGGGGTTTGGAGAGGGCTCAGTGGCTTTAACACTTCATTGCTCAGAGCGGCGAGACCCCGGATTCCTCCCTCACTGAACTGCGGCTGGCCTGTGTAGGCTGGGGCAAACTCGAGTATTTCTGTGGGTGGAAACAAGCTCTGCCTGGCCTGGAGACAGTGGGAAAGTCACTCAGAGCTGAGCTGTGCTCTTCAGCGACCTGCTGCCAACCCATCCTGTCACTGATGGCGTGTGGGAGAACATCCTCTCCCCTCTCAAGTGTCCCCCTGGTAAAGTCACTTTGGAGGTGCCATCCCCAGCATCACCACAGCCACAGACCCTGCATGAACTGTCCGTTAAACTGCCATTAAAATCAGAGGCTCTGTGGCTTCAGCATTGTACCTGGTGACAGAGATCTCTCAAGACAAGCACTGCTACTGCTTTTGGGTCCATCCCATGCCCGGGCCAGACTCTGGACCCAGAGCAGTGGTGCAGGGGGTGCTGTGAAGGGAGCACAGCAGCCCCTCTCAGGGATTAGCAAACAGAATTAAGCTCTGGCCTACTTTAGGATTTTCCTTAATTCCTTCAGCTATTTCTACAGTTTTAGCAGGGGAGTGTGGCTCGCAGGGCTCATGCCACGAGTTCTGGGGGGCAGCCGGAGGCTCTGAGCCACGAAGGCTGAGCAGGAAGAATCTTCCTCCCGCTGCTTCTCCTCCAGATCCCTGCAAACAAAACTCCTAATTCTGGGGCAAAACACACCCCCTGCCAAAGACCAGCACCTTCCCTGCAGTCTGTCCTGGGGAAGCACTACAAAATAAAGGGAATGGAGGAAAAGAGGGTCTTTTTGCAGTGGTTCAAAACGGTCTCACAGCCTGGCAGCAGCTGCCATGTCCTGACGCAACAGCTCCCCGTGCTCAGCATGCTCCTGCTCAGGTCTCTTCTCTCATCCCAAACCCTGGTACCAACCAGCATTTCCAACCCCAATGCCAGCCTAAGAACCAAAGGAGATGAAAAAAACACATTCCCACCACGTGCAAAGGTTAAAAAAATCAATTATGCTCAGAGCCAAGGGGCTCCCTGGTGGGTGCCAGCAACCCTGGCCTGGGGGCAGACAAAAAGGTTTTTAAAGCTGTGATGGGTTTGATGAAAGACTGAGGGCATGAGCCCTCTGAAAGCTGCTAAGAGTGGAAAGAGGGGAAAGCGGAGAGTTTTTAAAAGTGCTGCGTTACTTCTAGCCACAGCACTGAGGAGTTTTTGTTATAAAACAACCTGTCCCTACCTCCCGACCCACAGGCTCAGCAAGGAGGAACACAGGTGCTCCGGCAAGCAAGAAAATGGAAACAGAATTTGGGCTCTTAGCTGGCCATAAAAAGCACAAGAAACTGATAACTAAAATTTAGATTTCTTATCATTTTCACCTAGAAAACACATCTGAGCATGAATCCCCCCCACCCCTTTTTTTTAAAGGGAGATGCCACAGAGCCTGAGAACTTCACCAGGAAGCAACAGCACGATCTTATTGATCTTAATATTCAACAATTTCTCCGTGGAAACCCGCGGGGATGCAGAGCAGCCCCGGGCTCGCTCCTCCGCTCGCTCCCACCCTCCCTCCGTGCGCCGGCAGCTCCGGGGACTCACTTTGAGCTGGGATTTGGACACCTTGCCGCTCTTCTCCACGTCCAGGGCGGTGAAGGCGTACCAGATGGACTTGAGCAGCTCGGCTCGCAGGTCCATGGCTGGCGGCGGCGGCGGCGGCTCTGCCGAGCCCGCGGATCCGGTTCCTGGAGCCGCCCGGGCGGGCGGGACGCGGGGCGGGAGCGCCGCCTGCCCGGGGCTCCCCGGGAACCCCCGGGCCCCATCGCCGCTCCCCGGGGCCGGGGCTCGGCGAGCCTCACTGAGCTCGGCCCGCAGGGCAAAAGCTCCGTGGTAATTTGCGTTCTGGGGAGAGAAGTGCCCGGCCTGGGTCAGGCAGAGCTGCTCCCTCAGAGCAGCCTTCGGCAGGGATCGGTGTCACCCGGAGAGCGGAGACTCAGCCGGTGGCTCCTCTCGGGCTGTGCCCGTTCCGTGCCCATCTTTCTCTGCAAATTCCTCTGGGATGTCCAAAACACGACCCACGCGGCTGCCGGGAGCCTGAGCCAGGCTGGGGTTTACAGCTGGACTCGAGGATCTCCGAGGGCTTCTCCAGCTCTGTCCGCCCAGCACTCAGGGCAGTGAAGGGACTCTGGGGGCAGGACACCAGCCCAGGTCTCTCTCCCCAGCTTAGGGGAGGATGCAGGCTGTGTTCACAGACACAATTCCCTAAATCTGGGTTTGCAGGAGTCCCAGGAAGAGCCAAGGCCTGATGAGAGGTTTCAGGGACACGTCTTAGCCCCTCCAAGCCACACGCTGAGGGCTCAGAGGGTACAGCTCACCCTGCTCCCAGCCCTCCTCTGGGACAGCTGCTGCTTTGGCAGGACACGTTTGGTCAATTCCACAAATCTCCTCAATGTCCTCAATTCTTACAGCTGCTGAACATCACCATCCACCTTCTCCTCCCATCTTCCACCAAAGAGAAGAGGGCTCCTTTTAAAAAACAAATTTCAAGTTTGCTTTTATTTCAACTCAGCATTTACATCCAGGTCTAGCTCAGCTCCTGGCAAGTGCTGGCTACTCTGCTCCACAGCCAAGGGATCTGCCATGGAAGCCCTGCTTGAAAAGGAAGTGTGACAAAGAGATGGGAGAACTGCTGTTGGAACCATCCCAGTGCTGGCTCCAATGGCAGGAACTGCTCACCCTCCATACCAAGCTCAGCACAGCCTGGCCTTGCTCTGATGGGCCTTTATTGCTTCTGTGCATGTGCTGCCCACTTGCCCTGAGCTGGAGGGGTGGGAAAGAAAGGGGAGCTGTTGGACCATTCCTAGAGGGAGAGGGCAGGAAGTGCCCCTGAAGAAGGGCTGCTGCTTGGAGCCCGGGAGCAGCCCAGTGTACCTGCCCTCCCTCCCAGAGGGAAGAGCCCTTCAGACAGGGTCACCCCAGCAGCCCTTTGCCCTGTCAGTGTCCCAGCTGGCACAGGGCACACGCTGGCACTGGCTCAGACGCTGTCCCTGCCCTGCCACCCCTGCACAGGCTGGGGCTGGCACTGCCCTGCCCTGGCTGCTCTGCTGGCCTCAGCTCCCCTTCCCAGGCAGGGCTGTGTCAGGGGGCACTGGCTCGTAGTGGATGACTGCTGTGGCCATGCTGAGGGCTTCCTCCAGGCTCTGCTGCTCTTCCAGCTGGGGAGGGAAGGGGGAGAGAGAGAGTGAGTGCTGAATCCCCAAAAGGCAGCTCAGGGTGGCTCCCAGCAGGACAGAGGGGTGACACAGGTGTGAAGCAGAAGGACAGAGGGCTGAGATGCAGAAGGGCTGTTTGCAGAGGAGCATTCTGCAGTCCCAGCAGGATGTCCCTGTTGTCCTCTGCACAGAGGGCCTCTGGGAATTAAGGAGCAAGCCCCCCAGGCAAGCAGCAATGCAGCAGGGCCAGAGGTGGCACCGGGTGGCCAGGGAGTGAAGGGGACAGTGGCAAGAGCCACGTGGTACCTGCACAGCAATGTGGGTGCCATGGCAGGTGGCCAGCAATGCCACCTGCTGATGACAGAGCGGGGCAATGTCCGACTCCTCTGACACCACTGCCCCAGAAGCGACTATGGTCACCTGGAAAAGTTCAATTAATCGTGTTTTAAAAGAAAATGCAGCCCTTTTCTAGCAGAGGCAGCAGGAGCAGCCCCAGCTTTGTCCGTACCTCCTGTGCCTCGGTGCCATCAGCGTTGGCCACAGCCATGGTCCCAGTGTCACCTCCCTCGGGCACAGCGAGGGCCCCGCTCTGTGCCACCACGCCGATGGCACTGCCCAGGGCCTGCAGCTCCTCCTGAGACAGACTGACCTGGGGATGACAGCAGAGCTCAGGGAGCCTTAGGCAGCTCCTGAATTTAGCAATGCATCGGCCTGGGCAAGGAGGAAACAGCCTCTCTGCAAGACTCCAGGCACAGAGAGCTCCAAGCACCAGCACAGGGATAAAACTGACAACAGAGAACTCAGAGCTTGGGTCTTCAGCCCTCCCCATTCTACCACATCTTCCCATTCAGCTTTTTGTCTCAAGCCTGGATGGGGACAGCTTTGTGCATGGCAGCAGCAGGAGCATCTCAGGCTAAGAGGAAACAGGTCACTGCTGGCAGCTGTTTCCCTTGCCCTGTGCCACAGAAGGAAGTTTTTTCCAGTCAGCACAGGGGCAGCTGGTGGAGGGAAGTACAAGAAAAGTACTGCTGTATACAAGTGATGACAAAACATCTCCAAATCCAGCCTGGGTCAGCAGAGCTGGGGAGCCAAGGGCTGCCAGTGACCACACAAACACCCAGAAACCCTCAGCAAGGGGGGCACTGGAACCAGAGACCCTCCCAAACCAACACTGCAGCAGAGGGTGAGGCTGTAGGAGGGAGCCCTCAGGGCAGGAAGAGCCCAGAAAGCTCAGAGGTCTGAAAAAAATGCTGGAAAAAGGCCCTGCTAAGAAAATCCTGGCTGAGTAGAGGCAGAATCTCACTTCAGATAATAACTGCTGTCCCTGACACCCTGGAGGCTGTGTCCATACCTGCTCTGTCCCATCCTGAGAGATAAGTGAGATTTGTGTAGGCACAGCATCTTCTTCTTCATCTTCCTCCACCTCTGACAGGAAAGCAATATGCTGACTCTTCAGTGGAGAGCCTCTGCCAGCAGCTGCAGCAGCTGGATCAGAGAAGGGGAAGAGCAGCATTAGCAGAGTGTGAAAGCCCCTGCCTGGCCTCTGGACCTGCCTGTGGTCTCAAGGGTAGCACAAAAGAGCACAAGACCCTGGTGGCCTGGGAAGAAGGACCTTGACCTCTCCCTGTACCACAGAACGGGCAGGGGCCTGTTCCCAACCTCCTGGACCTCCCAATAGATCCAGCTTTGATGGGGAAGCAGGCAGCCATGGCACATACTCGGGTCTGAGAGGGGCGTGTCTGCTCTTGCTGTCACCTCCCTCCCCTTTGCCGCACCTTGACGGGGGAGTGGCCGCTCACCCTCCAGCTGCCGCTGCTCGTGCAGGGCCTGCTCGCTCTCCTCGGTGGCCTCCAGCTCGCCGTGGCTGCTGCGTTTGTGCATGGCCAGCGTGGAGGTCTGTCGGTAGGTCTTGCCACAGCTGCTGCACGTGTAGGGCTTGCAGTGCGTGTGCACCACGTGGTGCTTGTACAGGCTGGAGTACTCCGTGAAGCGCTTCCCACAGCCAGGCACGGTGCACAGGTATGGCTTCTCTCCTAGGGCAGAGGCCACAGAGCTGAACTTCACCCTCCTCATGCCCTGGGGAGGGATTCTCCACCAGAGCAAACAGCTGGAGATAGACTGCTGGAACAACAATCAATCCAATGAAGCAATTCCCACTATTTCCTCCAACTCCCTGGCCACTCCCAGATCCACTCCTGTGACAATGCCCATTCCAGCCCCACCAACCTCCCTGCTGCTGCCTCCCTCCTACCTGTGTGGATCCTCATGTGGTTCTTGTAGTTGGTGGCGCTGGTGAAGCCCCTGCCACAGCCAGGCTCTGCACACGTGTAGGGCCGCTCGCCCGTGTGCGTCCGCATGTGAACTTTGCGGATGTTGGACGTGGTGAAGGAGCGGCCACAGCCCACGAAGGGGCACTTGAAGGGACGCTCACCTGCATGGACAGGGTGCTGTGGGTGAGAGCTGCCACCGTGCAGCCACCTGGAGTCCCTCTGACTGGCTTGTCCCCCGTGCAGCTCTTGCCCCGTGCTGCTCACCTGTGTGTGTGCGGATGTGTTTCTGCAGGTCCCCGGAGGTTTTGAAGGCTTTGCTGCACAAATCTTCTGGACACTTGTAGGGTTTCTCACCTGTGTGTGTTCTCACGTGGCTCTTCAGACCGTACCCTGTCCAGAACAGAGACCACAACTAATTCTGTACTGAGAAGGAAACGCCATGACAAGCTGAGTACTGGCCCTCAGTCCATGTACCTGAGTGTCTGTGTTGTGTCTGCAAAGCTTGAAAGGGAAGAAATAACCAACCCCAACACCACTTCCAACCTTGCTTCCACCATTATCTGCCCACAATCAGTGCAGTCCCAGCAGCCTCCCGTGCTGTGATTCCCTTGCTTTAGATGCTCTGGATATTGTGCTCTACTGGGTTGGACAGAAAATGCAATCTGCTCAAAACAGAAATTTGTTACCTGTAGCAAATGCTTTCCCACAGCTTGGGAAGTCACACGTGTATGGCCGGTCACCCGTGTGAGCACGTTCATGTACCTGGAAAAGATAGAGCAGGTCCCTGAAATGAGGTCCAAGGGAAGGAAGAAGGAAAACTGCGGAAAAATGCTGGTGGAGAGAATTTCAAGTTCCCTGCTGGATTTCACCTTGGCCAAGTGACACATCTGTGTCTCTTGGGGAGCTCAGCACGTGACTCAGCTGCACACAACACAGCATCCTGCTCTGGCAGTGTAACCTGGGCCTGGTCTGGCCTGCACACTGCCATGTCACCTGCTTTACCTTGAGGTGGTGGGCAGTGGTGTAGAGGCGGCCACAGCCTTTGTACCCGCAGCGGAAAGCTCTGCTGCCGACCTGCTGCCCCTTCCTGTGGCTTTGCACCTCCTCCTGCAGAGCCTGCTGGGACAAGCACTGGAATCAATCCAGCAAGCCACCACAGCTTCACCAAGCCCACACAAATACTTCCCTCCTTGCCATACATATGCACTCCTGCAGTTATCTTCCAAAAACATGTTCCTACAAACCAGCTTGTACCCACAAGGTGAAGCCCAGGTGACAGGGCTCTAGGAACCTGCATTTCCCCCTCCCACCTCCCAGGGGGTTCTCAGACATGAAACTCCCTTTCTCAGCTCATTTGAAATATGTGCAGTCAGTATTTGCTAACTCAGCAGAGAAGCCACAACATTTTTATAATTACTGGCAAAGAGGAGTTCAGCCTGGTTCCAGTCACTGAAAAATTCAGACCTGGGAAGAGATGTTGTTGGAGTCTTTACTCTTCACATGGCAGGTGTCTGTCACTCCCTCCTCCTCATCATCAGAGCCCTGTGAGTGAAGAAGCACAGGCCCTGTTTGTGTGTCCCTGTACAGCAGGAAGGCAGTGACAGCCACAGTGCCACCCCACCCTTCCCCAGCGAGCAGGGGCTGGGCCTGCCACAGCAGGAAGGTCTGTGCTCAGCTCAGCACTGCCAGCACCCTCCTGGCAGCCCCTGCTCCACAGCCTATGGAGATGGGAGAAAAAGGCACTCCCTGGAATATTGGGGTGGGACACTGCAGTGACAGCACATCAGGATCTGAAGCTGCTTTGGTCTTGAGGTCACTGTGGGGACAGTGGCCATGGCTTGGCCAGTGCTGGCACACCAAAGGCTGTGTCACAGCAGCTCTCCTCCCTTCCCAAACCCCAGCCTGCAGCAGGTTAAGGGTGGCAGGCCCAGCACCCCACGGGACCAAACAGCCCCATTCTGTGTCCCCAACTGCCAGGCACCCTTCAGCAGTGCCCCTCACACTGGACCCTGTCCAGGGACTTCTCTCAATTAGGGAAGGCACAAACTCAGGCCAGGAGATGCTGCTGTGCCCTCACCTTCCTGCCATACTGCTGCAGTGCATTAATGGTGTCCACATCAAGGCCATCATCTTCCTCCTCCTTCCCAGCCACCTCCTGGAGCTCAGTTTTTGTCTGCACTTGCAGGATGGTGCTGCCAGGTGCCACGATGACAGGATGGTGGATGTAGGCAGTGGAGCCATCCTCCAGCTGGAGAGCCTGGAATGTGCCGGGCTCATAACTCTCTGCAAGAGGAAACGTTCAGGTAAAGAGCTGAAAAAAAAATTCAGCTGAAAAAAAGCTCAGTGTGAGGCAGAAAAAATGTGCTTCATCTCCCCAGCCTTGGAAATCTGAGACATTGCAGCAGCTTCTCTCCAGCTGCCAAGGAAAGAGCAGGGAGTGCTTTACCTTTGGCTGTGCTGTGGATGAAGGCCATGCTGCCATCCTCCAGCACCACTGGCTGCCCATCTTCAAAAGCCACAGCCTCTAAAAGAAAAGGAAAACATCCACACACCTTCCTGGAGGACCCAGCTGAGGCTGCCAGGCAGGAGAGGACACAGGGCTGCCTGCTTGCCCTGAAAGGCAGCCACAGCTGTAGGTTTTAAGACACCATCTGAGCCCTTCTGATGTGAATGGTGAGGTTTTCAAGGCTTCATGCACAGATTTGCCTCTTCCTTTGCTCAAAGGAGTGATGCAGTGTCTCACCAGTTTCAAAATGCCAGATATTATATGTATCCCAACAGGAAGGGGATGCTCTGGCACAGGGGTGTGTGAAGGAGAACACCAACATCCCATGCCAGGGGAAGCAGGGGTGAGGAGAGCCCCTCTCACTGTGCATGTGAAGGCAGGGAAGAGGCTGCAGGGGGGAAAGGGGCACAGCCAGCTATAAAACATCCATTTCAAGCAGCCTTTGGAGAACAGAAGAGGGAGGTGGCATACGAGGAGCATCAAGGAAGGATTGCCCAAGGTAACAGAGCTCTTTCTACCTGCCCTTTGGCATCTTGGCATGGCCAAGGATGACTCCTCCGTGCCCCTCTGGTGCCTGCCACATGAACTGGGCTCCCAACACCTCTCTAATGTTCCCTAATTTCAGAGATGATGTTGGCTGATGGGTCAGTGGCCAAGGTGGCATTGCTCCCAACAATCCCACACGACCCCTGCCACCACCAGCACCTATTCCAGAAGTTCTGCATTATCTCACAGTTCAGAGGAAATTCCTGCCCAGCTGCTCCCACATGAAACAAGCTCTGGGTGTGCTGTGTGGCTGGCACCAACACAGCTCACAGCTCACTGGGCTTGTGGTATGCCAACAGGGAGAGCCCACAGGTGAAATGACACTTGAACATTGGTCTCCACCTCCACCAAATTCACCTTCTCATCAGATTGCTAATGACTTTGCAGGCAATGTCCCTGTTTACTCAGCCTCAAAACCACAAGAAAGAAAAGCCCAACAGAAACCCTATGCTCACATGGACTTTTGAGAGCTGAACTGACAGAGGAGCCCAATGCTGGAGCACTGAGAGCTGCAGCCACACCTACAGTGTCCTTCCAAAGAGAAAGAGGGCAATGTGTGTTCCTCACCTTTCTGAACTGTCACCTGATGGATATAAGCTGTGGTCCCATCTTCAAGTTCAATGACTTGCCCTTCAATCAGCTTTTCACCTGGAACAGTTAAAACATACCATCAGCTGCTGAGCCCAGCCCCTCTGGCCCACAAAAGGGAGAAATTGTCACTTCCAGGCTGTTATGGATCCAGCTTTCCCCCACAGAGACGCTCCCCAAAAATGCTGGCATTGCTTTGTCTAGAGAGGACACACGAGAAAGACCCTCAGGCATCACTCATTGAGCAGCTGCCCCTCACAGCTCCTCGTGCCAAGAAGCACACAGAGCATACAGAGAAAGCAATTACCCTTGTGTTGGAAGAAAAAATAACTGTGTGTGCTGAACAGCAAGTGCTGGGAGATTTATCTACTACTCTGGCAGAGGATCAACTGTTAGGAAACAATTACAGCACCTAAAGGGGCCTAAAGTGCTGCCAGTGTTGGGCTGTGGAGGCTCAGCTCTGCCAAAGCCTGACTACAAACCTGTAATTGTGACTGAGTTACCCAAAGATTTGGTGCAGAGAGGATTTGGTGCATTGCTCCATCCCACTGAACATGGAGAATCCAGGTTGGTTTCACCTGGAGCAAAGGTTTGAGAGGGGGCCACACAACCTGGTGCTTCCAAGACAGCCCAGCTCCACATGTGTAACAAACCTGCAGTGAATTTGGACAGAAAATAAAGCAGGAGAGCAACCCCCAGGACAGGGAGCTGCACAACTCCTCCATCCTGTTCTGCAGGCTGGGAAACAGCGTGCTCCTCTTCTGGGAGCAGTGGGTGGTGCAGAAAGGGGCACCTCACCAACACCAGGCTAAGGGCAGGTGTGGAATCTGGCACCTCTCTGAGTGAGAAAAGCACTGCTGTGAACACCAGTGATGCAAAACCACCTGCTCAGCCCAGGGGAAGTTTTGGTGGAGGCCACAGCATCAGCTCCCTGTCCACAGCAAGCCTGGGAAGAATGGAGCTCTCCTAGTCTGAACAGCACCTTTATTTTCCACAGCAACAGCTCTCCCATCTCCACAGCTTCATTTCCAAACCAGAGGCACGTTTGATTTGTATTTTATTTCACATCACACACTTCAGTGCAAATCCAACAGTCACCAGCTGCCCGTGCGGCAGCTCCCACGCCGTGAGGGGCACTTTTGGTGACGCTGACTCTCATTTCAGAGCCAGGAGGAGCCTCTGACAGCCCGAGGCTCTGTTACCTCTGGCAGCCTGCTGCAGGTAGGCCGTGGTGCCATCCCCAAGGGTCACTGCTGGCAGCCCCAGGCTCTCCATCCTGCCCCGAGTCCCCACACATGGATCCTGCCTGGCAGCACGGGGGCCTGTGGGACACGGGGTCGGCGTCTTTGCTGCGAGCCTTAAGTGAAAAGAACAATTCCATTTCAATTTCTGCCCTTAGTTTCTCCTCCTCCTCCTTTAGTTTCTCCACTTTTGCACGCTAGGAAAGGCTTGAATGGCCTCAAAAGATTTTTGAGGTTATAAAGGATTAAGACAATGCTGCATCCTTCCCATACTAAAGGCAGGCAGGGATAAGAATCTATTCCACAGCCAAATATGAAATAAAGCTTATCAGCGAACTGAACTGACAGACTCTCTTAGAGACAGTACAAAAGTCAGATTCCAGCCCTTCCCATGCTCCAAATGATCTGCGGGGGTTTCCAGGTACTTTAAATCCTGAACCTACAGGCTGAGCATGTCCTGTGCTGCAGCAGACAGGGGTGATGAGCTTTATTCCTCCTTCTCTCTTCCCTTTGCTGACTAATTCCCAGCCTTCCGAGGGACGGAATCCCAGGCTCTAAGCAAATGATGCTAAAGCCTGCACACCCCGATAAGAACATTTGCTGATCGGTTATCATCTTCCAGAGGCGCCACAGCGCGTTCTTCCTGAGCCACCTCTGGTAGCCAAATCTCTGATCCTTTCATTTCCAGCACCGAGGCAAACCGTGCCCGCCGCCGCTCGGAGCCCGCTCGGTGCCGCCTCGGCCCGCGCTCCCCGCACCCGGCGGAGCCTCCGGTGCGCTCCCCGGCCCTCGCCCCGCCGTGCCCCCGACAGACCGGGGAAAGGCGGCACGGGCTGCGGGGGCTCCGGGCCCGGGGGTGGCGGGGACACGGGGGGCGCCCCGCGCGCGTCTCCGGGGGCTGAGGCGGCTCCGGGCCCGGCCGCCATCGCCGCCCCCCATCCCCCACACCGACCTGAGCTACCCGCCGGGCCCGGGTCCGCCGCCGGCCCGACGTGCACCGCGCGCGGGCCCGCCCACCCCGCATGGCGGCGCCGCTCCCGCCCGCCCCCGCCCGCCATACGGGTTCCGGGGCCGGCCGGGCCGGGCCGCGCGCGCCGCCCGGCGGCCAATGCCGGGGAGCGCAGCCAGCGGCGCACGCACGGTGCTAACGCTGAAGCCACACGGCCCCGGTTTCCGCTGCCCGGCCCGGCCCGGGCTGCCGGCGGTACCTGCCCCGCGGCTGGGACGGGGAGCGCTGCCGCCCGCGCCCAGCCTGAACCGGTAGCTCCTTTTCGGCGGCCGCTGAGGCCAGCCCGGAGCTCCTGGGATGGAGCGATGTGAAGCGATGTTGGAACTCCTATCCTGGTGGTCGGACACAGAGGGCAAAGAGCCCGCGGTTTTTTATTTAACAAGGAAGGAAATGCGGGCGCATGGTGGCCCTGGGGCGCCGCTCCCAATATAGCGGCGCGCCGCGCGCTCCAGTCTCGCGAGATCTCGCCAATATTTATAGCGCGGCGGAGTCACTTCCGCCCTTTCGACCCGAGCAGCCGCAGCCATGAGGTGGGTGCAGCCCCGAGTCTGCTCCGCTCCATCCGCCACCATCCTCCGCCATCCGTGCCCGGTGGGGGCCGTGGGGCCGCCCGGTTGGCCGGCGAGGCGCGATCCTCGGGGTCGATGGCGGCGGGAACGCGCAGGGACCGGGGCGGGCTCGGGGCCGCGTCCCGGGCGGGGCCGGCTCTGAGCGCGCGTTGCCGTTTCCCCCCGCAGCAGCAAAGTGTCCCGGGACACCCTGTACGAGGCGGTGAAGGAGGTGCTGCACGGCAGCCGTGCCAAGAAGCGCAAGTAAGAGCCGCCGACACGGACGTGTCACCCCCGTCCGTGCCCGGCCAGGCCTCACCCGGTGCCTCCCGCAGGTTCGTGGAGACGGTGGAGCTGCAGATCAGCCTCAAGAACTATGACCCGCAGAAGGACAAGCGCTTCTCCGGTACCGTCAGGTTCGCCATCCTCTCGCTCCTACCCAGCCTTCGGCCCTGCCCGGTCCCGCTCGGGGCCGCAGCGGTGCCGAACCGCTTGGGGAGTCCAGCGCGGCCCGGCCCGGTGGGGGCGGCTGGACGGACCCTCACCCTGGGTCTTAAAACATGAGGGGAGGTGCGGCAGCCCCTGGGCTGTCCCCACCGGCCTGCCCGGGACGGCAGGTGAGCGGCCGTGCAGGATGCCCCGTGCTGCGGTAAGGTGTCTCCGTGCTGGCTCCGTGCACACGCGGGTGGCGCTGCCCATCACTGACTCGGACCTTCCTTCTTTCCGTCCTTCCCCAGGTTGAAGTCGACGCCACGGCCCAAATTCTCGGTGTGCCTGCTGGGGGACCAGCAGCACTGCGATGAGGCCAAAGCAGTTGACATCCCTCACATGGACATAGAAGCTCTGAAGAAGCTCAACAAAAACAAGAAGCTGGTGAAGAAGCTGGGTGAGGGTCCATAAGGTTTTTCTCTATGCTCAAATTTCCATGTCTTGGTTAGTTGCAGAGCTGAAAAGCTGAGCAGAGTCAGCCCCAGTACCAAAATCTGCCCAAAAATTATTCAGAAAAGCCACCAGGCTGTTTCCAGTGCAGGTCTGACAGATCAGTACTGCAGGAATGGGGCTGGTTCTCCAAGGAAGAGAGAGACACAGAAAACGTCTCTGTCAAGTTTCACCCTTTGCTATGTCCCTCACTTTCCTGGTTGGGGAGCTGGAGGGCAGCAAAAGCCAGGAAATACCAGAGGCAAGAGTGTGCTTTAGTCCTGCAGCTCTTGTGTGAACAGAAGGAAATGCACTCATTTTCTCTTGGTCAGAGAGAGAAAATCCTTCCTTTCCTGAGAACTCCAGAGTCTCTCTGGTACATGGGACTTGCCCCTCAGTTGATAATGGGCCGTGGAACTGTGAGCTGTTAGGTGATTGTTGGCTAAGCTTCTCCTGGATGGATCCTCTGTCTCGTTCATTCTGGTGTGCACAGGCTGCAGCAGAGCTTGGAGCTCAGTGCCCTCTGGGGCTCAGCAAAGGACAGTTCCTTCAGGAAACAGGATTTGGGTCACTGTGTTGAGTGGGGCTGGGGCCTGGCTGCTGTGACAGTCATTCCTCAAAGATATTTGACAAAACCAGCTCCAATTCTGGTGGGACCCAGGGAATGCTGGATTTATCTGCATGGAGGAGTTGCTGATCTCAGCTGAGTCCCTCCTGGGAGCTTGGGGTGGGAGCAGGGTCCATGCTGAGCTCCCTGCTTGTGTCCTTGCAGCTAAGAAGTACGATGCCTTCCTGGCTTCCGAGTCCTTGATCAAGCAAATCCCTCGAATCCTGGGCCCGGGCCTGAACAAAGCTGGGAAATTCCCTTCCCTGCTCACCCACAACGAGAATCTGGTGGCCAAGGTGGATGAGGTCAAATCCACCATCAAGTTTCAGATGAAGAAGGTAAAGCCTGGCTTCAGTTGTGTGCCTGGGGGTTGTTCAGTGTCTCTGCCATCTCTGGGTTGGGCTGTAGGTGTCCCTCGAGTGTTCCTGGAGCTGTGGCTGCTTTCCTCCAGCAAGGGGAAATGTACCCAGAGTGTTCCAGGGCCAGCCAGAAAGGAGGAATAATTTAACTGTGGTTGGTGGATCTTGGAGCAAGTGATGAGGAGAGGGTTGGATGCTTCAGTGCTGAGCACAATCCAGTGTGATTAATGCTGCTCCCAGCACGTGGGTGCTGCTCATGGGGTGGGACCTGCCCAGGCATGTCCCTGGGGGGCTGAGCACGAGTAGGGCTTTGCTGGGGGTGAATTTGGGACTTAGCCTTGTCCAGGTGAACTTGGGAGCAGCTCTGTGGAGATCCTGAGGACACAGCAGATGTGTGAGGGTTTGCAAATGCTTGAGCATTTAGGATAGCTGAGTTAATGATGTCCTGACACTTGGCCTGCTGGCTCACTCATAAATCCTCCAGCCTGTGGGGAGCAATGACTTCCAGGCTGCTCAGAGAGGAGGCCTGGCCTCTGCCACAGTGCAGAGAGGGCTGGAGGCAGAAAGTGAAGCTGGTGTGGGCATGTCCAGGCCATGGGACAGCCCAGCACGCTGATGAGTGGGGTCAGCTCTTTGCTTGGCCTGTGAAAGCTGTACCTGTGTCTGTCCCCAGGTGCTCTGTCTGGCTGTGGCCGTGGGCCACGTGAAGATGACAGAGGATGAGCTGGTCTACAACATCCACCTGGCCATCAACTTCCTGGTGTCCCTGCTGAAGAAGAACTGGCAGAACGTGCGGGCTCTGTACATCAAGAGCACCATGGGGAAACCCCAGCGCCTCTACTAAGGGCTGGGGGCAGCAATAAACCCTGCAGACACCCTCAGCTGTGTGTGCTTCTGTTCCTGCAGAGCTCCTCGGGGAGGGTTTGCCAAGGAGCTGCTCAGTTCCTCCTGGGGAAGGGCTCAGATGAGGCCTTGATGTTATTTGAGAGATAAAGATGTAAGTTGAGAGGGATGTTGAATTGAGAGAGAGGTGAATTCCAAGTGAGATAGTGGAGCTTTTGAGGGAAGGAGCCTCACTCATCCCCCCTGCATTCAGAGAGGGAAGGGGAAGCACCCCACTCTCCCCCAGAGCAGAGGTGTCCCAGCAGGTGCAGGTTCAGCAGTTGTGCCCACAGAGGGGACCCTTACCTGGCACAGAGCTCACCTGAATCCTGTGCAGAGCCCAGCCCTGCTCTGGGAGGGGCAGCAGAAGTGTTTAAATACAAGTGCCCTCACCTGCCCACACCTGCCCAGGTGCAGCTCCTGAGGACTTGAGCATTGTCTGTCAGTCCAGGGGTGCTGAAGGACAGAGCTGCAGCCCAGTCAGGAGCTCGGGGCTGAAATGGAGGGTGTTTGCCATCCCCTCTTCCCTCTGAGCCAGTCTGTCTAACTCTATGTTCAGGGCTAAAAATGAAATTAAGTAATGTGCATAAATAAATACATTGTGCAGGAACTGGAGAGCTTAGGGAAGTGCAGCATTTAAGCTTCTGGGGGGAGAAAAAAAACTTTGGGCCCTGGAAAAGCTTGTCAGCATCTGAGGGAACAAAACAATGAAAATAGCTCTGGATCCTGCTGTTAGGAACCTTTCAAATAAGCATCAGAGCCAGTTTTTGAAAGATCAACACAACACCAAGAAATTCCATTTAATAATTAAAAAAAGACAATACAAAATGCAAACATTTCTTTTTACAAAGTTCAAATAACAATTTTTTTTCTTTTAATCAAGTGCAAATAACCATGAACTACATCTTGCTCATCACTTTAATCGTTTCTGCTGGAGATGGCAAGTCCTGGCCCGCTGCAAAAGGCAGATATAAATACTCCCACATGAAAAAAAAAAACCAACCAAAACCCCAACAACCCTAATTTTTCTTGACTGCTTCAAAACCTTGATCCCCGAGGTGGCTGATGTGGGTTCAGCCTTTCAAACCCATTCTGAGGTGGGGGTGGGTGGCTCCAGGGGCCCTGTGGGATTTTGGGGGCATTTTTGAGCTGTTTGGTGAAAGCAGAAGGGGGAAGCACCATTACCAGGAGCCTTTGACCATTGCAGGAGGATGTGCTGCACCTCATCCTTCCACAGCAGGGAAGCAGAGGTGGCAGGTGTGGTGACAAGGGTGACAGCCAGGACAGCCCTGTAACCTGACATTAGATGAGCCAGAGTTAATCAAAGTTAATGAACTCTGGCGGGCACGAGGGGTTGGTCAGTCCTGGGCTGGGTTGGTCAGTCCTGGGCTGATTTTATTTTTGCTGTTTTTTTTTTTCCTTCTAAATGTGAAGGACCCTTTCAAAGGTCACTGGCCTGCACCACTGTCCCAGAGCCACAAAACCCCTCCAGATCCCTCCAGCAGCTTTTGTGCTTTAAAGCAGCTGCTTGCAGACAGCGACCAAGTGACAAACAGCTCAGCCCACAGATGTGGAGCTTCCAAACAGGCTGGGAGCTGGCGGCAGCAGGGGAAAATCCACAGCTGGGATGAATCAGGACAGACTTTTCCAACTGACGCATCCTGGGGACAAACCTCAGCCCCTGTGCCAGTGCTCAGCCCCTCACAGAGCCCGGGAGAGGCTCCTGGGGTGCTGGAGCAGTGTGGATCAAGGAGGGAAAACAGGGACCAGCAGCTGCAGGAAAGATGGACCCAGTGGGACGTGCAGAGCAATAAATAATGGGTTTGTTAAAAGCAGGGCTGGGCTCAGGTGTGGGCAAAGGGACAGTGAGGGACAAGTGGGGACAGTGATGGAAGGGATCTGCCACTGGCAGAGCTATAGGCTGGTCAATCATGTTCAGTCCTGGCAGCTCCAGGTCTTTGAGAGGATGAAGATGGGGATGAAGGTGTGGGGAGGATGACAGCTGAGAACTGGTGGCAGGGCTGGAAAAGGAGGGAGGCTTGGGGAGGAAGAGGAGAGGTGGGTGGTAGCAGTTGCCTGTCCCTGGGAGTCCTTCTGTCCACATGAAGATGCTGGGGTGACAAAGCCACCAGTGGTGTCCACCTGGCCATTGTCCACAGCTGAGCCTGTCTGGGGGAGGCAGATGCAGTGAAACAAGGGGTGGCAGGATGGGTCTTCCCTGGGATCTGCACCCCACTCCCCGGGGAGGGACTCCCACAGCATCCCTGCAGGGTGAGAACACACAGGGATGGGGCCAAAAAGGCCTGGTGGGACTCAGAAGCACAAAAGCTCCCCAGGTCTGTGAGGGGGGATTGCTGTACCTGGGGGAGAGATCTGGGGGCTGAGTGGATGGGCCAGCTCCCCTCTCCTCCCAGCACCCCAGACCCATCCTCAGCAGGCGCTGGCTCATCCCTGAGCCCCTGCAGGGAAGGAAATCAGTTTGCAACGAGCAGGTGACAGAGCTGAGTCCCCTTGCAATGGGACTGGAACACCCAAACTGTGGCAGATCCGTCTGACAGGACCAACTCCACCCCCATGGATGAACCAAGACGCCTCCAACTCCCTGCAAAAACTCACCCCCATTGCACCGAGCAGAAGAGGCACCATCTCCCCCCAGAGAGGGGCTTTTATCGGGGACAAACATGGCAGAAAAGGCCAGAAGATGCCATTGTGCTGGTCAGCACAGCCCAGGGCCCGGCTTGCTCTGGGTGGGTGGTTTTTGTTTTCTTGCAAACACACATTCTCGTTTCTCAGGCAGTTATAAATATTGTCGTTTCTAGTAAAAAAAAAAAACAAAACAAAACAAAAAACAACTTCCCTCTAAATAATATAAGGAAGACTCAAATGATTGCACTTAATACATATGAAAAAGGTAGAAAGGAGGATATCCTAGTGCACAAACATTAACTCCTGCTCTTCTCAAAGCTTGCTTTTCCGAGTTACTCTTTGGCAGAGCTTGTAACAAAGTCTGGTTTCTTGGCACAAGTGTCTGGGGTGTGGTGGGGGTGGCGGGGGGGGGGGGGAAGAAAAAAAATCGAACCCGGCTGAAAGTCCTTCTCCTTTGCTCCCTGTTTTCTCCCGTGCAGCCAGACATTGTTCTCCGGGAACGTGGCTTGGCTGCGCTTCCCTCCCAGCACCAGCGCGGCTCTCCAGCGGGCCAGAGCCACCACGGTGCCGCGCTGGTGGGCTTTGCCATCGCTCCTTTGCATTTCCTGTTCCATCAAGGCGGCTTTGGCAGCTCTTTTCCCCCAAAGCGGCGCCGGGAGCTGCGGCGGACGCGGCGTCGCCTCCTGCGCTCCTCGGCAGGGACCCCCCCCTCACTATCCTGGGCTGCTGCTGGCACCAGGGAACGGGGACAGACCTGGCGTAAAGGAAACCAAAGGGAGGAGCACACGGGACAGCGAAAGGACCACTAAAACCTTCAGTTTCCTAAAACCTTCTGCTTCGGAAGAGGGGAGCGGCTTCACCGGAGGAGACCGGAGCGAGCCCCGGCTGGGAGCGCAGCTCTGCAGGGAGCGGCGGGGAAATCGTGGGGAGACGTCTGCGGGGCGAGCAGTGGCGATCCTGCCGGAGCCAGGCGGAGGAAGGGAAAATCAGAAAGGAGAAGGAAGGGAGAAGAGGGTTTCCTTGGCTGCGGGGCGGCCCGGGGCGGCGGGGCGCGGCGGGCTATTTGTAAGGCCGGAGGAAGCTGGAGACTTTGGAGCGCAGGAGTTTGATGAAGGAGCGGGGCAGCATCTCCTTGTGCTTCTCTGTGTACTTGAAGTAGTTCTGGGGGTGCGCCAGCACGTCGAAGAAAGCTTTGATGAGCTTCTTGTCCTGCAGGGAAGCCGAGCCAGAGGGAGGTTCAGCATCCCCCCCGTGCTCCCCTGAAGCCCCAAATGCAAGGAGAGCAGGATGCATCCCTGAAAGGAAGGATGCCCTGGGGGGTTATGGACTTGGGGGTTCACCTTGAGGATCTCCTGGTGGTTCTCAGAGGCGTAGAGCCTTCCATCCCGCACGATGTCCTCCACCAGCTGCTCATAGTCCTCTGCCAAAACACACAGGGCATGAGCTGCCACTTGTCCCCAAACCTCCATCCTTCAGTTCACTCCCCCCAAACACACAAGAGGTGTGAACTGGGAGTGAACTGGGTCCCAAACTGTGGGGGGAGAAGCACCAGGGTGCTGGGATGGCATCTCCCCGTGCTCACCATCGTAGGTGACGTAGGGGATCTGGAAGCCCCGGGCACTGTTGGCTTCGCTGGTTTTGAAGTTGATCCAGAGCTTGCGGGAGCGGGCGGTGAAGGCGATGGGTCTCTCATAGGTCTGGCAGGTCTCGTAGGTGGTGATGGAGGATGGGGAGGCTGCAGGGAACAGCGAGGGGACACAGGATGCTGCTTGCCCATCAGCAGAGCTACCCCCAACCTTACTGGGCCAAGGGTGGCATCAGGGATGGGAATTGTCCATGCTGGGCAAGGCTGAGCCCCCCCTAACCCTCATGTTACATACTAGGGATTGTTATTCCTTCCTTGCTCTGGAAAGCACCAAATGGGGCTTTTAACCCTCAAAATGGAGTCCCAGGTGTGCAGCCCAGCCCATGCACATCCCCCTGAGATCCAGCAAGACCCCTGGATGCAGGGTGATGCTCGTCTCCCCACTCACCCTATTCCCAAAACTCCCCTCCTGCTGCCCGGGGATGCACCTTTGTCCCTCTCTGCCAAAACCCAGCCTTTTCCTGCCCAGCTCCTCCCCTGAGCACCGTGGCCTGCTCGGTTACCTACAGTTTTTCCGCATGACCAAGACGTCGCCGCACTCATCCTCGGAGGGGAGGAAGATCTCGGGCACCACGATGAGGATCTTGCGCTTGGGCGGGGGGTTGATGTTCCAGGTGCACTCGATGTTGGCAGGGTAATTCCCCGGGTAGTTGGGGGACTCGATGTAGCCCGTGTACTCCCCCAGCTCCCCTCCACACTGCCGGTCTGCAAGGCAGGGACACCACACCAGGGCATTGGGGGCGGTTTGCTGGGCCAGAGGGGCAGTGTGGACCTCTCACTAGTCCTAAACACATTCATACTCTTAACCCTAGCAACCCCCTCCACCCGCATCTTATTTCCTCTTCTATCCAAAAACCTCAAAAACACTCCCAGCACAATTAAAAACACAGTCAAAACTTCCTTCCTAATCAGCCTAATCCCAATAGCAATCTATATCCACTCTGGAACAGAAAGCCTCACCTCCTTCTGGGAATGAAAGTTCATTATAAACATCAAAATCCCCATCGGCCTGAAAATAGACTTCTACTCCCTTACCTTCTTCCCCATCGCACTATCCCCATTCGTATCATGATCTATCCTACTATTTGCAACATGATATACAACCTCAGACCCCTACATTACAAAATTTTTCACCTATCTACTATTCTTCCTAATCGCTATACTCATCCTAATCATCGCCAGCAACTTATTTGTCCTATTCATTGGCTGAGAAGGAATCAGAATTATATCCTTCCTACTAATCAGCTGATGACACGGTCGGGCACAACTCCCCATGCCTGCCAGAGATGACCCCAAACTCTACAGGATTTTAAAACACTTTTGAAGGAGAACCCCACACCTGTCCCCCCCCTTCTTTTGCCCCCCCAGCTCGCCTACTTTTGCACTGGGACACCGAGGTGGAGCCGTCAAAGTCGGTGGTGGTGTTGCCAGGGCAGGAGATGCAGTAATTCTGCCGGAAGTCGGGCTGGTAGGTGCCCACGGCGCAGCGGATGCAGCGGTGCACGCTCGTGTTGTAGTAGTGCCCAGGGGAGCACTGCACTGGGGGGTCAGGGAGCACAGGGGGCTGTGTCAGCTGCTGGCACGGCCCTGCTGGGTGGCCCCGTGCTGGGGACCAGCTCTGCCCTACCTTTGGTGTCGCAGTCCTGGAAGGAGAGGGCTCCCTCGTGGCGGGTGGTCAGCCCCCCGCCGCAGGGGAAGCAGAGCGCCCGCCCCACCTCGGGCTGGTAGGAGCCACGGGGACACGGCTGGCAGGGCTTGAAGCCATCAGCAGAGTGCTGGCCAGGGGGACACTGACCTGCAGGCAAGGCATTGTTCAGTCCTGGCACCCCACACGCTCTCCTGCCCCATACCCAGATCCTCTTCCCCCTCAGCTGTAGCACCACCAGTACACCCAGAGCAAGTGCTGCCCTTCCTGGGGTCCCCTCTAAATAATAAACACCCAAACCAGACATCTCTGTGAGCCCTGGGGATGCTCAAGGCTCTCCTGTCTGCTGGCTAATGGTGGAGGCTGCAGCCCTGGACATCCCCCGAGTGTGCCTCGAGCCCCACCTGTGCCCTCCTTACCGGTGCAGCCGGTGATGTTGGTGGCTCCGATGGGTCCGAAGGTGTCGCCGCGGGGACACAGGTCACAGGAGAGCTGCCCCTCCCTCTCCTGGTAGGTGCCGGGGGGACAGGGCACGCACTGCTCCGTCTGCCCGTGGTAATAGGTTCCCTGCGAGCAGCTGACTGAGAGCCGGGGGGGCCGTCGGTGATGCTGTGGGGGCTGTCACCGCCGGGTCCCCTCGTCACCCCGCCACTCTCCTCCTTACCACACTTGCTGGCCAGGCGCTGCTGGCCCGGCCCGCAGCTCTCCTGCCGCTCCGGGGCCACGCTCAGCTTCCGGGCCACCTCGTACTCCATCCCCGAGAAGCGCAGCAGGAACCGCTCCTGGTTGATGGATTTCTTCAGGGCTTTGATGGCCGACTTCAGCTTCTTCTCCACTCTCTGTCGCAGGCAGTGCAGGTTGCAGCTGGCTGGGTGGCGCAGAGGGGAATGGGGGGACAGGAGGGATGCAGTAAGAAGGGAGGGGTGCAGAGGGAAGCCCAGGAGCATTAAAACCATCCCCCAAACGCTCAGCTGCAAGTGCTACCCAGCGTGTGCCAATCCAGTGCAAGATGAGGACTGGTTTATCCCTCCTTGCTGCATGGGGATGGTATCGTGCCCCTGGTCCCACCACCTGTGCTGACCCAAGATGGGTCGGGCCAGCGCTGTGCCCACCTGTGATCTCCTCAGGCTTGATCTCTGCCTCAAACTCCAGCGTGATCCGTGTCACCTCTTTGTTGGGGGAGTTGCGAGCCCGGCGCCCCTTCCCCTTCTTGGACGAGTCACACTTGAGGTTGACGAAGGTGACCTGGCAGTCAGAGCACGGTGCCGAGCCACCTGCAGGGGGGGACAGGTCAGCACCCCCTCCCTGCTGGGGCACAGCCACCTCCCACCATCACACCTCACCTTGTGTCCCAGCCTTCCCGGCCTCCTCCTGCTTGCCCTTGCTCCGGGGGTGCAGGTGGCACTTGGCATCCTTGATCTTGAAGGAGGCTTTCTGCTTGACGGGGGCAGCCACAGTCTCTGAAAGAACAGGTGGGTGCTCAGCAAGCTGGCATGGCCCAGGCAGGCTGGTGGCAGCCGTGGGCACCCCAGGAGCCCCCTTACCGAGGCACTGCTGGCTGCTGTTGGTGGGTCTGTGCTGGCCCTGCCGCAGGACGGGGGTCCCACAGCTCACTGTGTAGCTGCTGTCAGACTCTGTGAGGGAGAAAGGGGAGTTGGCTCTGCCAGGGTGATGCAGGCAGGCTGTGCCGTGGGGGGATGATGCCCTGCACCCTGCCATAGAGATCTTGAACCAGGGACCTGGCCTGTGGATCTGCACCCAACAATGAGCCCTCCTAAGCTACAACTTCCCTCCCTCCCCCAGCCACTGCACTCTGGCTGTGGAGCCACTCCTCTCCCCTCAGTTTGGGCCATGCAGGAAATGGGGACCCCCTGCTCATGCTGGTGGTGGCATTAGTACCAGTACCTGGCAGAAATCGGGCCTTGGAGGTGCAGGAAAGGGCACAGCTGTCCTTCTTGCCCATCTTGTTGCACGTGAGGGTGGCCCGTGGTGGCACCGAACCTGGCAGGCACTTCACCAGCTCCAAGGGACAAGCACCAGCTGCTGATGACAATGAGGGATGCCCGTGGCTGGCACAGCTCAGAGACCCATGAGGGACCCCAGTGCCCTCCAGCTCATGGGAGATTCACCGGGGAGGAGACAGTGCCAGAGCATGGCACAGGGACCCCAGCCTGGCATCCCAGAGCCCCCAGCTCCTCCAGCAGCCCTGCTGGCTCCTGGCCTGACATACCCACACAGTCCTTCTTGTTCCAGTGCAGCTTGCAGCCAGCAGGACAGGTACACTGGTAGCTGCCAGGAGTGTTGATGCAGCCGAATTTGCAGCCACCCCTGTTGATGCTGCACTCATCGATGTCTGTGGGGACAGAGGAAGGGACAGTGGGCAAGGGGCAGTGGCTGAGGGACAGTGGGACCCCTCGGCTCTGACACTGAATCACTGCATTTCTCAGGGCTGGGATTCTGGATGGATAAATCCAAGCCCAGCTGGGACAGGGGATCTGCACCTCGGGGCATTTCCAGCGGTGCCACCTCCCCACAGCTGTGCCAGCTCCATGGGGATAAGGGACAGCTCGACTCCTGCTGTCCCCAAGGGCCAGGCAGGGACGGGTGCAACCCATCCAGGCTGAGCCCAGCCCTTCGTGGCACAGCAGACAGAGCCGACATTTTTCACTTAGAAACTGAACCCAAAAGGCTCAGCCCTGGTCCCTCTCTTCAGCAGGGTCCCCCCGGCCTGAAATGATGCTTCAGCTCAGGGATGGAGCTGCCCCTGTCAGAGCCCTCCCTGCCCAGCTCGCCCTCACTCGGGGCATTGATGGGAGCCATCGATTCCTTTGCTGCAGGGCCACCCCAGACAGCGCCGGGGGCTCACGCTGACCGTGTAGCTCAGAAACATTCCGAGGGTCGCTGACCCAGCACCGGAGCACCCGGGCTCTGCTCCCGGGCCGCCGGCACCGCTGCCGCAACACGCTCGGCAGCCCCTGCGGAGCGTGTTTCATCCACCTCCCGCTTCCCGGGCGCAGCACGCCCCCGCCCTTGGGAGCTATCTGCCTTGTGAAATTTAAATCAAACCCTTTTGATGTTCCCCTTCCCACCCCGTCACAGCTCCCTGCCAAAAACGCCGGGGATTTCTCCCTCTCTCTCTCTCCCGCTGCAGACAAGTCGCAAATTGTTCCTGTCGCTCTGTTTGAAGTTGCAGACACCAGCGAGTCTGGCTGTGAGCCCCGTCCCTGCCTGGCGTGTGCGTGGAACCGACCGTCCCCGCGGGCCCTGGGGGTGGGCAGGGTCCCCAGGGGTCCCACGGCAGCCGCACCCGGGGCTGTCCCAGCCCTGGGACCCCGGCGGGGTCCAGCTGGCCCTACCTCCGCAGTGGGTGAGTCCGTAGAGGGTGTAGCCCTTGTGGCAGAGGCACTGGAAGCTGCCGGGGGTGTTGATGCAGAGGTGGTCGCAGGTGCGGTCAAAGGAGCACTCGTCGATGTCTGGAGGAAGGGCAAGGGGAGGAGGTGAGAGCTGGCACGGCAGAGGGGCCGTTCCCTCTGTGGGACTGTCCCCTTCCTGCTCCAGCTGCTCCAGCAAGCTGAGGGCTGTGCTGGGATGCTCTGGGACCCTGCCCTGGTACCCTCCAGGGTCCAGAACCAGATTGCTCCGGGCATTCAGTACAATTCTGGGCATTCAGGATGCTCCGGAGATCCAACACCAGCATGCTCCAGAGCCCTGGGCTCCCTCCTTCCCCGGAGCTCCTCCTCACCCACTGCACCAGCATCCCCCTGCCACAAGCTCCTGCAGCCCCTCTGCTCCTCAAACGGGCCAAACAGGGTCAGCATCCCCCTGCCACAAGCTCCTGCAGCCCCTCTGCTCCTCAAACGGGCCAAACAGGGCCAGCATCCCCCTGCCACAAGCTCCTGCAGCCCCTCTGCTCCTCAAACGGGCCAAACAGGGCCAGCATCCCCCTGCCACAAGCTCCTGCAGCCCCTCTGCTCCTCAAACGGGCCAAACAGGGCCAGCATCCCCCTGCCACAAGCTCCTGCAGCCCCTCTGCTCCTCAAACGGGCCAAACAGGGCCAGCACCCATTCCCTGGCACGGGAAGGCTGCAGGAGCCCCCGGCTGCTGCCGGTCCGGGGCAGGGAGGGATCGGGAGGATGCCAGGAAGGGATCAGGAATGCTGTGCGGGCAGGTCCTGCCTCGGGGACGGTGCCAGCAATGTCTGCTCGGCCCCGCGGGCACCTCGCTGGGGCAGGGAGGCCCCAGCTGGGAGGTGAACCCAGCCCGGTGGGCTGGAGCATCATTTCATTGGCTTCATTAAGTTAATTGCTGCGCTCACGTCAAACTCCCCGAGCACAGAACCTGGACGGAGATGAAAGCAGTGGCAGCCCCGGAGCCTGCCAGCCCCCTCCTTCCCCGGGCCTGTGTTTTCAGGAGGCAGCGCTCGGGCTCAGGCACACCTGCCGTGCTGACCTCGGCCATGGGCTGCGGGGGCAGCACTGACCTCCTGGGCTTATGGGAGATGAGGACAAAGATGTTGGGACGGGGAGAAAAAGGTGGAAGAAGCAGCATGGAGCAGGCAGCTCCCTCTGGAGTGAGCAGGAGGCATCTTCTCCCCACTCCTGCCCTCCAAGAACTGGGAGCCCTGGCAGCTGCCTGATTGCTGGCTTTAACTCTGCAAGAGCCCACCAGTCCCCAGCTCTGAGACTGAAGGGCTAAGCCCCAAACCAGAGCCTGAATCCAGCACGAATCCCCTGAAGGATGCATGCAGTCCACAGGATGGGCAGAGGAATGAGCAGCCGGGGCAGCAGCGCCATGGGAGTGCAGGGAGGGGCAGGGCAGGGGCCCGGGCACTCAGTGCCCCTCACCTTGGCAGTTCCTCTCGTTTATGAGCAGCTTGTAGCCCTTCTTGCAGCTGCACTCGAAGCTGCCCACTGTGTTCCTGCAGATGTGGTCGCAGCCGCCGTTGTTGAGCCGGCACTCGTCGATGTCTGGTGGGGACAAGGGACACCCAAGGGTCACACCCTGGCTGGGATGCTTGGCCAGGAGAGCCCAGGGCTCCCCTCTGGGTGCTGTCCCCACCACGAGGGACAATGGAGGAAACCCTTTGGGCTCTGATGGTCGGCAGGGGAATGTGGCTGAGGTGGTTTGTTCTCCCACTAATCACACAATTTACTGTCAGGAAACAACGTGTGAAATGGAAGGAGACCAGGAGGAGGCAGCAGCCTGCCCTGTCCCTCCACCCCCCAGTGCTGGGGCAGCAGCTCTGCCTCGCCGGGGCTGAGGCTTTCTTTTTATGACTGTGAGGGAGCAAGCTGTAAACCTGCCTGCAGCCCTAATAAAACCCCAGACACAGGGGACGTGGCTCTGGGTTATTGCACATCGCTGGAAACTGCAGAACTGGAGAGGGGTGGATGCTCTGATAAAATACCAGGGACAAGGGGTTCTGGAAGCAGTCAACAGGTAGACAGGCAGCCAGCAGTGGCACAGGCTTTCCTTTCAGCTGGGGTCAAGTTCTGAGAGCTGCCAAAAGACACAATGCAGGCACTGGCCAGCCCTGAGGGGGGGAAATTTGGGGTGCAGGGAAAGCAGCCTGGGCTGCCCTCCTGGCAGGGACAGGGGAATGGGGACATTGGTGGGATGTGCAGCATCTCAGGGTGTTCTCCCCCATGTGGGACCTGGTTGGGCAGTGTCCCAAGGGGGACCTGTGCATCTCACTCCCCCAGAGCAGGCGTGCATTCCCTGCACACCCAGCCCTTCCCCTGGGGCAGCTCAGGCACTGGGGTGGGCTGAGATGGGACAGGACCCTCTAGTCCCACAAGGGCTTCCCAGGGGCATGGGGCCAAGCATGGTGCCTGCAGCAAGGCATCCCAGTCCCCATGCAGGGGGTGATTCCTGTCCCCACCCCATGGATGCAAACACCAAGCCAGTGAGCACTGGGGGCAATGTCGGGCTGAGCTAAATCTGAGCCTTTTCTGAGGGCACTGAGGACACAGCGGGGGCCTGGGGCACCCAGGGGTGAGCAGTGAGCCCCCAGCCCCACTCACACCCACCTACCTTTGCAGGTCTTCCTGTCAGGCTGGAGCATGAAGCCCATGGGGCAGCTGCAGTGGACGCCGGTGGCCGCGTCGTGGCACTTGCTGTCACAGCCCCCGTTGTTCACAGCACACGTCTCTGCATGGCAAGGGGACAGAAATGCTGGGGTGAGGGACCCCTGTGCAAAAGGCTGGGGGAGTCACACCACCCAGATGTCCCCCATGCCACGGCCTGGGAGTGGCAGTGGGTACAAAGCTCCCTGCAGAGCCCATGGGAAGCTCCCTTGGCTCTCACACAGCAGCAGCAGCGAGGCCGCAGAGGCGTGAAATGATGAACACATGGGGCTGGTGTGCCCCACAGACAGGCAGGGCCTCCTGGGGGCCACCTTGGGCAGCTCCAGAGAGGAGGAGTCCAATTTCCCAAAGGGAGGAATTCAGAGTCGCAGCACTTGTGCAAGAGCAGCCGGACACGGGTCCTGCCAGGCTGCAGCTCCCAGGGATGGGGAGCACAGCCCCAGTCCCCCAGTGGGGTGGCAGGGGGGTCCTGTCCCCCTCGCTGCCACCAAGCTGCTGAGCCACAGAGCCACGGGTGACCCTGTGCTGTCAGTCCCTGACCGTCACCCACTGCTCAGCCACTGAGATGTGTCTCAGGCTAATTTGGGAGACACATCATATAATTAAAACACACACTCAGAGGCAGGCAGCATCAGTGGAAAAAAAAATCCAATTGAAAAAAAAAAAAAGAGCTAATTATTTCAGTATTATCAAAGTCAGCTGTTGCTGGTAGGACTAGAAGGGACACTAATTTAAATGAAGCATTTTCAGCTTGACAGCTTCCCTGTGAGATCAATCCTCAATTTCAACCCTAACCACCAGAACAATGGTTTGAAGTGCATTAAGTTGTTCACAAAGGATAATAAAATATTCCTTTCAGAAGGCTGGTTGCTTGGATAAATGAGGCATTTGGGCTTCAAGGAACCCAAGATGAAAATGCCTTGAAGAAATTCCTTGGAAAGAGCAAATCCCAGGTTCTCCTGCTCTTTGCAAGCACCACATGGGGTAGGAATGACTGAACCATCCAACCATTTGCCGCGGGGCCCGGGAGCTGGGATCGCTCTGTGCTCGTCTTGCCACTGCTATTTTTATGATGTCCCATAATAAGAGAACAAAAGGGACCATTTTATGAAATTAATCGCCAGCACAATTACAAAACCTAACGGCAGGGGAAGGATTTCTGCAGATATTATTCCTCCAGCCAGGTCCTCGCGCTGCCCAGCCGTGCCAGGGGACAGGGACACAGGGTGGGTGACACCGTGCCCAAGGGAAGGGAAACTTTCTGAAAGGCCAGGGAATCATTTGTTCAATGCCAGCCTTTGTTCCAGCGGCTGATGCAGAAGCAGCCCGGGGAGGATTGATTTAACAGGGTCACCACTGAGATAAGAGGATTGGTTTGGCTCAGGTGCTGCTGCCAGCGGGATGGAGCTGCAGAAGCAGCTGCAGCAGGGAGGATGGAGCTCTCCAGAGAATGAATGTGGTGCCCTGGGCACAGTCACTGTGCTCACAGCCTCCTCCAGCACTGCGAACCCCTCCTGGCCGCTTTGCACCTTTGGGAATTTCACCTGGAATTTCACCCACCCACCATCCCAGGGTGGGTGCCCAGGGCGGGCATTGGGTGTGAGCTCGCTCAGCACAGCCAGAGCAGCACTGCAAACCCCTCTGTGAAGGGGGAAGCCCTGTTCTGGGTTGGCAGAAAGCTTGGAGGGGGCTGCTGGGGTACCTGTGAGGCAGTGGAGGATGGAGGCACAGGGCTGGGCTCTGGATTGCCCCAGGGAGCAGCAATTGTTCGGCGGAGCTGGCAGCCCAGGGCTGCTCCCAGCCTGGCGTGACTCACCAGCCACCCAGGGCTTTGGTGAGGCCTCCATTGCTCAGGCAGGGACAGGACAAAGCTACACACACTCACTCACACACACTCAGACTCTTTTCCACCCTCCTCCATCCCAGCTCTGCTGACACTGCCTGGCTGCTGTGCCATGGCACTCCTCACCCTGCTCAGCACCTCAGTGCTGGTGACACTCTGGCCTCACCTCCACCTTCTGAGAAGTGACAATCTCAGCAGGACGAGAGCCCACGAGCCAGAGGGGATAATTCCATGGTAACGGGGGGGATTACAGCTGGGCTGGCTGGAGTGTGGTGATGACGCAGATCTGGGGTCCCCCCTTCTCCCACCCCTGTGTGAAAGGCTCTTCAGAGCCCCCCAGAAGCTGCAGTCTGTGCTCCCTGGGCTGGTGAGCTGAGCTCCCACAGCTCCTGGATGTGCCAGGAGTTTGCCTGCACCCAGAACATCCAGGAACAAGATTCCCCACTACAAGCAAATCGCTGCATCTTCTGCCTCAGTTCCCTTGGTGGCAGAGCAGAGGCATCACCTTACCTTTGTGAAGGGCTTGGAGACCCCACGGGGATGCAAAGAAATCCCTGGGGAGGTGCCCAGCCCTGGAAAGGGCCATTGCTGCAGCTCTGGGCTGAGAGCCACTGTGCATGGCAAGGCCAAACCCTGGGACACCCTGGAGGTCCCAGAGGGGACCATCCTCAAGTGGGTGGGCTCTAGGAAGGGGTAACTGGGAGTGCACAGCACAGAGATGGGCACAAGCATCCCCCTCCCCACTGTGAGCTCCTCCTGGGTGTGGGGGTGACCCTGCCACAGCCGCAGCAAAGCAGAGATTGTCACCCTGGCGTGGGCTGGATCCGCCAAAGCAGCGTGAGAGCCCCGTCTCATGCAAGCACAGCAGGGGAGGGGTCCCTGCCCTGTCCCCAGCCCAGCCCTGGCTGGCCTGGAGTGAGGTTTGGAAGCAGCAGCGGGGCAGGGTTAGTGAGACATGCGGTCATTGCAGCAGCTCAGCCCCCAGCCCCGCCACGGTCTCCAGAGGAGAGACCATCCACGGTTAGACCCCTTCGTAGAGATAGAGAGAACAAAAATATTTACCATTAGAAAACGTCTCAAGGATAACGTGTTGCTGGAAGTGTCTCTCCCCTGTTTAACATTATAAAAAAGTGATTTAGAAACAGTGTCCAGCAGGGAACTTGGTTGGTGTCACACATCAATGGGTTCAACTCTGCTGCGTTTCCAGCCTGGTGGAAACTGTCCCTGTTTTCCTTTGGGCTTTTTCTCTCCCACCTCCCAAGCATTTTACGTCCCTCAGCCTCTCCAAACCCCCTCCAGCCGTGCTGGGCTGGTTGGAGCCCCATGCGAGCGGGAGAAGCGCGTTGTGAGGAGCGTTAGTGCAGCCTGTTAGTGTGGGGAGCGGCTCCTGGCTGTGACCAGAACCAGAACCAGCCCGTGGTGATCCCCGAGCGCAGCCACGGGCCTTGGGAAGGCAGCCACACCCCCCTGTGCCGCTTGCACCCTGTGGGTTTATCAGCCAAGCCAGCAGAGAGCCCAAAGCCTGGGTGTGTTTGGGCTGCTCAGCCTCCCCCGGGGGTCAGCGCACCCCAGCATCACCAGCCCCACAAAGCTGGGAGCACTGCAAACTGCCCCAGTGTGGGTCAGGAAATCCGCCATAAAACCTGAGCTGGGTTTAGTTTCCTTCTCCATCTAACTGTATTTCTTCTCTGTCCACCCCTTCCCACTCCACCACAAGTTGGGGGCCAGCAATAGCCCGGCTGCACCCCAAATATGGGTGGGAGGGAGCTGCAATGATGCCCTGGCTGGTAAATCTTCCTGGAAAGCCAAAATCTGCATCCACTGTGACAGCTGATTTTGCATCTCCCCGTGGGCACTGCACCCTTGGCTGCTGGAGGGCTGTTTTATGTGCTTTTTTTTAATTCTTTTTTTTTTTTAAAGGCTGCTTTTGGAGCATAAATATAAATATATAAGGTCATTGGCTTCCCCTGCCGGCTCCCCCTCCCCCTCGTGCCTGCAGACATGTTGGGAGCCATTAGTGATGGCCCCTGTGCTTAGAGGCATGTTCCTCATTATCTGCATTTTTAAAAGCAGCAATAAAAAGCAGAAAAATGAAAAACACCGGCCGTGGCCTAATGAAACTGTCACTCAGAGGGGCTGATCGTGCTTCCTGCCTCGTGGTGTGATCTGAAGGGAACCTGGACCAGGGGCCTGTCCCGGCAGCCCATCAAACACACCGCGTTCAATTTCAAAGCCCATGGCCCGGGGAACGACTTTGCGTTTCCCCTCACTGGAAACTTTATTCCCCTTGAAATGATGAAATATTTTGGAGGAAATGGGGAAGGGGCGGTGAAGGGGGCAGCGTGGATGGGGGAGGGCTGTTTGCTGTGCCCAAGCCATAAAACAAGAAGGGCTGGTTATAAATATCCGAGCAGGTACCTCGGCTGTAAATCTGCTGGCTGGGCATCCCAGAGGGCAGCTGCTCCTCCCAGAGGCTGGAGCACAAGCCCTTGGTGTTCCCACGGTGGGGCTGGGGATCAGGAATCCCCCAGGGAGTGCAAGAGCTGGGCAGAGGGGATTGCAGAGCCCAATGAGACAGGCATGGTGTGGTGGTGGGCTTTGGGCTGGTGCTGCTCCTAAAATCCTCTAGTGCAGTGTTTGAATTCCCCTGGAAAGGTGGACAAGGGGAGAGCTCACAGGGATGTGCTGGCTCTGGTGGGAGATGCCTCCCCAGCAGGTACAATGCAGGGCATGGGGACAAAGAGGGACACTTCGGCCAAGGACAAGAGGATGGGTGATTTTGGAAACGCCCAAATCCCACCCTCACACCTGTGGTACCCAGGGTCTGAGTGCAGAGACCACCCCCACAACAAACAGACTGCTCTGAGGCATCACCCAGATCACGAGATGCTTTGGAGAGCTCCTCTCTCACCCCCACACCCAGCAGGTCCAGGGGCATCCTTGGTCCCTGCCCAAGGCAGACGCCGCACGCAGGGCCCCTCACCCAGGAGGAACCCACCAGCTGACACCCCCAGGGTCCTGAGCTCCCCACCCAGGAGCAGCAACAACCCTGGGAGGCTCTTCAGAGGTGGGACAGGACGCGGTGGCTGTGGGAATAAACACGAGGACGGCGGGGACCGGGGGCTGTGAGCAGCCAGGAGGGATTGGGATCCACCCTGGGGCACAGCAGTGACATTAAAGCAGCAGGGAGCTGATGGGGAGGAGGACTTTGCTGGGGGCTCAGCCCCAAACACCCCTCGAGCTGGCAGGGAGAGCCAGGGGCTCAGGGGGGATCCTCTGCCCTGAGGACGGAGCCGTCTGTGGAAAGCACGAAGGGTTTTCTGTTCAGGCACAGCAGGGACATGGGCAGCCAAAACCTCTCTTGCTTCCAGTTCCTTTTTCTTTTTCATTTTGCAGTAAGAACTCAAATGTCTCAAGCAATTGTGGACTTAATCACTCCCCAAATATAACATTTTTTAAATCAAAGCAGCTGTTAAACAGCACAAGCATATGAAACCAGTAAAACTTCTATCTCTGCTTGATGTTTTACAATTTGAAAACACACACAGGAAAAGGACAATTCTGGGGGTGGTTGAGTTGTCAGGTTGTTGGGGTTTTGGTTTTGTATTTTTTTTTTTGCAAGACAATTGTTCCTGAGCCAAGGCCCCACAATACCAAGTTGGAACAGATTGCTGTGGGCAAACCTGCCCCCTCCACATCCCTCCTCAAAAGCTGCCAGTGACAGCGACAGTAACAATTCCCAGTATGAGGAATCCTCACAGCTCTCTCTTCAGCAGCACAGAAGCAGGCAGGGGACCCCAGCACAGCAACCTGTCCCCAGGTGTCCCCTCAAGCACCACCAAGATCACTTCTGCTCCCTGTGGCTGTGCAGGCACATCCCAGGTGCTGCAGCATCCCTCACACAGCGCTGAGCTTCCTCAGTCTCAGCAAAAGGAAAACGCCCGAGGCTTGGGAAAAACCTTCACCAGGCCAAGGACAAATCACCCAGGGAGGAAGAGGAGCCACGCCACAGCCCAACCCCTGTGTGGGCGATGCCCTGACCTACCTATGCACGTCACCCCGTCCGAGTGCAGCAGGAATTTGACGTGGCAGCCGCACTTGGGCCCCTGCTCGGTGTCGTCGCAGGTGTGCTGGCAGCCCCCGTTGCCGTAGTTGCAGGTCACTGTGGGAGCAAAGCACCAGGGTCACCACGGCCCCAGCTCCTCTTCCCTGCCTACCATCCACATGTAGCACATGAAGCTGGCTTGGAAACACCTCATCCATACCCTCAGAGACTTCCCTCCCTCCTTCCCTCACAGATAATTCCTAAAGCCCTTCACTTTCCCTCTGGGATTTTAGTACCTGCAGGCTCTTATGTGGTTTCTCATGTCTTCCCTCTGCATATCTGCTAAATGCCACCGGTGGAGTCCAAGCAAAGGGGACTGGTGGTCTGGTTGACCCTGACCCTGAATCCAGTGCTGCAGGGGAGGGGTGAAACTTTCCTGAGCTTTGGAATGACACAGGAGCTTTTGGGAATCCCTGCCAGCCCTCCCCAGGGGGCAAGGTGTGCTGTTCATTTAGTTTAGGATTACGCCTTCATTTCATCAGCAATTTTACACATTTGCTGCACACAGCAAATGAGAAACAAAATAAAAATAATTGCATAAACACACACATATCTATTTAATAACCCTGGCACTGCCAGTGGGATGCTGGCAGGAGATCAGACGGGCTGAGAGCACCACAACCCCCAGGGAGAGGATTCCTGCGCTCCTCACATGCCAATTGCACTCTCCTTGTTCACCTCCCCTTTGGAAAATGAAGCACTGGGACAAGAATAGGGGATGCTGAGCCTCTAGGACCCCCCTGAGCTGCCATTTCAGGCTGGTCATGTAAGGACACAACATCCCAGAGTAGAGGGGGCTGCCAGAAGCATTGTCCGTAAGGGCAACAGAGGCAGAGCTTCAGGCTCAATGAACCAACTGCTACCAGGGGCTCAGGGCTTTGCTGCAGGGCAGGAGGTGTCTGTGCCATGGGGCCAGGGTTGGGGGGTCCCTGGGAGGGTGTACCCCCAGCCCTGGGGTGCTCCTTACGTTTGCAGTCCCGCTGGTTCTTGGTGAGCTCGAAGCCGGGGCGGCACTCGCAGGCGATGCCCCCTTTGGGGGTCTCCCGGCAGATGTGGGCACAGCCGTGGTTCTTGTTCATGCAGTTCATGCCTTCTAAAAGAGAAAAGGAGGCAAAGATATGTCCAAAAGCTGCTGGCACTGGGCAGCAGTGGCAGAGGGACATCTGAGCTGGGATGGGGAGTTGATGGCAATGAGGGAAACCTTGTGGGGACAGGATAACCCTGGCCAGCTCCTGGCACAGAGCTGCTTGGGAAGGTGGACAAAACCACCTGGGAGCCTTCAACCTTTGATTCACCTCGGGTGAGACCCTGCTCCCACATGTCTCAGTGGCTTTAAACCCCACTGAGCTCAGGACCCAGCACCTGCATCCCTGTCCCCAGTGTGGCACCAGCAGGAAGGAGCAGCCAGCTCATCCCTCCTGGGATGGATGGGGACACAGGAGATGCCACTGCAGCTGCTCAGCTGTCCTGGGCAGGGTGGGATTCCTGGGGAGCTGGAGTGACCTACACAGCTGGGAAGGGGGAAGGAGGAAAGCAAAAACACTCAGCTGGCTTTGCCAAGCAGCAGAGATAAAAATCAGCAGAGACGAAAAAATCTCTCATTTCCTCCTATTTTGGCTAAGAGGTTGCTCCAGACGGCAACAATTTAGAGTTGATATCGAGAGGAAGGGCTGGGTGCTGTGCAAGACCTGGCAGGGGAAGATGCATCTCAAGGTGGTGTGAGGATTTCCAGGTCCTTCAATTTATCAGTAAATTCCTCTGGGCATAGGATTAATGTCCCCAGCTCAGAATTGCTGCGCCTGGACAAGGGAGCTGTGGGATTTTGCTGCAGGACATTTGTCACCTGTCCCAACATGCCTGCCATAGATTCACTTTCAAACCTGCCACACCAAGAACCCAGCAGCAGCACCAAAACCCAGGCAGGAGTGGCCAGAGGTGACAGAGGACAGACGTGCCTGATAAAGGCAGGGATGGAGGGTGGCCCAGGGCATGGAAGGGCTGAGCACTGACCTTCAGGGCGCTGGATGCAGGTGTGCTGGTTGTCACTGAGGAAGAAGCCCTCCCTGCAGAAGCACTCGTAGCTGCCCATCATGTTGACACAGGTCTGCTGGCAGCCGCCGTTGCCCTCCGAGCACTCGTCCAGGTCTGCAGGGGGAAGGTGGCAGGGGGTGAGCTCAGCTCCTTGGCACGCCCAGGGCATGGGCACTGGGTGGCACAGACCTGCTGGGCAGCTCCTGCTTCCCCCCAGCTGGACAGGGTGGGGGATGAAGGCAAAGCACAGCAGGAGTGGGTGCAGGGGTCTTACAGCTTCACTGAGCAATGGCCTCATTTTACAGAAGGGAACACCAGACCACAGAGAAAGGGCTTTTCCTTGTCCCAGAAAACCCAAAGCACCCAGAATGCTCATCCAGGATGCTGGCTGCAGTCGGCCCCTGCTCCCAGCCCCTCAGAGCCTGTTGCCAGCTGGGGATGCCTGCACTTCATTAGGAGGAGCTGGGAAACCTTAGCCCAGAGCAGGGATAATTACTTGTAAGGAGACTCACATCCCCTGCTCTGCCCTCACACCTGTTTTGGTTTAACAAGCCAAGGCTGCAAGGGGCTGGGATGTGGCCCCGTGGCAGCAGCAATGCCCTCACCCCAGGCTGCTGCTGCTCCAGCCCTGCAAAACCTGCATTTAATGAAGAGAACTGCCCATTGCTCTCTCTAGAGGCTTTTTGGGGACAGTGGTGCAAGCTGAACTCACCAATGCCCTGAGGTGCCAGAGCAACTAGGATGCCAGGCTTGGCAAAGATAAACCTGTGCTGTGACCACCCCTTGCCCCCTCTGCCCGCGGGGCTGGGTGATGGTGTCAGGCTGGGAGCAAGGGGCCCCGTGCCAAAGAAAACCTCCTGTGAACTGGAGCATTGCAGAGCCACGGCTGAGGGGAAAACTGAGCCCAGCGGAACCGCCCGGAGAGCGGCTGAGCTGCGGCACACGCCGGGGGCTGCCAGCACCAGTCCCCTCCCCAAACAGCACAGCACACCCAAACCCCCTGCTTTTGGGCTGAACAGACAGACAGACGGATGCCCGAGCAGCGTGGGTGCCTCGCACTGTGCCCCAGCCCCTGGCAAGCCCTGAGGGTGTGCTCAGAATTACCAAAGCAGGGCTGCAGCTCTAGCTGGAAGTGGCCAGGCAGCAGAGCCCAGGAGCACCCCACAAAGTTGCTGTCTTGGAAAGGAGGTGTTGAAAACATCCCTCAGCCACAGGGCAGTGAGGGCTGACACCTGGGCTGCAGCCAGGCACAAAGGGACATCCTCTGCCATGGCAGGAAGCTCATGGCTTCCTCCAGTGCTCATCCCAGCCAAGCTATGTCCTGCAGATGCCAATAACCCTCCTCAAATCCCCCTGCTTAGAACAAGGGCTTAATGTCTTGCAACTTCTCCTTCTAGCTCTGCTCAAAAATGAGGAGGCAGCCGTTCAAACCCGATGGCTGAAATGAGACTCCGCTTCTCTAATACCTGTTTTATTAAAGGCAACAGAGATGGGCAGAAGCCAGCAGGGCCTGTGTCAGGACGGGGGCTTGAATTCCTGTCTTGGTTCAAAAGGTCACCCAGGATGGGCAATGGAGGGGCCAGTGGACTCTGGTGGGCACAGACCCTGACCCCTCTCCAGCTCAGCTCCTGCCCATGGCACTGGCCACAACACGCTGTGGGATGCAGGCAGGTTGGGCAAAGCTCGCAGGGATCAGAGATGAGATGCTGGGATGAGCTAAGGAAGGGCTCAAGGTGGGAGCCAGCATGCTCCCCCCAGATCCCCGCTTGGCCGGCTGCTCCCAGCCATCTCCATCCCCTCCCACCCAACTCTGTAAACACATGACGTCCAGCTTCCCTTTCTTCTTCTCGGGCTCATCCTCCCCCGGGAGAGGAAGGCAGAGCCAGCCGCCCGCGCCTCCTCCCAGCTGTGTAAATCTCCCCCCTCCCCGAGGAGGCTGCAAAGATCCCGGTGATGGTGCTTAATGCAAAGCGTATGTGTCCATAATCCCTTCCCCCTCCTCCTCCTCCCAGTGATGAGCTCATTAATGACCCCTCTGCAGACACTAATTGGAAAATAGCATGAGCTGCAGGCAGAGGGGAGGTGGGCGGCTCCGTGCCCCGGAGCTCCCGCCGCGGATGCCGCGGGAGGAAGCGGGCGACGGGCGCGGGCAGCTCGATGGGCCCCGGGGCTCCGACGGGAGCTTTGGCTCGGCCGCGGCCGGATGGAGTTCGGGGCGGTGGGAAGTGGCGGGGAGGATGCGCGGCCGCTCCGTAGGCAGATGCCGGGTTTGTCTTGGCCCGGGGATTATTTATCCAGTCCCTTCGCTGGTTCCCATCCCCACCATATTTGCTATTAACTCATCTATTTTGGCAGGTGCAGGGCTGACCTCGAGCACGAGCGGAGCGAGCGGCAGGGCCCGGGTGAGCTGGTCCTGCCCTCGGCAGCGGCACAGAGCTGCTGGCCCGGCCGCTTGCTGCAGCAGGATGAGAATGTGGGGAGCCTGTGCCTCACTCCAGCAACTCCAAACCCAGCTCTCCCAGATGGACCCACAGAGTGAGTTTTTCTCCCATCATGGAGCATCTTCCCTTGCCATCACCCTGATGTAACGGGAAGCAATCCTGTCCCCAGCACAGGACATGCCTGCGTGCCCTGGCAGTGCCACCACGGTTCCACGGCTCTGCAGCACATCTGGGGGTGCTGGGTGCTGGGAAGTGCCCAGCAAGGAGAGCCAGCAGGTCAGTCCCGAGGTGCTGGAGCAGCTGAGGAGCTGCAGGGCACCAGCATCGCTCACCCAGGCAGTTGTGGCCGTCGTGGGCCAGGCGGAAGCCGTCGTAGCAGGTGCAGCGGTAGTTGCCGGGGATGTTGACGCACTCGTGCACGCAGCCAGCGTTGTCCTCCCGCTCACACTCGTCAACATCTGCAGGGGAGAAGGGTGGGAGAGCTGCAGGGCTGCCCCGACTGCTGCCCACCATGGGTGCTGCTCCCCATCTCCAGCATCTTTGCCACCCAGCTGGTAATGTGCCCCGGGGTGTTCTGCTCTCTCTACCTATTCCAGCAGGTGCTCAGCTCTATTATCACCTGCAGCATCCCTGCAGAGTCTACAAAGTCATCCCAGTTCTCCTCAGTCAGGGTGCTGGAGCCCCAGCTAGCCCTGTGTCTCAGCTTTAGCCTGGTGCAGAGGGCTGGGAACCTCCTGGGATTTCCCAGGGTGCTGCCAGAGCAGCCCCGTCTCCATGGCAAAGCCCTGCAGTGCCTGGAGCGCTTTAATCCCTCTGCTATTTGTGCTCGGCCCATCCTGACCCTGAACCTGTTCCCAGCTGGGAATTTTTCCCCTGCCCCAATCCTGCTTTCCTGCTGCTGCTGCCCCAAGGACCCCATTTTCTTTCCATTCCCCACTCAGTTGTATTTATATATAGATATATGCCTATACCTATATCAATATCCAGATTTACACCTATATCTACATCTACGTTGATTTCTACACCATCTATATCTCTGTTTCTGTCTTATTTTTGTGTTTTAGCTGCTAACACAGCTCTGCAGCCTCAGGGTCAGAAATCCTGCAGGAAAATAAGCCCAGCTTTGTTTAAAACAAGCCCCATGTGACCCTTCATGGGCAACCCCAACCATATCAGGACAATGGCTGCCACCATCACCAGCAAGGACAGTCAGAGTCCTCTCTGTCCCCCTGCACTGTCAACAGGCCAGGAGTTTGGGGCAGAAAAGGGGAATAAAAGGTTTACAATGGGCCAGGGTGAACGAGTGGCTTTTTTGCATGGGTTGATGAGCCACTGGTGGCCTCTGACCTGCTGGGGCTGTCACTCAGCAGGACTCTGGCTCTGCCAGTGGCGTGTCCCTACCTTTGCAGTGCTTCCCATCCCCGGTGTAGCCGGACTTGCAGATGCACTTGTAGGACTTGGGGGTGTTCTGGCAGATGGCATCGATGTGGCAGTTGTCAGTGCCCTCCACGCACTCGTCAACATCTGCAAGAGGACAGGTGAGGGAGCGAAGGGGAGAGCCTAGGGCCTCCACCCGTGTCCCCGTGGGAGCCACCACCCCAGGTGATGGATCCCAGCAGCCTCTGGCTCCCCAGCCAGCCCTGATGATGGGCTCTGACGTGATGAATCACTGGGTCCACTCCCAAACAGCACAAATACCTGTGTCCCCTCTCGGACACGTCACCCTGAGACTCCCTGGCCCTTTCATGTGTCTGATGATAGGAAATGCTGCTCCAGCACTCCCAGTCCAGGCTGGAGCCAGCCCAGGGCAGAGGTAAAAGTCTCTGTCTCCAATTAGCTGTTTCCTGAGCCAACCAGGCACCCAAATAATCGTCATCACTTTCTATTCCTAGGCGCCAAGGAATGTGCACGAATTAGCAGGGACCACACTAAATAAACCTGGGAGCCAGGAGGGAGAACTGGGAAAAACATCAGGGCTTCCATGGGGACACGGACAAAATTTGCATTGTCGCCATCCCCCTTTGCCCCTCAACCCCCTTCTCTGGGATGCAGTGCTGCCCAGGACATCACATCCAGAGCTCCACGTGCTGGCAATGGCCTCAAGCAGCAATGCCCAAGGGTTTGCTGTGACAGGAGGCCGTGGGAGTGGAGGTTTTAATGGTGTGTGGGAAATGGAGAAGCCCCAGGCACGTGGAGTGGAGGTTTGTGAGCAAAAGGCTGTTCAGCTGGCTCTCACTGCCCTGGCAATCAGGGAGATGTGGTGCCCTGAATGGAGCAGGCACATCCCCTCCATGACTACCAGTGCCTGCAGATCAGGTGCTGAGGGGCAGGTGGGGCTGAGCATCACCCACAGCCCCACAGGTATGGGCAGGGCTCCCAGAGCAGCCCAGGCTCCAGCTCCACGTGGGGAGCATCAGCTCTGCTCCTGGAAGGATTTGCCTCCACCTCTAGGAAGCTTCTCACCGAGGAAAGGGAACCTGGGCGTCCCTCCAAGCTTCCCTGTCCCCCCATCAGGAGTAGCATGAGGCTTCAAAGCCCTCAGCTGCCTTTAAAGGAATTCTGATCAGCAGCCCCAAGAGCAGGCGTTCTCCGGGAGCTCCCCAGAGACCCCCGGCATCCCTGGGGGCGGCGGGAGGGCGGGCAGGGCAGCCCGAGCCCGGTGCCGGCCACCCCGGCGGCCGTGCCGGGAGATGTGACTCACCCGAGCGGCCGGGACGAGCGGAGCTTTGTGTCCGCATCGGGGAGGCGGCACGTGCCTGAGCATTGTATAAATATTTACAGCCCGCATTCATATTTGTTATTTGACATTAGCCATGGCCCGCGGCCACCACGGCCTCCCTTGGGCCATTAATCAGCAGCTGGAGGCTGACCCACCACGGTGGGGACGATGCAGGGATTGCACAGGGACCAGGGCACTGCTCCTGGCTGGCACCTACAGCACCCATGGCCCTGGTGCCACGGTGCCAGCACCCAGCACCAATCCCTGCCTGTGCCAGGGCACCCGAGGGCCACTCGTCCCTTTGGGGAGCTGAGTGTGGCCGTTCAGCATCTCAGTGACTTCGCCTCAGGCTCCTGAATCCCTCACTGGGCTCCCAGAGGGGGGTTGGGAGGCTGTGGCACTGGAGCAGGGGGATGTGGGCATGGGAACTCAGCAGCAGCAAAGCTGATGCTGACCCAAAGGTCTCCTGAATCTGCAGATCCTGGTCCCGGCCCTGCGTGGCTGGGAGCTCCCCTTCAGGTGTTCCCCCAAAGTTATGAATCCCCTTGTGATGCTTCAGGTCGTGGTGCCAGGGTGAGAATTGTCAGGTCTGGCACCCACCCTGGCACCCAGGTGGGAACCAGCACCCAAACAGTACAGACCATCCATCAACCCCCATCTCCTTCCCCTAAAAACACTCAGAACGTGAAGCATCCACCAGGCATAAATCACATCATTGAAACTTTCCCAGCCTTTTGCCAGGAATCTCACTTTTGGGGGAATTTTATTTCCTATTTATTTTTCCTTCTGCACTCTCAAGCTCAAGACCACGAACAACAGGCATGAGGCACCGAATGCACCTCTGGCCCTCTCCCACTCACACATGTAGAGCATCCTTTTTTTTCCTATCTTTTTTCTTATTCTGTAACTTCAAAACTTGTCTAACTTTGGAAAGATTACACAGTAGCAAAAGTACAAAAGAAAACATTATCAGTTTTCCACTGTAATTTTTCCAAAGCTAGAGTCATTCTGAAAGGTTACAGGATTCTAAAAAAAAAAGAAGAAAAAAAAGAAAAAAAACCAAAAAAGTGTGTTTGTGGGAAGAGTGAATAAATACCCTCCTGGGCAGTCCAGGAGCTGTCCCAGGATTGGCAAAGATCCCAATTTTAAAATGCTGAAATTTTGGCTCCTCAGTATCCGTCAGAAATGATGTAGTGAATTAAAGTAAAACCCCCTGAAAAACTCAGTTTTTAGCATTTTTGTCAACGCAAGCAGCGTTTTCCCATGAAAGGGAAGGTTTTCTCTCAGGCCAGCCCGTTTTTCCTGCGGGAGAATTTTCTCCATCCAAAAAGCTGCCTGTGGCCTCACTGGTGCAGGTGCTCTGAGCTGCTGCCACCATATGAGAGCGTTCATCTCCAAGATGAGTGAAGATTAAAAAAAATTTTAAAAAATTAAAATAAAAAATCCTTACTGATGCTCCTGTCCCTGTTTGCTCTCAGTAGCTCCTCGCTGGGGTGTGCCCTGCTTGTCCCCCTACTCCACAGGAGCTGCTCCATTCGAGGTCCCAAATCCAGGTGGGTTTTTTGGAGGGTTTGCCAGACCTGTACCCCTCCTGTGCACCCCCTCCATTCTTCCTTCCACAAACAACCAAACCCCACTGTTTTTCATGCTAAACTGCCTGAATGAGCCCCAAACCGGGCGGTGCAGATGGGCACATCATGCCCCAAACCCCCGGCACGGGGAATTTGGTTGGGATGAAGATGCTGAGCCTGGCTGGGGCCCGCAGCCCCATCTCTCTGGAGCCGAGCAGGGCTCATCAGAGGGCAGCAGCATCCCTGGCACGGCCGGCCCGGGGGCTGCGGGAAGGGCAGGAGGTTGCGGCGCTCGCCCCGCGCCTCGGGCCGTGTTTTTTATTCCGTTGTGGGTGGGATTTTCCAGCGCTGGCTGTTGGGCCCCGTTCCGCTCCAGCTGCAGCTTTATTCTCCATTTCAAAGGCAGCGGAGGCAGACGGTTTCAACGCCACTGCCATTTCGAGCGTGCCAAAAGCGGGGGGACCGCCACCTCCCCGGGACCCCCGAAGGGCTCTGACCCAGGGGGAGGCGGTGGCAGGGCCCTCTGTGCCCTACAGCAAGCAGGGGGATAAAGCAACAGCTCATATATCTTTAGAGCCTGGATTGAGGCTCTTTCCTCACTTCCTTATTTTGTTTAAAAAAAAATAATAATAAAAGATGGTTTTAGCCCTAGGCCAAAAGTCCTAATAAATTTGAGGAGGGGGGTGAGACAGGACAGCAAAAACTGGCCTGAAAAATCCTAAACAAACAAACCCACCATCCTTTTTCCCCTCTCCTGCAAGTGCTTCAGCTTTTTCTACAAATTAATTTTATTCTTTGTTTTTATATAGGCATATATATTAACAGCCTGTCTGTATGGGGATGTGTGTGTAGCTGTTGGCAGACATGCGGAGTTTCCACTCGGCCTTAATGCCAAATTAAAGCTTTATAACTTCAGTAGCTCCTTTTACCAGGGCATTAATAACCACCTCAGACACTGTGGTGCAGTTTATTAATCATTTGTTCGTCCAGGGAGTTTGCAGGGGTGACTGGTGCTGCACCACAGCAGAACCGGCTCAGGGCACGGCCATGGGCAGTGGCAGCCCCTGGGAGGGGGTTTGGGCCAGGAGAGGGGAGGAGGATGCTCTGCAGGGCAGCTTCCTGTGAACTGGCTAAGGAAATGTCATCTGCACTCAGAGATCCTGACTCAGGTGCTGGGTGCTGTCCTGCTGCCAGGACGGGGGTGCCAGTGGCACTGGGCAGGTCCCTGTGCTCAGGATGGCTCAGAGGGGATGTTTGCATCTCACCATGCAGTGGAGACCCCCAAACCAGCCCCGTGCCCTGCACATCCACCCAGCTTTCCCAAAAGCAGGTGGGACACAGGAGGTGCAGCCCCAGTGTGTGGCCCTGTGCAATGATGGTACAGAAGGAGGAGGAACCACAAGTCAGAGAGAGGACCTGGGGCCATTCCCAGCCTGGGACCCTGCTGTCCAGTGCCCACACCCTGCCCTATAACCCTCACCATGGGTTTTGCTTCCTCCAAAGCTGTTAATGACCCAGAAAAGAGCTTTTTTATCCCCCTCACTTATGCTTCCCACTCCCATGAGGGCAGAGTCCTGAGCTGTCCATCCTCTGCAGCAGCCCAGGTCATCCTGATGGATCCACTGCCATTCCCTGGGTAGGAAATGCTCCCTCCACCTCCATCCCAGCTCCTTGTGCCAGCCCTGGTCTCTTCAACCCAGTTCCATCAAACCCCACAGAGGGTTTGATGCTCCACACCAGCAGCCTGCTCATCTCCCCATGGAATTGTCATTGCTGTTGCTGTTCCTTTGGCTTATTGGACTGACCCGGCCTTGCCTTAAGAAATGTGTTTGTTTTTTACTCCGGGAGCAACAATCTCAAGATCTCCAGCGGGGCCACAGCCTCTCCAAAACACAGCCAGGCATCCTCCAGTGCTGCCAGACAGAGCAAACTTTATTTGCCATCCCAGGCTTCTCCTAAAGCCTCTCAGGGGACACAGAATTTTGAAAGTGAAGGCTAAGGTCAATCACGCATACTATTTTCCTAAACTGAGTACTCTGGTGTTGCTGTCTGCGAAGGAAAAAAAAATCTATATAAAAATAGAAGACAAGAACCCCCAAACTCCTGAGCAGTTTGGAGAGAGCAATACATCGGCCCTGGAAGACTCAAGGTGTCTGAATATTTATACTCCCGTTGGCAGTTACAGAAAAACTCTTCTTCCCTCCTTCCTACCCACCCCCTCCCCTTTTTTAATCTCGGTACAGGCATGTTAGACGTCCTCAGTCAAAGATCTCCTTTGAACTGTGTATGTGAAATGTTTACAGTTTTACATTTCATATTTCAGCGGGGTGGAGGGGACAGGCACAACAGTCGCACACTGTGAATGCTGGAGAGGTAGGAAGGCAGAGGCCAAGGGGGAGGAGGTTTGGCTGCAATGGGAGGGGAACCAAACAGCATCTCCACACTGCAATTGGAAAATTTTAGACTCCTTCAAAAAAATACAGAAAAATAATCCCTGGCGGTGTGGGCTTTGCAGGTGCATCGCAGCACAGCAGCCCCTCACGTGGGCAGCCACACAGCACCAGCCAGGAGGGCTGGAGTCAAACATCAACCATCCAGTGCCCAGTGGGCCGGGCTGAGGCTGCCATCCCACCCAGGACCCTGAACTGGGCTCGTGGGAGCGCACATGGGGTGCTGGGATCTCCCAGGGAGAGGCTGCCTCTCCCTCCTGGCCCCACAGAGCAGCATCAGCTGAGGGGATGTGCAATTGGCTGCAGGGAGAAGTGGTAAATCCTGGGATGTGCTCCCAGCGATGAGGGTGCTGCCAGAGGGGCTGGCAGTGCCTGAGGAGGGCACAGAGCTCCCTGGGAGCATGTCCGTCTGTCCTGCCAGCAGGCAGGGAGGGACTGATGCTGGCAGGCAGCAGGCAAGGGCACTGCCCCACTGAGAGCAGGAGCTCAGGACAAACTCTTCTGTCTGTCAGGCTGTGAGATGGACTGACAGACGAGAGGCTGGGACTGGCAGTGCCATTATCAATCCAAAACCCAGAGGAGTGGTGGGCACAGCAACACGTGGGCAGCTTGACCTGGGACCACAGATGTGAATGCGTGTCAGGAGCCTCCCTATGGTTACTTAGATTTATATTGCCAGTTCTCCTCTTGAAAGCTTCCCTAGCCCTAAGCTGACTCCAGAGCCAGCCAGGTCCACTGGCAGACACCCTCCAGGCCCAGCAGCCAGCTCTCTAAATCCTTCCTTCCCCACAGACTAAACTTTGTGGGGTAATTCAGTACAAGAAATGAGCCAGCAAGCCCAACCCATGACACAATGTTATCCCATCAAGAAAAGACGGATGGGAGAGGAGCCCTCCCCAGCCTGTGACAGTCACCTGGCAAGGGTGGCTGTCCCTCAAAAGGGCAAAGGTTTCGGGGTGATGTGTGCTCCATCCTTGGGGTGTCACCTGCCACACACACCTGATGCTTTTGAGAAATGTCCTGCTAATATATCCACACACAGAGCGGGTTCAAAGAGCTCAGTGACAGTCAGAAAACCCAGGAGACAGCAGGTTCTGAGGAAAGGCACGTGTTGTGCCTGCCATCAGTGATGCCCTAACGATGCCCATGAGCTCAGCCTCATCCAAAAATGACCACCAGCACCAGGCCCACCCTGCCCAGAGTCCTGGCAGCCCCACACACACCAACCTTTGCCTCTCTGCAGACACCTCCCCCTGCCCAGCCCACAGAACCCCCAGCTGCAGCCTCAGGGGTCAATTCCCCAGCACAGCCCCCCGGACACCCGGAGGAGCCAGCGCTGTCCCCGGCGCTCGGCGGGCGATGAACCCCGGCACAGCACCGGGCTCACCTCTCTCCACCCCCACCCCACCCCTCTCCTTCCCTGAAGGGATCTGTCAAGTCTCTGCACGATGGAATTTCACTTTGCTATTTTAATGCAATTCTGGCTCAGGCTTAAATGGAACTGGAAACCAAAAGGCCTTAATAAATAAATATTATGATAAGAAATGAAAGCAATGCATACACTCAAGATAATTTGAGGGGGGATAAAAACCTAAGCATTCCTTTCTGTGCCTAAATCATAAAGCTTTATGTGAAGCTGGACGCCTTCTCACCAAACCTTTGCCCCGGAAAAATCTCTCCTGCTTGCCCAGGCTGCCCTCCGGAGAAGTCGCCTATTGTTTTAGAAACACTTTGAGCCAGATAAGACAATAGCCTTGAAATTCCTTCTAACTTTGTCGGTGACAGGGCTGGGGCGACCATGCGCGTGGCTGGAATCCTCCTACAAGAGATCTTTCATTATAGCCTGCGCTCCCAGATTTCATTCACACGCTGTTTAATCTCACCGTCCGCACAAACGCTGCAGCTGCCACAGCCACAGAAACCTTACATGCCGTGGAAAGAAAAAGAGAAAAAAAAACAACAAAAAACCCGACAGATTGTCCAGATAGTGGTGAATGAAGGAGAAAACCCCCTTTGAGCAAGCAGCCAACAGGACCATGTATAGGGCTGTGTGTGCTCGTGTGGGCGCGCGCACTCCCGCGCGCGTCTATAGAAAAAATCTGAGCTAAATATAGAGGTGCTATAGAAAAGGGAAGGTATAGATAGACCATACATAAAGCTCCGTGTGTACGTCTGGGAAAGGGAGGCTCTGCCTCAGCACGGGAGTTGTGGAACAGAAAAGCCCGAAGTTGATAAGGATGGGACATACCTCTCTTTCCACGAGATAGGGAAAGAGCTCCCTTAATTTTCAGGCTTAGCTGTGCTCAGCTACCTGAACTTTCCTGCTGCCCAACATCTGAGCTTCCCCCCGTGCCCGATGCGAAGTCCCCGAGCACAGATGCAGCCTCCCGGCTCTGCCATCCCTGCCCTCCAGCCCAGCCCGGAGCAGCCTCCTCGCCCACCCTGCTGCCCCATCTCACAGACACAGAACCAGCAGAGCCCCCCAAGCCTCTCCAAACAGCCACATTTTGCCTGTGATGGATGCAGACTTGTTTGCCCACCCTCATTTTCTGCCCCTGCACCCCCTGGCTTGAGATAAAGAGTCCAAACCCAAAGAACTAAAGTCTAAGACACGCAACTCATTAAAGAGTTCACAAACCCAACCCCAGTTCCAAGGCAGTGGGCGAGAATATCTGCAAGCGACATTTAAAATCCCCTCCACTGTTTGTTGTTACTGCTGCTGCCTTCTCCAGCCTGCACTTAAACCCCGGCTCTAACGAGGAGATCCGTCTGCCCAATCCACACATCAAACAGCAAACCTTCGAGCAGGGAAGATTTTCTCTTACCTTGACTGGCTTTATTTGCCAGCGTGTTTCCAGAGTGGAGGAGAAAGAAAAGGATGGAAAATCCAGCAATCTGCAAAGCTCCCATTGCAATCCCAGTCTGCAGGGAGGAGCGGGGGCAAGAAGGGGGATTTCTAGTGCTTTAAAGGAAACAAGGGGCTGAGCATGCGAAGGAAAATCAAAGGGAGGAAGGGGCTCTCTCCTTGCCGTGTGTGAGACAGAGGGAGGGAAGGGAACTGAACTGATGGAAAAAGCTGCTCTGGGTTCAGTTTGGGGCTCTTGGTGTTGCTGAAGAGGAGAGAGCGAGGGAGGGAGACCCAGGGCAGTTGGAGGAAAGTGGACTCTATCGCCCTCTCTCTGGCGGCTGCTCTGATCCCTTCTCCTCCTTTTTTTTTTTCCTTAAATAATCCCAGCCAATTCCAGTTTTGCAAGAGCAGCAGCAGCAGGAGCAGGAGCAGCAGTGCTGGAGGGGGGAAGCAGGCGCCTTGCCCTGGTGCTGGGGACCTGGGAAAGGGGAGTGGAAAGGAGAGCCCCATCCAAGCAACGCCCTTTTTCTCTCTCCCAGCCTTTCTTTCTTTCTTTCTATTTGGCTTTGGTTACTCCTTCACGGCTCCCCCCCTCGCACCCCCAAGGCTGGGCTTTGCCTGCAGGAATTTACAGTCTGCGCTGAAGGAGAAGGGCCAGTAGCCATGGAGACTGCTTCCCTGGGAGCAGGGAGGTCAGGCGGAGACCATGGGCGATCAATGCATCAATGCAAAGCCCCCCGCAACCCCCAGACCCACCCCGCACCTCGCAGCCCCTCGGCCAGCCGAGGGCTTGGGGTGGTGGCAAGGGGAGGGGGGCCAGGGGGAGGCGTCTGGCATGGGAAAAGGCGAGGGGTGGGAAAGAAAAGGACAAGGGGAAAAAAAAATTAGATATAATTAAAAAACCCGAGAGTTTGCGGATGGCGCGACCCGGCTGGGCTTGGTGGCTGTTGGAGAGTCTCGGGGTGCTGGGCAGGGGGAAACAGGGCCCGAGAGCAGCTCTGCTGGCTGCCCTGGGAGGTGGGAGGAGGACTGGAAATAAGGGTGGAGGGGGAAGAAAAAGACCTTTCTGAAATATTCAGGGTTTTTTTGTTTGTTTGCGGGACCTTCTCACAGCCCGGGCCCCTGGAGCTGGGGGCACCCCAGGGAGAAGGGGGACCCCTGCCCCACCCCGTGACCGTCCTGGTGCTGGGAGCTGCTGGCACCATCTCTGTTCCAGGGTGTTCCTGCTCCCCGAGCCAGGAGAGGCATTGCCAGCCAGGAAACTGCAGTGGGAGATAAAGGCTGGAGCCAGGAGTGGGATGGGGAGGAAGGTGTGCAGTGATTCCACCTGTCCAGGGACAGGGCGTCCAACAGCCCCAGAGGTCACTGTGCCCATGGGCTCCCTCCCAGCCCTGCCCCTACACCCTCTCCAACCCCCTTTTGTCCTAATAACCCCTAAAGATATGACAAAGGGGGCTGAAGGCAGTGGGAAATGTCCAGCTAAGCCAAAGCACCCATGGCAGAGAGGAGGGACTGCAGCTGGACAGGAGGATGCTGAGGAGTCCCTGGGTCGTTCCCTACACAGACACCCCCTCCCTGGGCTGCCCTCATGGCACAGGGACCTTCCCTTTGGGGAGGGGGTTTGTAGGAGCACACCAGTAACCCAAACCCATCCCTGGCTCAGCCAGGCTCCACAGAGGCTGGTAAGGGGCAGAGGTGCACGGATGATTCTTAAAGCTGTAAAAATATATTGTACATAAAAATATGAATGTGGAGGTGTTGTCCCTAGGCTGTGTTGGGAGAGACGGTGCCCCACCAGTGGGCATGTGCCATCCCACTGAGCACTGCTGCTGGAGGAAGCCAGCTCCAGTCTGTGCCAGGAGCTCCTGGCTACAAGAGCTCCTCCCAAGATGTTGAGTGGGACGGGGCTCTGGTCATTGCAGCCACATCCTGATCTGAAGCCATCACCAGTGGGGCTGCCACCACCCTCCTGTGAGTATCACATCAGCAGCTGTGCCACTGCTTTACTTTCTGGGCTGGAATTTGCTGCAGAAACACAAGTCTCTTATGGCAGAGACTCCTAAGAGCAGAGTTAAAATGGAAACTCTGCTCTGGGTTACGCTGGCAGATCTCTGTGCCCGGCCTCCACACCTCGCACCCCGTCCTGTGATCCTTTATCATCACAACCAGAGGAAAACTGAACAGTCCTCCTTTTTTTTCTCTCTAACCTATCTTCTAAATCTGGAGACCGATCTCACGGCACGAGGGACAAGACCTTCAGCAATGTTGATTTATAACTGAGCTTCTAAATTGCAGGTTTACGCATTAGTATAAACACCCATAAACCAGCCTTAAATACACAGGGCCGTGTGTAATTAAAACGCCAAAACACCGAGCAGCCATGTGACAGCACGGGGGAAATGGACAAACTCCTCACTCGTGCCCAGACTGCCTCAGTGGGGACAGGTCTCTGGCCAAGCACTCCCAGTTAAACCAGTGCCTTGCTGGGAGGGGGCCATGCCACAGGAGCCAAGGGGCTGACCCTCATGTCTCACTCCTCCAACGGGGTTATGAAGCACCACAGCAAAGCAGTGGGGTTGGAGTGAACTGCTGATGTCCAGGAATTCCCAAAAAAGCTGTGTAATCTTCCCAGAGCAGTGCTGGGTCCAGCAATTGGCGCTGCCCAGTCGAGCGGCCAAAGGGGCAGTGGTGGTGCCAGGGCTGCGCATGCCTTGGTGCCCCTCCAGCACAGGGCTGTCCCCCAGGGAAAGTCGGGCAGATGGGGATTCCTGACATCACCCAGGCGGTCTGGAGGGAGCGCCACGAGTCACGCTGACATCACCTGCAGGACAGCCCAGCGCTCTGGCCCACAGGGCTGGCATGGATCCGTGCCCGGGAGCTGACTCCAAAACCCTTCACAGGCATTGGGACAGCCCTGCCAGCCCCAGCCCTGTCTGTGTGTGTGTGTGTGTGTGGTGGGGAAGGAGGTGGCAGGACTCTCCTCCCCGCTGCCTCCACTCCCCGTCGTGCACTTCTGGGCAAAATCCATTTGCTTTGGCTTCATGTAGGGCCAGAAGATTCGGCCCATTGTGCTGCGGCGCTGAAGAGCCGGCGAGGAATTGTCAGCCATGCTGAAACGGTTACATGGGGAGTCATGAAAATTTACTGCACCGCTCTCCGGTCCCTCGCCAAGAAATAAAAGCAAAAGATCACAACAGGCATTTTTTTAATTTGAAGCAAAATTAAAAAAAGAACGGATCTGCACTCAGAAAACAACAACCACATCCACAGATCAAAGCAGCTGTTCTCCTCTCATTCGGGGTTTTAAGAGGTTTCTGCAGCTACAGAGATGTTTACACAGGGAGAGAGATACATACATTGTGCTGTCTTGATGCTGCCTCTCCCCCCTTCATCTGGCAAAACATTCCCTGGGAGGCGATATGAGGTCATTCCTAGCCCCTGCCTTGTTTTCCTCAAGCTGCAAGGCTGCGGGGCAAGAGGCAATTCAGTTCCCATTAGCACACACACATTTGCACTTGGAACCCTCCCATGTACATTTTGCCTGGGGGGAGCTCGGGATGGACAGGGAACCAGCCCTTTGCCAGCTTGTTCCCAGAGGGAATTCCAGCAGCCCAGCTGCCCTGAGGGCCAGCGGCTTTGGCAAAGCCCCTGGGAAGGGACATGGAGCCGGGAGGTGGGCTGGCATCTTCTGCAGACCAGCATCTTCTGCAGACCAGCCGTAATGGTTCTGTGGCTTCCACCACTTTTACGACGAGAGGGGCTGAACGGCTCTGGGGAGCACTAATGGACTGTAAAAGGCTCTTTCCCCTCTGCCTCCTTGGCTCCAGCCCAATTCCAGCGGCAGTGAGCCCCACGCAGGGACGGAGGCCGTGGGAACGCGCCAGGGCAGCTCTGCCTGCACCTCTTGGCATCAGCACCTTGGTCCTGCTGCTCCGTGGGCAGCACCCGCTTTGGCAAGCAGAGGGGTTCTGGCTGTGAGCCAGCCTGCACTGCCTGTGCAAGTGATAAAAGCCTCCAAAAGGATTCTCCCCACCTCTAGCATGGATTTAATGCCATGTGCTAGGAACGAGCTGCATCTTCAGCTGTGCGTGCTTGTGTGATGCTGAGCCAAAAGCAGTTTCTGAGGCTGCACAAAAAGCTGCTGAGAAGCAAAAGTCCCCGAGGCCCTTAGGGCTTGCAGAAGCAGCTATTGAACCAGCAGGGATGCTGCAGGCAGAAGAGTGAACCAGATTTCCCTTTCCCTCCTGTCCATGAGAACCAGAATGCTGCCAGTCCAGAGCAGGACCCCCTCATCTCTGCTGGACCCAGCAGTTGGGGGGATGGATGCTGGTACCACATCCCCACCCTGAACACTGGAAGGTGCTGGCTCGAGAAAACAGCAGCCCAGACATTTCAATGCCCCAGCGAGGGCTGTGGTCTACAACTTGGAACAGAATAGACTATTTTTAAAAACCGAGAGGAAAACACAGTATTCCCAGTAACACGCCAACAGCCCAGGCTCACGCGGCTCAGCCGGTCCCCAGCACTCGTCCTCATTTCCCCAGCCTACAGTTTGATCCAGATGCCTCCAAGGTGGGTAAAAAAGCACCAGGTCCCACTAAATGACTGCCTGGCACCCTGTGACACCTTTTTTCCAGCGTCATGGGGCTTCCCAAAACGCTGCCTGCGAAAGGCCTTGTTTGTAATTCCCGGTTTGCAGCAGGAGAAGGTGACACACGCTGAGGTGAAGTGACTTAGCCCAGCGTCACCAGGAAGGTCGATGGCAACGCCAGGAATAGCCCCGTTCCCAGTTAACCACTAACCACACTTATCCCAGAATAAGGGTCCCTTTTTCCAGCTGAATTTATAACAGCTTTCCAAGTGACATAAGGTCTTACAGAAATAGGCAGGCTTTTATTCCAGAATAATTACTGGGAGATCGGACTGGAGCGTGTATAATTACACTGCCGGTGAGTCGGACCCTGTGCCGCTGGAACACAGCTTTTATCTCATCCTACTTTTCCACGAGCACATGTACGTCAGCTGGGAGATCTTCAGGATGTGGGTGGAGAAGGAAGGGGCT